TATGTATTAACTCATGATAAGTTTCATAAGTATCAAATTGTAGAATCAAAGCTTATCATCATAACAAAAGTTTTTAATACAAGTAGCGTAGTATTGCCGACCGAAAAATCTCAATAACACTTCAAAGTTTGTTGGTTTTATTAGCCATAACGATACGAAGTGGTGATATGATGATTTCTTATGTTGGTATCAAATCTATCTACTATATATCTATTACTAGCTACTTCCGCACGGATTCACCCATTGGTCGTAGTGTTTTATAGCCTATCGCCTTCCTCGTTAAGTACACTATCCGATACAAAAAGAATTATTCAAATCGTATCAGTACTTCCGGAGATTAGTGCGTTCAAACAAACGAACAAACTCATCAGCTTTTTATAGAACATGGAAAATTTACGGCTAATAAAAAACAATTAAATATAAAAAAAACAAACCCTTGTACTAAACAAGGGGCATACTAAATTAACAAAAAATCGCGGCTTACTCACGTGAATATACTGAGAAAAGCTCTACTAGTTTCGAACTACAGAGGGGTTCTTCCTGAGTAGGCTGCGCGACATATCCGCGACCGCGCACGCTACTCATGAGGAAGAACCCCTCTGTGGTTCGAAACTAGATGGTTGACTTCGACTGCACGGTTGGCGCGGTGGCTGAGCAACTGGCTGTCGCAGGTTCGATTCCCGCACGGAACAATACTTTGTGTGATCCACAAATTGTTGTTTCGGGTCTGGGTGTCATGTGTATGTGAACTTGTATGTTTGTAAACGCACCTACGACACAGGAGATAATCCTAGTGTGGGGCAACATTAAAAAAAAAGAATTATTCTTGTATTTTACGTATTGGTTGTATCAGTTAGAATACAGTTGATACGTGCACATGCTAGTGCTATTATTTCACTATCCCGACATCCCGTTGTGTAATGGCTGACCACGGTCGTATGTATTTACATTCTACCATTAAAATAAATTGCACAGATTGCATGCCGTAACCACTGTCTCGTCTCATATTTCTAGCAGAAGCACGAATATTATACAATTGTGTCTATATTAAAACTTTCGTGAGACATACTAAATTCTATCCTATTCTATTCTATGTGTATGTGTGTGTGTGTGTGTGTGTGTTTAGTTACTCTTTCACGTCTACATTACTCAAGAGATCGCAACGAAATGTATATCTGGAATAAATCTGGCGGGAAAAGCCGCTGGCAGAAGCTAGTTAATTGTGTTTTGGTTTACTCACGTAACTGTTTGACGAGTAACTCGACTAGTTTCAAGCCATGCTAGAGGCTCATATTCATGAGCAGCATTCCGCGACCAACGCGGCGACTGTCGCGCTGCTACTGTTACACTACATTACACTGGGTGTTACATTGTACAGGGGCATTAAACTGTCAAACACCAAGCGGTCACCGGTGACCGCAACCTATTGTTCTTTAATTGTGTCTATAAATACGGTACTCGACGAGTTAAGTGCCGTAATGTGCACTTCTGCCTACCCCTTCGGGGATAAAAGGCGTGAAGTTAAGTTGTAGTAGTAACTTGACATGTTGTAGAGTATGTTATACGATGTTATCATGTTACACAATTTGGTATAATGTTATATAACTGCTGTGTAGGAGCATTATAGTCTGCTCCAGTGAATGGTAATTCCATTCAAAACATACCCCTGTATGTACCTAACAGATGATATAATTTTAAACATGAATGTAATACAATGTTTAAATGGCCTTGACCTCAATCGAAGTCCATATTTACCTCATCCACGTCGATTCCAACATCATAACATGAAATCATATTTTACACTAGCTACTTCCGCGCGGTTTTACACGCTCTGCTCAGTTCCTATTGGTCGTAACGTGATGTTTTATAGCCTATAGCCATCCTCGATAAACGCGCTATCCAACACAAAAAGAATTATTCAAATCAGACTTGTAGTTACGGAGATTAGCGCGTTCAAACAAACAAACAAAAAAAAACAAACTCTTCCGCTTTATATAATAATAACTAGCTTCTGCCCGTTCGTCCCCGTTCGTGATTTTCGGAAAAAAGTAAAAAAAAAAGTTAAAAAGTATCCTATGTCGGTCTCCTGGCTCTAAGCTACCTCCCTACCACTTTTCAGCCACATCTATTCTGCCGTTCTTGAGTTATAAGTGGTGTAAGTAACTAAGACGACTTTCTTTTATATATATAGATTTAAGATAAGATATAAGATAACATCGACAATATATTAGTACACATTTTTCAAAATCATGTTCGTAGCAAACACCATAACAACGATCTGTTCTAGAATATTGTTATTACCTAAATACCGTTGATGAAGAACATCGTAACTACACGTTGGTTTTAACATTGTGCAGTGTACAAGCGTTGCCAACTGATCGCAGTCCGTATAAATAAACAGCGGTGGTATATTTGAAGCAGGATTCCTTGACAATATTTCTACTTTGAAAAAAAAAATATGTAAAAAATTCGAAAAGTGAGTACCTACATATACAAATGGCTGAAGGGATCGGGATTAAATTTGGGACAGGATAGAACATGGTCTAAAATAACACATAGGATACTTTTTGTCCCACGGAAACGTAGGCAAAGCCACTGATTGAAGCTAGCTATGTTGAGTACGCTGTATTCATTAATACCTATCATATAATATCATTTTTTTTGAAAACAAGATTTTCCACTCTGAGATTTTCTCCTGTGTCGTGGGTACGTTTACAAACATACAATGTCACATAAACATTACACCAAGACCCGCAACCACAATAATTAGTGGATCACACAAAGAGTTGCTCCGTGCGGGAATCGAACCGCGGCAGCCGGTTGCCCACATACTTCATAACGTCATTATAAACCGCTGTGAGCACGTCATCGCACGCCGGCGGCGCGTCGACTGTGCGCTTACAACTTTTGTACTTGCTTTTTCTTTCATTGTTTCCATAGCAAAAAACGCCGTGCTGGTGCTGTACTTGAGACGTGCTGAAGTCGTGCCGAAGCCATGTTTGTTAGGTGTGTGATGTCCTAAAACCGTTAACTGGTCCGCATCTACATATTTATGTAGCACAAGTCGCGGAGAACCTAACTGGTTACCATGGCTCCGGCTCGACGTGCAGGAGAAGGAACGGGGTGGTTTTTAGTCAGTAAGAGCCTGACACTCTCTACTACCTAGTAGCTATTTAATGATTTTCCCCCCTTAAAAAGAAGTGTATGTAGCAACAAGCTAGTAATTCTAAAGATACGAACTATAGATCCCTAAGCTTATGTAAAACAAAAACTTGCTCGTCAGGGAGTAAGAACAAGAGAATGAAACACTCCACATTCGTCTAAAATTATTTCATAAAATCTTATCCAAAATGTTTTATATACGGTTATATTATTCCCCTACCAACCCACCATCATTTCATAAGAAGCTTACATGAAGCGAAGTCACGTACGCCGTACTTATATTAACTTATGAATTTCCCAAGTTAGATGAAGAAAAGGCTTGGGTACTTATTGCGTGGATTCGTCTTTTATACGGATATTATAAAGACGAAACATTTGTATTACTCTAGGTAAGTATGTTTGTAATGTTTACCCACGAAAGAAAGAAAGGAATAATCATCTTTATTTCACTTTAAAAAGCAAAAGACAGGTACAGATGTGTTATTCTATTAGTAGGTAATTGGTATTAAAGCAAAAGATAGTGGACGGATTTAAAAAATTGTTTCACCAATGCCCAATCCATTCAGCCATTGACAAATTGTTAATTGACGTCATAACTTTAACTATAACTGCTCACTTTTCTCTGGTTACTGTTAATTTAAGTGTCAAAAATGCATCTGTCAAATTGTCAAACGCGTTGTCAAACCTCTGAAAAGTCTGAAACTCTGAACAGCATGTCCCTGTTACAAAGATACTCGCAAAAACCAATTCTGAAGACGAAAGAAATGATCTTTAAATATTATCAAGATAAGATTTTATGATGCCACCCTCATTATTGCATATAGAATCATTTTTTCATTTCTATTCAAAGTCAAAGCTTTCCTACATCACAAAGGTATTGAAAAAAAAACACTAACGCTCAAATACTTCATAACCAAAATGTAACCGGCAATTTTTGCGATCACACACCCCTAGCAACTTCTGTGTACTCTGCAAACTTTGTTCGGAATTTCGGAACCATCAATTTTGTAACGTTACCCAATGTGGCGTTCGTAAACTGAAATTACGAGTAAATTCAGTTTGTTACCGAGTGCTACTCGTAAGTGTGAGTTTTTTACGTTGACGCGGCCTCTGATTGGTCAGTTAATTTGGAGCAGGACAATCAGAGCGCCGAACGCCATAAACTTGTCGATCGCGTTAACGTAAAACAAACTCGTACTATGCAGTATGTCTAGTGCGAGAAAGAGTGCATCATTTTCACACATTTAGCACATAGAAACTAAAAACCTTTTGAGTTGTCTCGGAATTGAGCGTCTATTTATAACTAAGGACCAGCTTTTCAACCGTCAATTAATTTTTAACTGTAGACTAAATTCACGGAGAACAGTCGCGGAGAACCTAACGGGTTAGGTACCGGGGCTCCGGCTCGACGTGCAGGAGAAGGAACGGGGTAGTTTTTAGTCAGTAAAAGTCTGACACTCCCTCCCGCCTCACCCAGGCGGGAGCAATCATTCGATGATTTTCCCCCCGTAAAAAAATTGACTAAAATTGACGTTTGACAGTTTTAAATATGGAAGATTTCGTCAAATATTCAAAGTTATTCCTCAGGTAAAATTTATCTGGCGTTGGAAAAATTGGTCCTAGAGTGATTTTTGCTTCGAATGCAATGCAATGCAGTCATAATGGCTGAATGCCCAACATGGCTGGATAGGTTAATAATTAATTTTTGGATGTTCCAGTATAACAGAATTTAAATTTAAATGGCCACGTTCTATCAATGGCAATTTAAATATAATTGTCTTATTTTGACCAAGAAATTTGAATTGATAATGTGTTCAAAATGGTTTGTATTGTTGCAGGTGTTGTTGCATGGTGGGGATAAGGAGAAGGTGCAGTGATGGGAGACAGTTTCTTGCACCTGGGGGACATTGTCTCTCTGCACGCGGAGGGCACCGTATCAGGATTCCTCAGTACCTTAGGGTAAGCCTTCATACTTCCACTGTTCATCTGACGATGGCAATCAGAATTCAATTGCTTCTCGCTCTGGTTGATCCTATTTTAACGATGTTTATCTATACCTAATAAATTAACTCGTCGAGTACCGTATTTATAGACACAATTAAAGAACAATAGGTCACCGGTGACCGCTCGGTGTTTGACAGTTTAAGAGGGGGTTTTCCAGTAGTTTCGGAAGAGATGGGGTAAGACATTTTTATACGGGCGCTGCCAGTTGTGACTGGTCAGCTCCAGACTGCATTAAATTTATTGTCGTCAAGGTTATTTTAGTTTTCTTTCTCCTTGACTGAATATTTGTGTTACATTGTTCTCACATAATTAAACCAACGAAACAATGTAACCGAGAATTGTATTGTGAATCTGATTGAAAATGAGTAACCTATGGAGTTTCTTGCTGGTTCTTCTCCATAGGAATCCACACATTGGAATAAAACATACCTTCAGTTTAATTTTTTGTTGAGGTTCAAAAGTGCCTTCCTGGTCTAATTGAAATAAATGATTTTGACCTAACTTTATAGTTACACTGTGCGTTCTTTACGATTTAGGTATGCGACCGGGAACAAACACGATAGGTACGAATTGAAAAAGGCCAATATGTACCTTGCCTAACCTTGGGACAGAACATGCCTCAATATTTTACATTTCCATTTACTTTTTAACACAAAATATACCCTTTCTAAACGCCAGCTCTTTCAACCAAAAAATACTAATGATATTTTAACAATAGAGTTGAAATCAACCTCGCCTTTATAATAACCATCCAAAAGAGACTTTACTACATCGTAATAAAGATGCTTTCTTGTTGCTCATTGAAGTAGATACGCCTTTTCAAATAATTTACAATGGAATGGTTACTAAATACGTAATGTAATGGATCGAAGAAATGACTATACACGTAAAAGGAACACCTACATGATAACTTTAATTGTATTGTATACATGTGTGAGAGCCATGCTTCGGTACCAATGGGCCGGCTCGACCGGAGTGATACCACGGCCAAAGAGAAACTGGCGTGAAATAATGCTAGCGTTGTGTTTCATCTTCTGAGTAAGGTTACCGGAGGCCGTATTCCTCTCCACTCCAATCTCTATAATCCCCAATTCTCAAATTCCCAAATGCAAACGGGTTACCGGGGCTCCGGGTCGACGTGCAGGAGTAGGAACGGGGTGGTTTTTAGTCTGTAAGAGTCTGACACTCCCTCCCGCCTCACCCAGGTGGGAGCAGTCATTCGATGAGATTCCCCCTTTAAAAAAAAACCCCAAACGCGCGCAACGCACTTGCAACTCCGTGTGGTCCTAACAAACTCTTTTACTTCAAAGTATTTATTGCAAAATTAACAGAATCTAGTGGTAAAATGGTTAAATCAATTTTGTCAGTGGCTAGTGACGTCATAGCATAGGAACAATTAAAGTTTATAAATAGAATACAGGTTTAATTGTAACTAATTATACATTTTGTTTTTTTTTTTTGATGACCACGTCATTTTGCGTATGTCTGTGTATTACACACTAATAATAAACAGAAAATGTATATTTATGTTATGACCAATTTCCGAAAATGTTTTTATACATTGGTACCTATATTTTAGCACTTTAACTGCTAAGTTTAAAATGGTGAAACTCAAACCTCCACTAGCGTCAGGCACCGGTAACTGACGTGGTGCTCTAAGGGTTAAAGTTTCAGACGTGTTATCAAACAGAACTTGGATCACTTACACAAAAACTTTGTGTCAAACTTGTCCCTGTTTACCCAAATCAAGGAAAAGTTAAAAAGTTGGATGTTCGAAGAAAAACGACGGTCCCCTGACTAATGACATCTTCAAGTTCTCGGAAACTTTTTGATTCTTCACCTGCTCCCGAAAGTGGATGGCCGAAATTGCCCCAAACTGTACAAAAATATTTTTGTTTTGCAAAATGTCATACTGGATAAATGAAGATTGAACTTAATGCGTCACTGCAGGGATGCCCACTGAAAATCAGTGCTGGGTGACTCGTATACCTAGCTTACACTGAGTGGGTGACCCATTTAGTATAGGCATGTTGTCAGCGTCTCTTTTCTAATTCTTCTGTTTAAATTTTTTAACTTTAATGTTTTTCTTACTTCCACATTGTCTTTTTATTACTTATGCTGCATCGTGCCTGGTGCTGAATAAATGTTCTAATACCTGCAATAAAAAAATATAATAAGCGTTAAGCATACCTGCCCTTTGTCATACAGCTTCAGTATGCTCTTGTCAATGGCTATCTCTGCGTTTTTACGATAAAATAATTCTTATACGTGTAAACCGACTTCAATCCCCTCTTTTTTGAACTCGTTTAATTAATATACACATTATCTTAAGTGTAACAAACACTACTGAAAACCGCATCAAAACCGGTTGAGCTAATCGCTAGATCGATTAAAAACACCAAATATGTTGGTTCAATCAGATCCGCACCATTTTGGGTTCCACTATCCACAACTCCTCACTGCCAGTGACAGAGTTATAAGGAAGAAGCTCGTGCGAGGGATAGTTATGCAGAAGGTAGTCACAACCCTAAGAAATCAAGAATACCTACGAGTGAGGACGAGGAGCAGGATATCCATTCAGTTGATTTTATGTGAAAGAGAAAGAAATGAATCGTAGATTCGTATTTAGATCGTTGACTACACGGTGGGCGCGGTGGCTGAGCAACCCGCAGCCGCGCAACGTGTCTTGGGTTCGATTCCCGCACGAAACAACTCTTTGTGTAAACGCACCCACGACACAGGAGAAAATCCTAGTGTGGGGCAACGTTTTTTTTAAAAAAAACGAGACTCCATCATACATTTTCGCATTTACAATACGTATTTATTTGTAAAAGTAAAGCAAGTGAAAAAGTATTCCACTAAATATCACTAGGTTTACTCTGAAGAACTAGAGCGTTACAGTATACTATTGTGTTTCAAACCGGATCCGAGATTTTGCCGGAAGAGAAACAGATGCGGTTACTTCGGCAAACCGGTGTTCAATTTGAACCCATTGTTTTAGTATCAAGAATAATTGTTTGTTTAAGATTACTGAATAAATTGCCAAGTAATGTCTGGCGTGGAGTTTCGCCATTCGCTTTTATGTATGGTCGTCATAGAGGGCGATTTTTTTTTATGGTATAAGCCGGTAAACGAGCAGACGTGAACACCTGGAACACCAGAGGCATTACAAGTGCGTTACGGCCTTTTGGGGATTAGGAGTTTGAGGATCGTTGGGGATTCAGGAATTGGGGAGATTGGGGAAGGGGAGGTTAATGGGGCCTCCGCTAACCTCACTCACACGACGAAACACAACACAAGCGTTGCTTCACGTCGGTTTTCTGTGAGGCCGTGGTATCACTCCGGTCGAGCCGGCCCATTCGTGCCGAAGCATGGCTCTCCCACACTTTCCTTTGAATTAAATGTATGGAATATATAAATGAATGCAACGAAAACTACTAGTTTCAAGTCATACTCTTGACTTGACTCTTGTCCATGAGTACGGCGTGCGGCGTGGTGACGTCGTGCAGGCAACTGCCGATCTTATTGCCTGCCAAGCAAAGAGCAAACTTATTAACTCTTTTCCGCACTAAAACCACCCCGGTTTTAGTAAGGTAAAAATCCCACACTCCGTACCCTAGTCTGTTATCCACAAAAAGGCTAGGTGCCTTTTGAAGGTTTCACACCATAAATAAATAATGATTTAACTAAAAATCGCTGGTTACTCACGTGAATATACTGAAAAAAGCTCTACTAGTTTTGAACCACAGAGGGGTTCTTCCTCATGAGCAGCGTCGCGATCGCAGCGATGCCGCGCAGCCTACTTGGCTGCGCGCACGCTGCTCATGAGGAAGAACCCTAATTTAGTATGTCTCGCGATAGTTATTATAATAAATGATTTGACTTTTGCCTTTGATTGTCCACAGGTTGGTAGATGACAGGTGTGTAGTATGCCCGGAAGCGGGGGACCTGACTGATCCGCCCAAAAAGTTCCGGGGTAAGTAAAGCCGTTTAATAATTTCTCTGTGGTTAATAATCACATAACATAACATCACATCTTTTATCCCCGAAGGGGTAGCTGCACATTACGACACTTAATGCCACTGTACAATGTAACACTATTTATGTTATGAGTCCCATGTAATAAGGTCCTATTGCCATATACCGGGCACAATTACAGACTCCGTGCTACTATTGAGATTTTTAAAAAAACCCAGTAATATTTTGCTCGACCCGGGCTAAAAATCACTTTTGGTTACTATAATCAATACACTATTATGTCTACCGCATTAAATTCACGTTTTGGAAATTATCCTTTCTTCTTTTCCCCTAATAATGTCTTGGTTTCGTTGTGGAATCCAAGCAAGACAGTTATTCATGTCCCTAGGACGCGCCGGACTTCAGTGTTCCGGTGTTTTCATGGTTGTATCTACTGTAGATCCTGGCTTACAGGAGTTGCAGTATTACATAGGACTTACATAAATAGTGAAAAGTGCGTGTTACATTGTACGGTGACATCTCATGCTATAATTTGCACCACTGCCTATACCTTTAGGAATAAAAGGTGTGATGTTATGTAAATTAATTGAAACAGATAAAAAGCAATTTGCCTACCTACAACGTTGTGTTGTTTGTCACACACGAGATTAACATGGATAATATGCCCCTTGTAAAAACAAGGGATTATCCACGTTGTCATCCAGGTTTTCGTAGTTAAATTGGAATGTTATTTATTCTTAAAAATAATTTAGCGTTTCATACTATCGTAAACTATCGTTTATACATACATGCACTACTTCACGCCTGTCTCCCATGGGGGTAAGCAGATACTATGGTACGCCAATAGCTAACGATTCCTGCATACCTCCTTCGCTTCATCACCAGTCATCAATCTTTTCATGCATGCTCGTCGGTTCAGGGAAATTTTAATTTGGCCCTTCTTTAATATGTCGCCAATCTGGTCAGTATATATCCGTTTAGGGCGCCTTTTACCGACGGCCCTATTCATATCCGCTCTGTATACTTCTTTCGTTATGTATTATAACGTTTAATTATTCGTTTAAATGTTGAATGTGTGTAACAGTAACACTAGCTGCTGCCCTACAGTTTCTCTTACTGCTCGGCTCCTGTTAACCGTAGCGTGATGTTTCATAGCTTATAGCCTTCCTCGATAAATGAACTTTTCAACTCAATAAGAATTATTAAATTTGAACCAATAGTGCCAGAGATAAACACATTTAAACAAACAAACTTTACAATATGTGTAAATAGATCAACTTTGTGTACGCCATTTTAATCAACGAAAAATCGCGAGTATCTCACGTGAATATACTGAGAACAGCTCTACTAGTTTCGAACCACAGAGGGGTTCTTCCTCATGAGCAGCGTGCGCGGTCGCGGCGATGTCGCGCGCTTTTTTCAGTATATTCATGTGAGTAACCCGCAATTTTTAGTTAATTTAGTATGTCTCAAGTTATTATAAAAGCCATTTTAATTGATATTAACAGTGTTACCATAGCATAATATCGTTTAAATATTTTCAGATTGCCTGTTCAAAATATGCCCTATGAACCGTTACTCCGCTCAGAAGCAATTCTGGAATACAGCCAAACAGTCCGCAAATTCAAATACCGATACAGGACTGCTCAAGAGGTTGCATGTAAGTATACTGAAGCCCTAGTTGGACTTTGTTTTACGTCTAGAGTATTCTAAGACCTTGTCCACAAAGGGCGAATTCACCGCGCAACGATTCGCGCGAAATGATTCGCGCGTTAGTGAGATACTAGACAACATCGCGTCCACAAGCATCGCGCGAATTCAAAATACGCGCGTAAGCGCGTGCACTACGCCAGACTCTCGACTCGCGCTTGATTCGCAGATATTGCGCGCGAGTAGAGATACTAGAAACGTCTTGTTACGTCCAGTTAATGCGCGAACTTTAGAGCGAGCGTTTAACTCCATGTTTCGTACTGAACGAATTCCTCCCCAAATGCTCGCGCGTTGGCACACACCTTGTGGACGCAACGGTCGCGCGTAAAACGCGCAGGAGAATCGCAGCATATTCGCCTTTTCTGGACAAGCTCTAAATGAGACCGTGTTCGGCATCCTGGGCCTTAAGTCTGCTATTTTTATAATAATTGTTGTCATTACAACACGATCGCATTGTCATTTTGTTAAAAGTTCCAAATCTGCTAAATTCATAATAGTCGATCATTGATCGGTCAATGGTCTCATAATGGAATTGTAGAAGAGTGACATTGCCGTATTGCCATTATTATAAAATTTTGTAGTAGAAATAGTTTTCGAAAAACTACTACTAAATTTGATCATTTATGCATGTCATTTATATTTTATTTTACAAAATATCTATCAGTGTTAAATGCAATACCAATAATTCCGGAGATCAACCATGGAGCGATACCACAGTCTCACAGAAAATCGATGTGAAACAACGATTGCGTTGTATTTCGTCGTGTGAGTGTTACCGGTTACCGGAGGCTCAATAGTCAATTATCCCCTCTATCCCTCTCCAAAAATCCTCTCCCTCCTTCCTAATCCCCAAAAGGCCGGTAACGCATTTGTAACATCTCTGGTGTTTCGGGTGTCCATGGGCGGCGCCGATTGCTTATCATCAGGTGATCCGTCGGCTCGATTACCGGCTTATGTCATAAATAAAAAATAAAAAAAGATGAGAGCGTTCAAACAAGTTCTTTAGCTTTATAATACATATTAGTATAGATTTGAACATCGCTGATAGCGGGCTATTAATTGATACTAACTGTAAAAAGAAACGCTTTAATATAGGTTAATGAGCTCCTTTTCTACTATGCTGACTGAATATGCTCATTCGTCCGTCATCAAATACTAAATTATGGTTATTGTATGACCTAATTTTTTTGTAGATCCCTTTGAAATATGTTTATTGACCGCTCGTCCATCTTTTTAGTTGTCTAAATGGAAAAATGTAATTGAAATTTATCGTTATTTCCTTTATTTATTTCTTTAAAAATATAAAGGCCGCCAGAGGGCGCTGTAACATAAACACTGTGGATTTTTATATGAGTTTTTGTTTATTTCTTTAAAAATAGTTTAATCGTTTTAAATTCATAAACTGTGTAATGATTGTGAAGTCTACCGTGTGGAAATCCTGTGACAATGTTATCAGTAGTGTTACTTAACTATTAAATAAATTTTCGTACGTGATAAAATGAAACAAAGTGAAGAAGATATTTAAGTGCTTAAAAGGACTACGTAGTGTGAAAAAACTTAATCAAAATACTAAAAAGTTGTTAACTATACTTAAGACTATGTAAATATGTGGAAAAATCCTTTAAATAGAATGTTATGTGAAAAATTTCAAACGGCTGTTTTTTAAATATCGGCTCAGCAATACGTCATGTTAATACAAAACGAAATAAAATAGAAACAGACCCTTAATTTCACAAGTTAACACACAGCACGTTCGGCCGATGTGAATGTGCATTAGACTGGCGATACCGTGCGCTCCGGTTCGCGCCCCACTAAATGAAATTCTTTTTGGCGCATGTGTTCTTGATTTCTAACATTGAATAAATATTATCTAGCAATGATGAGCTTCTTTGAAAACATTACACTGCGACGAAGGCGAACAAATTCCGACTCGAACTTAATAAATAGTAGCCAGTTTTCGACGAGTACCCACAACGACGATAATAGCATGGGAAGTATGCCTGACCTATCCGTTGACGCCGATAATGAACAAATTACACAATTAAAACAACGAATTCAAAACCTTGAGCAGGAACTTAAAAGTGCCCACTTAGAAATTGAATCATTATCTTTAGAAAATAGTAGTCTCAAACAAACTAATGATGAACTACTAAGAAAGAATAAGTTTTACAATACAATATCATGCAGTCCCAGAAAGAAAAATACTCCAAATAAACCTGTCCAAACTAAAACAAAAAAGGGAAAAATGAAAAGTGCCAATACACAAACCACAATGTATCCAATGTCACCAGTTCTAACCGAAAGTTGTGATGACGCAAACTCAAAGCACACAGCCACTGATCATCTACGTAAGACCTATCCCGTAACACAAACGCAAAACAAGCTCACCAAGAAATTAAATACAATACATATAGTGAGCAGTAACAAGAAAAATAAAATATTAACTATAGCCGAAAATACCTTCCCTGACAAATATAAATTATGTCACTACTTGTTACCAAACTCTAATACTGAACAACTAATAAAAAACATTGAAATTAAATTACATGGAATGACAATGAACGACTTCTGTGTATTAATGATAGGCGAAGAAGATTTTAATACAACTAAAGATTACATTTATATTATATCAAAATTGAAACAGACTTTACAAAGACAGAAATTCACAAACATAATTATATGCGCACCGACATACAAATGCGGCTCGCATATAGGTAGTATGTATAACTGGCGAGTACAGAACTTCAATAATAAATTGTACTTGGACGTACTGCAGTACGAGTATGCATACTTCCTGGACACCAACAAAAATCTTCGATGGGTGAAATGTTTCACAAAACTAATGGAACAGTTAACAATTATGGTATGTCAATCATATTTAAAGACGTTATTGACTTCATAACAGGAATATCGGAAGAATTGACAGCATCTTCGAATGATCAATGCTCAAACAACCAAGAGAGTCAAGGTGTGATCGATTGCACATTTTTTCGTGAATAACTATATAAATGTAATGCACCAAAATATTGCCGGATTACTATCAAAAGCTGATAGCTTGTCTGTATGCCTACAAGAACTAAAAGAGCGAAATACGAAAGTAGACGTCCTTTGCTTGACTGAGCACTTTGTTGTGGAGGACCACGTTAATCATATCGACGTCCCTAACTACTACCTAGCTGCATGTTATAGTCGCAAAGAAAGTAAGAGAGGTGGTGCATGCATACTCGTAGAAAAGAGACACCAATGCAAGGAAATAACAAAAGTGTCACAGATATCCACAACCGGTGTATTTGAATGTTGTGCTGTGGAACTAATCAATCATAATACCGTCATAGTGTGTGTATACAGGGTGCCAAAGTTAAATAACTTTAACGTTTGTATGGAAAAATTAGAGACATTAGTGAATATCTTTTATAAAAAATCTTTTAAACATGTGATTATTGCAGGTGATTTTAATATTAATGTACTTGCGAAAAACAAGCAAACTATTGATTTTGAATGCCTATTACTGAATTATAACTTAACTTTAGCGTTAAAACAGCCGACTCGTCTGAAGAGTCAGACTTGTATTGATAATTTCGCCCATAACTTAAAGTCTTGTAGGGCTTCAGTATTGGAGCTTGCACTGTCTGATCATACGGCGCAAATCCTTAAATGTCCAGTGGATGTAGCTTGTTCTATTGATCGATGGCGTACAATTAAAAGAAACTATAGTGCAGATAATTTAAAAAAGTTTAAGTCCTATATTAAAAGTCTACACTTCACAGATATTTATCAATCCAATGACCCCAATGAAGCATACAATACCTTCAGTGAAATATTTTCGTTCTTTTATAATCAATGTTTTCCTGAGTCTTTGGTATCAATAAATGTACATAAAAAACAGAAATGGATATCACGTGGGATAAAGCTTTGTAGTAAAAAGAAACGAACACTGCTGTGGAAGTACCGAGTAAAACCGACCATTCAGAATAGAAACGAGTTAAAAAAATATTCTAAACTGTTCAGAACAATTGTTAATAAGACAAAATTTGCACAAAATACTTATAAAATAAAAACATCATTGAACAAAACAAAAACTTCCTGGCAAATAATTAATAGTACAAAATTCAATATACCTAAACATAACATAAACAAAATCCGTCTTGAACATAAATGCATAACAAATCCTAGCGAAATAAGTAACTTATTTAATAACTATTTTGTTGATAAAATCCAACCATCCCACTTGCATTGCACTGGAATTTGTAAATATATTACAAGTAAAAAGGACTCAATGTTTATGGCTCCGAGTGTGCCACAAGACATAGTAAAAATTATTAAATCTTTGAAAAATACTAACAGCGTAGGATGCGATGGTTTTAATACTAAGATTATTAAAGAAGTATCATACGAAGTATGCCAACCTTTAAGTCATATAATAAACCTAAGCATTAGTAAAGGTATATTTCCAGCCGCCTTAAAGAAATCTATAATAAAGCCATTATTTAAAAAACAAAATAGGGAACTAATGGAAAATTATAGACCAATTTCGCTGATACCAATTATTTCTAAAATATTTGAAAAATACATATACAAAGAGTTAAATACATATTTTGAAAAACATAAGTTATTTTGTGACGAACAAAAAGGTTTCAGGGCAAATAAAAGTATAAACATGGCGATCTATGACTTTCTTTATAAAGTGATGGTCAATGGATAAAAAAAATCCAGTATGTTCGATTTTCTGTGATATGACCCAAGCCTTTGACTATGTGCATCATAATACCCTACTAAAAAAAATGGAAAATTATGGGGTACGAGGAAATATACAAAATCTTTTAAAATCTTATTTATCAAATAGAAGGCAAGTTACAGAAATCAGTAGACTCAATAGTAAAACTAAACGAGAGGAAATATATACATCACATGAACGTCAAGTGACATATGGCGTTCCACAGGGAAGTGTTTTAGGCCCCCTTTTATTTACGATATATATAAATGACTTTCCGAAAAGTATAGAACATACCATGTCACTTTTCGCGGATGATAGCACTATAACCATACCATGTAGAATAAGAGAAGAATACAACAATGACATAAATAGTAGTTTAATTAATGCCATAGACTGGTTAAACAATAATAACCTAAAAATTAATCTGAGTAAAACTGTTATCATGCACTATAGTACAAGACCGAATGCATCAATTAGTTCGGACATTACATATAGAATAATACTATTGAATCAGTAACATCAACAAAATTTTTGGGTTTAACAATAGACCAAAATCTGAACTGGAAAGCTCATATAGAAAAACTTGCGAAACAATTAAGTAATAGAGCATATGCTTTACACAGATTGTCTCAAACAATACATATAAACACGTTATTAATTGCGTACTACGGATTAGCTGAATCTATTCTCCGTTACGGGATCATTTTTTGGGGCAATTCAGTGGAATGGGCAACCATTTTTAGGGCACAGAAAAGATGTCTGAGATCAATGTTTACACTTAAAGTTACTGATAGTTGCAGGCCATACTTTGAACAGTATAGGATTCTCACAATGCCATCGTTATACATTCTCGAAATAGTTTTATTTGTTATGTATAATTCTCATTTATTTCCGCGTCTTGAGGATAAAACTCAGCGCAACAGGCGTGATTACACAAAACTTTGTCTTCATCCTTGTAAGACCGCGCTTATGCGCAGAAATGTATTTTGCATGGCACCTATAATATTTAACAAATTGCCAAAATCATGGAGAGAACTAGGTGCCAACCATATCAAGCGAAAGCTTAGACTTTTTTTATTACAGAAGGTCTACTATAGTGTCACCGAATTCTTAAATGACACAGTTATTTGATTGAAGTAAGACATGGCTATTATTTTATAAATTATGATTATTTTATTGGTTGTGATTGTTTCATTGGTTATGTGATTCTTACTATGAGTGTGACATATTGTACGAATTTAATTATGACATAACTGTATCTATAATTTTAATTTTGACATACCTACCTACATACAATTTTATTTGACATTTATAAATGTTTAACGCTGATAATATGATTATTACTTACAAAAAAATTTGCATGCCATGACAAGTGGTAAACATGTATTAAGTGCAACTGTTCTATTTTTTATCATCCTACATACATGCACCTGCGTGTGTGTGTATGTATACACATGTTTTTGCGAATAAATTTGAATTGAATTGATTGAATTGATAAAAGCAATAACCCACCAGTAACGGGCGACACCCAAGCTACCGGTGATCAGGGCTCCAGAGAAAGGAATTTCCGGACAATACGCGCCGTGTCCAGAAGTACTGCTTTCTGCATCAGGCCCTTGACCTAACCATCTAACGCTAGCCTACTCAGATGTTGGTCGAGGCTTTTAGCAATGAGGCCAGGGGTCAGGCAGATACTTATAATATGGCACTTCAGATTCTACAAGTTTATATTTTAAAGCAAGTTGTTGGTGAATAATCCTGGCTATAAGATTATGTCTATGCAAGTATCCTCCATTAGCTAGGTGAGAACAACGCGAAATTATTATTATTATCTTCATAGTTTTTTAGGTATTCTTTTCTCAGAGAGAGAAGGAGAAACTGCAGTCTTCGATTCGCCTACCAAGAGTGCAAATCATGATATACTCTCTTATGTAAATTAGGCTGAAATTGCAGCTTTGGACTATCGTAGTTGTACAGTCCAAGCACATACAAATTATCAGGACTTGCTACGCGCGTCTTATACTTTAGTGTTTTTATGGGATAAGCCGGTAAACGAGCACACGGATCACCTGATGATAAGCAATCAACGCCACCTATGGACACCTGGAACGCCAGAAGTGTTACAAGTGCGTTATCTGCCTTTTGGGGATTCATGGATTGGGGAAAGGAGGGGGAGGGCAATTGGGCCTCCTGTAGCCTTACTCACATACGCAAGTGTTGTTTCACGTCAGTTTTCAGTGAGGCCGTGGTATCACTCCGGTGCGTGCCGAAGAGTGGCTCTCCCACACGTATGGTACACAATTATCACTGAACTCGCTTGCACTCATTTATTTAATTAGTATAATATCAATCAATAAATGTTCGTGTTCGGTACGTAATGTCGTCTATCATTCAAACTACTATCATCATAAGGTGTTTATAACAAACATACATAGCTGTTGATGTTCATGATATTGCTCGATGTCTATGTTTTGGGAAATAAGCGAGGCTGTGTATTTTCTCTTTATTCGCAATTAACTAGCTACTCCCGCGCTCTTGCACCCGCTACTCGGTACCTAACATCGTAATGTTTTCTATCCTAATTATTATGTTTTCGGCTTACTCACGTAAATGTTTGACGAGGAACTCGACTAGTTTCAAGTCATGCTAGAGGCTCATATTCATGAGCACCATTCCGCGACCCGCGACTGTCACGCTGCTAATGGCTACTCGAGTCTACTGTGGTGCGGGCCCAACGCGCCCTCTGTCGTGATTCACGCGCACGCACCTCCATCTGTGGCGGTGCGCGCGACACCGCTGATACGTTGAACTCGTTCACCATTTTGAATCTTTTTAAAGCCTTCCTCTAAATGAACTATCCAATACATAAATAATGACTATTCAATTTGAATCAGTTCCATAGATTAGTGCGTTCACGGTTCAAACACACAAACTTTTCTGCTTTATAATAGAAGTAGGTAGTAGGTATACATAAAACGATCGCTGAAAGCATTTATTTCATTTCACCTTAGAATAAATAACCACTAAATCAATCCCGTGAACCCACAAATTAGATACAATCGTGACGTAATAAATTCAGAGATTACAACATCAAACGAGTAAATAGTATCATTATGAAGATATATTACCTGTTTATAGGCAATCAGTCTTTATGTACTATTTATTAGAGACTATTATCGTAAACAGCTGTGTTGATTTATGAAAACGAACGAATGTTTTTATAGAAGTCGCTGTTTCGTTGGTTGTATCGCAGAATGCAGTTGCGGCACCCGAGCACTGGAAACAAATATTAACCTCTTGTATATACCTAAGACACAACAGAAAACACATGTCTCGAATAGATCTACGCTCTGGCTACCATGGGTTAAGCTTTACTGTCTACGACACATCATTTGACGAATGCACAAAAATCTAATTAGTCCGTAAGTTAGGTAATGAAAAAATTTTATACACGTATTTTATTTTGTCGTATAATAAAACAATACTTATAAAACGAATCAAACTTTAGGAGTGGGGGCTAAAACGTCATTTCTACTTATAAAATGTACATAGAAGTGACGTCACGCGACATTTAAAATCAATATATCGTCGAAAGTATTTGTTTCTGTAAGAAAATAAAAAATGTGTGTCTAATGATTTAAAATAATCTACCAGACGCACAGTAAAATAAAACTTATTAATCTACCCTATTCACGTATAAAGCGGCTTACGAATGGCAATGCTTGAATGCTTGCATCTCGCTTAGGAATAATGAAAACTGTCCACGCAGCGGCAACGTTGTGTCACTCAGGCGTACTATCTTCGTAACCGCTCGTCATACACACTTTCGTCAATTGAAGATTGCATGAAGATAACAAGACGAAAGCTTGCATGCGTGCAAATGGGGTGTTGTTACGCGGACATTGAGCCTTAGATACTATAGATACTATATACGATATCCAACACAAAAAGAATTATTCAAATCAGACTTGTAGTTACGGAGATTAGCGCGTTCAAAAAAACAAATCTTCCGCTTTATATAAGAGTATAAGATTGGTGTTAAAACTTACATTTTTTATTGGTTGTGTATTTATTTTTTATCTCTTTCCCACAGCATGCTGCTGAGATAGAAAAAAAGCAAAATGAGTTGGAGAACAAGAAGCTACTCGGGACTGTCGTGCAGTACGGAAGCGTACTACAACTGCTGCATGTCAAGTCTAATAAATACCTTACTGTAAGTAACATCGACCTTATTGCTTTGGAAATAAAGGCGTTATTATTTCTTTAGTACTGCTTCCTTATCTTATTATTTGGTCCGATCTTTTGAGCGGAAATATGGGGTTGCTTCGAATGCTGGAAAACATTCTAATTTTTATAATAACTATCGTGAGACATACTAAATTTAGTAAAAACGCGGGTTTATCACGTGAATATACTGAGAAAAGCTATACAGCGTGCGCGGTCGCGGCTACGTCGCGCAGCTCATGAGGAAGAACCCCTCTGTGGTTCGAAACTAGTAGAGCTTTTCTCAGTATATTCACGTGAGTAACCCGCGTTTTTACTTAACATTCTAATTGTCAATTTTTAACGGTCCCAAGACATTTCAGTCAAAACTGCCAAATGACCGAGATATTCTTTTTTATTGAAAAAAAAATTTACAAATATACTTTTTTTGCATTAACCAATTTAAAAAAAATGATGTTCTCAATTTGACCTAAATGTATCTATAGGGATGTTTGTCCGCAATATCTCGCGATTAGCTGAACATATTTTGATGCGTTTTTAGAAAGTGCTTTTGAGGCTTAGGTTGGAAGGTTTTAGTATATTAACCGACTTGAGTGGCTGAAGTGGATTTTTTGAACCTTATTACTTACTAGCTGTTACCCGCGACTTCGTCCGCGTGAAATAACGACTTCTGTATAAATTGGGTTTTTTAAATTAGTCTTTGTCAAGGTATATTCTATGGCTGTACAACTGGAACAAATATCATCACAATCGATTCAGTACCTAGATTATATTTATTGAGAAATGAATTTATTTTCGTGGTTTCTGAAATAAACAATCCCATAGAGGTTTTACCCGTACAGTGCCCGTCTCGTGAGGTTTCACCGAGTTGCTGCACCGAATTTCACCAAATAGGTTCAATGGTTTAAAAGGTAAGAGCCCCTCTTTATTTCAACGTCCTTGGTCCTGGTTTTTTAGCGCATAGTTTCCGTCATTTTGAGATTTCCTCTCTCCTATAATGTGACCTGATATGTACCGGTGCGACGTGCGTTACTATCGCAAACATTTAAATGAAAAAATAGGTATTCTGAATTAGGTTAGTTACATATGATACATGTACTTTAATGTTGATATTAATGTCCTCTATAAGACTTAATACATCCCTTGGCTATTGTCCATAATTCCACAGCGTAATCAATACCAGTAATATAAGGAGTTTTTTTGGTAGTTTTTCACACATCGGTTGTCATTACCTAAGGAGATTTTATTTGAGGTCGGAAAATCATCCAATCACTTCTCCCGCCTTGGGTTAGGTGAGAGGGAGTGACAGATTCTTACTGACTAAAATCCACTCCGTTCCTACTCCTGCTCGTCGAGCCGGAGCCCCGTCAACTCGTTAGGCCTCCCGCGGCACCGTATCGAGCATCAGCCCTACTGGGCTCCATCTATGATGGTGTCATGGCTCTGTAAGGCGCGCGCCGTATGCACGGGACTGGTTCTGGTCGGGTGGCGAGCTACCCTTGCTCTTCGTCTACAGACCCGCACTTACGGTGGCCGGTGGCCGGCCGATCTTCGACGCCCAGAGTGTCTCCCGCGACGGCTGGGGCGTGAGGAAGTTCATTCCCTCACACGCTCCGCTTTCTCCTTGGCAAGCATAACTGCTTCGCAGAAGGATGCGACTGCATCTCAATCCCCCTCGCTCCATGGCCTGAACCAGAGCCGAACGCGAGAGGTCACCGTTTCCTACATCCCTGAGAACACGGCGGTGCTCAGTCCATGCAAGGTACACCGCCACGGTATGCTCCACCGTGTTCTCCGGGCGGTCCTTGCATTGATGACCTCTCTAAAGCCACTTTTAAAGAGGGGACTTTCCGCTGCAAAGACAGCGAGCCCAGCCCTCGGTTACCTAAAGGAGTGTTTCGCTGTGTAAGTGAGGTTACCGGAGGCCCAATTACCCCTCCCCCAGCCCCCCAATCCCTAACAATCCTCAAATTACCAATTCCCAAAAGACCGGTAACGCACTTCTATTACTTCTGGTGTTACAGGTGTCCATGGGCGGCGCAGATTGCTTACCATCAGGTGATCCGTCTGCTCGTTTACCGGCTTATGCCATAAACAAACAGCAAACTATCATAGTGAATTTGGCCTTGACGGTCTAAAATGAAAAGGACTAATATTATTTTTTAGCTATGTGCATTTAGCTAGTTTTTTTGATATACATATAAAAAATACGAATTCAAGTAAACTGAAAATATTTTATTCGTGGTTTTATCTCCTTAGACTGCTGTCAACCTCTTTGCATACCTTAATATTAATACCGTATAAAAAAAATCTATGACACATTGACTTTGTAAACTCACTTGTCAGACAAATGTCAGATGACTTAAGAAATGTATACTAATAATATAAATTGGTATGTGCTTGTTTGTTTGTTTGTCCGTATTTCACGACAGAACGGAGTCAGGAAGGTTTTTGATTTGAGATAGTTGAAAAGATGGAGAGTATCATAGGCTACTTTTTGTCTTTTTCTAACCCCCTTCCACTTCCGTGAAACAGAGGTGAAAGTTTGTATGGGGTATTTTGCAATTTTCAATGTGGAAAGCTAACAATTGGTATGCGGGTTATTTGTGACCAGCATAGAATCGTGCATCATTTCATTTTTTTATTGTAAATCCTTCCCTCACCCCATTAAAAGAACGCGAGAGAAGCCGCAGACAGAGGCTAGTCTATGAATAAATTGTAGTCAGTCAATTGAATTCGTATTTTGTCTTTAAAATCCCTGATCCCTGATGCAGCTGAATACTAATATTATTCCTTGAAAACCCACAGAACTTCATTTTTATATGTTGATGCCAAAATATATTATGAAAGTAGGACGTCATAACAATGACAAATCATTAGGTTGTTACCTGTCAGATATCCGTTTTCAGGTTTTCAGATAAATCGTAATAATTATTCTTACAACAACCCCTTTTTCGCGATAAAAAGTAGTCTATGTTTTATCTCGGGGTCTAGAATATCTGTATACCAAATTTCATTCAAATCCGTTCAGTAGTTTTGGCGTGAAAGAGTAGCAGACAGACAGACAGACAGAGTTACTTTCGCATTTATAATATTAGTTAGGATATGTATATGCTTGCTCAATCCAAGCAAGCTTGGTGATTAATGCTCAAACCTTCTTCGTGTGAGAAGAGGCTTTGCTCAGCAGTGGGCATTTATAGGCTGTTGATGATGATACATACATAACATCACGCCTTTTATCCCCGAAGGGGAAAATTAACATATACGTAGTCAAATAAGCCGCAATTAAATTGAAAGCTGGTTATAGATTATATAACATAACATAACATCACGCCTTTTTATTTCCGAAAGGGAAGGCAGAGGTGTACATTACGGCACTTAATGTTCGAAATAGTTTGTGCTACTGTGTACCTACATAAAAGATTTCTATTTTTTATTTGTGTTGTTTACATACCGCCAAGTAGTAATGATACTGAATATATGTCATTATTTCGCATCATTGAACATTATTGTGGTAAATACGAGAATGTGGTGATTATAGGAGACTTTAACTTGTATTCGTGTTCTTCAGCCATAAGTGATTATTATGAATACTTTCGTGCTTTTTGTGGATTCACTCAGAGTAACACAGTGGGAAATTGTAATGATCGTTGTTTGGATTTGGTGTTGAGTGCATTGACTGAGGGAGGGCGTGTGAGTGTGCGTGCGGCCGAGACGCCGCTGGTACCAGTGGACGCGTACCACCCGCCGCTTGAGATCAAGGTAAGTACTTGCTCGCGCCGACGCCGGAGCGTCAGCTCAGTAGCCCCGGCTGCGCCCTGCACAGCGAGCTCGGCACCCGAAACAAGTTGGAACTTTAACAAAGCCGATTTTCCAACATTATATTCCTTAATCTCAACCATAGACTGGACTACTTTGTATGACTTAGACGTAGAATTAGGTTTAGATTATTTTTACAATGTTATTAATTCTGTTATAGATGACTGCGTTCCGAAAAAAAAGCGAAGTCGTGTAAACTCAAGGTACATTTACCCTGAGTGGTACACGAGTGAGATAATTCGCGACATAAAATTAAAGGCTTTTCTGCATAAGCAGTACAAGGCGAGTGGGTCGAAAGTGGACTACGATGCTTTTGCTGTATGTAGGGCTCGCGTTAAAAAGATGATGGTAGTCGCGCAGAAACAATATCGTGACCGTGTCCAGAGTCAAATGCTGAGTGACCCTAAATCATTTTGGAATTACACCAAATCCAAGAGGGGTAGGAGGGGACCGCAGGAGATTTTGAAAGATGGAGAGGTTTTGTCTGGTCAGCGATGTGTTGAAGAGTTTGCGCAGTATTTTTACTCTGTTTATAGGGCAGAACCACCAGCGCTGGACGTTGACGCGGCTGTAGCAAGAGCAGGTAGTGGAAACGGAGCGGCGCGAGTACACTTTGACCAATTAACGCTGGCAGATGTGTCTCAAGCGCTACAAGATCTGAAGCCGAAGCGATCCGCAGGGCCTGATGGCATTCCCCCTTATATTTTTAAGGACTGTCGTTCAGCGCTAGCAAAGCCACTGCTTCATATTTATAATCAGTGTCTGCAAACTGCCATGTTCCCTGAGAGGTGGAAAGTGACTCGCGTTGTTCCGGTTCCGAAGGGGGTATCTGCAGAATCTGTAGATGGGTTTCGGCCAGTAGCAGTATTGTCGACACCGGCAAAAGTATTAGAGACCGCTATCCATAAGAGCATATATGTACAAGTGCGCGCGCAGCTCTCAGATGCTCAGCATGGGTTTCGACCGGGAAGGAGCACCACCAGTAATCTTCTCTGTCACATGGCTCATTTGATACCAACAGTGGATGGTGGGGGGCAGACTGATGCTGCTTATTTCGATTTCCGAAAAGCATTCGACCTTGTCGATAATGACGTGTTGCTAACGAAGTTCGCTAGCTTTGGTTTCACCCCACATACACTTCAGTTTTTTGCCAGCTATTTAAGGGATAGGCAACAATATGTTGAATATGCGGGACATGTGTCGGATCCATATTTCACTAGATCAGGAGTGAGTCAAGGTAGTAATCTTGGACCTTTGAGTTTCCTTCTGGTGGTAAATGACTTGCCAGAAGTAGTCCAAGATGCTAATTGTCTGTTGTTTGCTGACGATCTCAAATTATCTCTTGCAGTAAGAACTGAGGAGGATTGTGTCAGGTTACAGAGGGACATTGATAGAGTGGTGAGCTGGAGTAAAGAAAATCTCCTACAATTCAATAGTTCGAAATGTGTTACAATTGCGTTTTCGCGTGCACATAATCCTATTGAGGGCAGCTATCACATTGAGGGGAAGCCTTTGGCGCGAGTCGGGGAAGTCAAGGATTTGGGAGTAAGATTTAACACCGGTCTGACATTCCGTGAACACATCATGGGTTGTTGTAAAAAGGCTTTTAGAAACTTAGGCTTCATGCTCCGAACGGTCCGTGGATTTACTAACATAAAAGCCATCATCACACTATATAACGCACTAGTTAGGAGCCAGTTAGAATGTAACGCAGTCATCTGGTCTCCGCATGAAGCTAAATATAGTCTCATGCTGGAGAGAATTCAAAATAAATTTATTAGATATTTATATTTGAGGTACTATGGGGTCTATCCGTTTTACCCATTGATGTATCCCACATTATTTATTTTAGGCATGGTGGGGTACAATGAGTTAAGGGTAAGACGGGATTTTGCACTCACCTCACATTTGTTTAAAATATTAAGAGGAAAGCTGCACAATGCAGTCATTTTAGGACAGCTGAATCTATGTGTTCCGGATAGGTACGTGTGGCGACGCCGGCGACCGCCACTGCTGGCAGAACCCCGCGGTCGGACCAACCTATTAAGGGAAGCGCCGCTGACGCGTGCACTTCGCACGCTCAACCTGATTTCTAATGAAATTGACCTATTTTGTTGTACTCTGGGTGAATTCACAAGGAATGCATTATATGTAATATGCTATAGGTAGATATTAAGATGAGCACATTTATCGCATTGGGCATTAACCTGTAAAGATAAATGTAAGTGGAAATAAATAAATAAATAAATAAAATAAAAATTAATGCCACTGTACAATGTAACACCCACTTTTCACAATTTATGTTATGGGTCCCATGTAATAGGGGGTGAGCCTATTGCCATATACCGGGCACAATTCCAGACTCCGTGCTACTACTGATTGACTGAGATTTTTTTGAAAAAGCCCAGTAATATTTTGCCCGACCCGGGAATCGAACCCGAGACCCCTTGCTCGGCAGTCGCAATTGCGACCACTCGGCCAACGAGGCAGTCAAACGGCCAACGGCCAAAGAGGCTGATGATGATGATGACATGACATGTATAATATAAATGAGTATAAGTAGATATGTTTTATTTGCAGGTAAATAAAAGATTGCCCGCGTTGCTGGAAAAGAACGCCATGCGTGTACACCTTGACGCCAACGGCAACGAGGGTTCTTGGTTTTACGTTATGCCCTTCTACAAATTGCGTTCCACTGGTAAGATAGCAATAATGAGACATACTTTTACATACCATTACGCCTTTTTTCCCCGTAGGGGCAAGCAGAGGTGCATATTACGGCACTTAATGGCACTGTACTATGTAACACCCACTTTTCACTATTTATGTTATGAGTTCCATGTAATAAGGGGGTAAGCCTATTGCCATATACATAACATCACGCCTTTTATCCCCGAAGGGGTAGGCAGAGGTGTACATAATGCCACTGTACAATGTAACACCCACTTTCACTATTTATGTTATGAGTTCCATGTAATAGGGGGGTAAGCCTATTGCCATATACATAACATCACGCCTTTTATCCCCGAAGGGGTAGGCAGAGGTGTACATAATGGCACTGTACAATGTAACACCCACTTTTCACTATTTATGTTATGAGTTCCATGTAATAGGTGGTGAGCCTATTGCCATATACCGGGCACAATTCCAGACTACTGAGAGTTTTTTTTTAAAAACCCAGTAATACTTTGCACGACCCGGGAATCGAACCCGAGACCCCTTGCCCAGTAGTCGCAGTTTTTTATGGAATAAGCCGGCAGACGAGCGTACGGATCACCTGATGGTACACAATCGGCGCCGCCCATGGACACTTGAAACACCAGACTCGTTACAAGTGCTTTACCAGCCTTTTGGGAATTTGAGGATTGTGGGGGATTCGGGGATTGGGAAGACTGGGGGGAGGGGGTAATTGGGCCTCCGGTAACCCCACACGACGAAACAATGCAACCGTTGTTTCACGTCGGTTTTCTATGTGGCTATGGTACCACTCCGGTCAAGCCGGCCCATTGGTGCCGAAGCATGGCATTCGTGCCGAAGCATGGCTCTCCCACACTTCCCACCAAGCACTGGATAGCCACTAAATTAAGATACCTCAATGAAACAACGCAATAGAGGCGAATCAAATTATTTATTTATTTATATCTTCTTCGCACAATATTACAGTGAATGGCGGTCATACGCCCGTATACTGATAGGCTACTCAATTTGAAATCGTACTTAAACATCGTGCCATCTCTGTCATTTTACAATTACAAGCTTCTGTTTCTCCTTTCATTAACTCGTCGAGTACCGGTTTTATAGACACAATTAAAGAACAATAGGTCGCTGTCACCGGTGACCGCTTGGTGTTTGACAGTTTAACATACAAATAACCAAACACACACACACATACACACACGCACTCACGCACTTTATTGTATTTTTTATATTATTTATGTATTTTTTTTGTATTGCTAGTATATTATATCTATTGCAGGTATTTTTTTTATCTTTTTTTTATTAAACACTTAACTACCCCATATATAGTTTCTTATAAATATTTCCATCCAAAGGTTGTCTGGAAGAAATCAACATTGTGTGATCAGACCGCTCATTGTACGCATAATTTACTTGAATTGTTTGTTTTTTTGAGCTACTTATGTATACAATAAAGCATATATTAAACTGTCAAACACCAAGCGGTCACCGGTGACCGCGACCTATTGTTCTTTAATTGTGTCTATAAAACCGGTACTCGACGAGTTAATAAATAAATATAGTTAAGCGCGACTTAAAATTCAGTGGCGTTCGAGTATTTCAGCGTTAATGCCTTAAGGCTTAAGGCATTCTCTGGCAGTCATCAGTTTCATCGAAATCAGACCGGTAGTTTTTGCGTAATGCGTGAACATACAGACACACATACAGACAGACAAACATGCTTTTAATCAAATTTTTATGTTCGGTATCTAATTATCTATTTAGTAACATCCCCCACAAATTTTTTTATTCTTTCCTTGTACAGAATGTACACTTGTACAGTTTTATTATATGTATAGACTATTTGTGGTTCAAAGCTCTATATTGATTGATTGCAGGTGATAACGTAGTAGTCGGAGACAAGGTAATCATGAACCCCGTTAACGCCGGCCAACAAGTCCTACACGTCTCATCTAATCACGAACTGCCTGATAACGTTGGCTGTATGGAGGTGAGCAGACTATTATCTAACAAACAATCAAGTATAACAAACTAGGTAATTATAGAGTACTAGCTTTTACCCGCGACTTCGCTCGCGTCACAAAAGGATAAAAAGTAGCCCATGTGACATATACCAATACATACAGCGACATCTATAACAATACTTTTGTTTTTCCTCGGGAATATCAAATTTTTTCGGGATAAAAAGTACCCTATTATTTAATCCAGACTACTACCTACTGTATGTGATGTGTAATGTGCCTACTGTCGAATAAATGATTTTTCTTTCTTTCTTTCTTACTAACTTTACGAACTTTACGTCTGCAAAAATTCAATGCAATCGGTTTAGTAGTTACGGCGTGAAGTCGGAACAAACAAACTCACTTTCCGATTTATAATATTAAGTAAGGAAGGTGACTGTACGGCTGTCACGGTGCGTGGACCACCACGGATTCCTGGAGTTTTGATGGCGCTTGTGTGATCCATCCAAGTTGTTGTTTCGGTTTTGTGTGTGACTGTGATGTATAAGAATAAGAATAATTTATTTAGCAAAACAAAGGAAAAGTATACGTATTATTTAACAAAATGCGATAATGAATACATAGAAATCACAATCACAATTGCAAGGTAGACCAAAAAAATACATAGTTTATAATGCATACATACCAGTTAACATAAGCAGTGTCATTTCTGTAGTATCAATAATACACAGCAATCATAAAATACACCTTGCAAACAAAAGTAATTTAACTCAGTAATTCACAAGACATTAAGTTTGTGATACCAAAAGTGTAATAAATGACCACAGACGGTATGTTGTGGTTTAGTTTATTACAATAAGTGACAGTACTTCGCATAACATGTAGACGCAATAGATAGAAACCCGAGGCTGCGGATACCCGCAAGGTTACCCTTTACCGGGGATACACGTCGAAGCAAGTTTCAAGGAAAAACGCAGTGGTTTTTGATCAGTGAGAGTTCACATCTCTTCTCACCTAGAGTGCGAGGAGTAATTTGATGATCCCCCCCCCCCCCCCCTCAAGCAGGCACTATATAATATACTGCAGGACAAAAACCTCAACCACTGTTCTCATTCTAACAGGAGGACGTCCTGATCTCCTCGACTGTAACTGGGCATGCCTGCCTAGTCCAGCTATATCTCACAGGAGATATAAAAGAAAATGTCAGTTATTTATTCTGTAGATAGCTAGGATTTCCGATTGTGATGTATGTACTTAAGGTCCATTTTTGTTTGACTGTGTACGCCTATGTCCTTAGGGTTGTTTCTATTATGAATGTGTAACTTAAACTTATCTGGTAGAAAGCTACAAGTTCATGCGTATTGACATCTTATTACTTGTTACATTAGGTTCATTTTTGTTTGGCTACGGAGTCACAGCTTTGTTATATGTGTTTAGTAGGCACTGGATATATGTATACATATGAGAAAAGGTGAGAATAAAAAGCCAGGAGTTCGTCTGTATTTCGGCCCGGAGGTTTAAGACGCCCGCTTGTCATGCATGAGGGTGCGGTTTCGTAACCTACCAACGGCAAGTACCAATGTGACTTTTTCCGAGTTATATGTACTTTCTAATATTAGACACCACTGACAAACGGTGAAGGTAAACATCGTGAGGAAATCTGGGCTTATTATTTCTAATTATAAGTTTGAAATCGGAAACCAGCACTGAGCAAGCGTGGTAATTAATGCTTAAATCTTCTCCGTGTGAGAAGGCCTCTGCCTTTGGTCAGCAGCTGCTATTGATGTGATGTGTGTTTATTTAGATTTGCTAGTTAATATTATTATATTGGATTACGATCGATTTTGACGGAACCTCCACACAATAAAGTGTGGGAGAGCCATGCTTCGGCACGAATGGGCCGGCTCGACCGGAGTGATACTACAGCCTCACAGAAAACCGACGTGAAGCAACGCTTGCTTTGTGTTTCGTTGTGTGAGTGAGGTTACCGGAGGCCCAATTACCCTCCCCTTCCCCAATCTTCCCAATCCCTGAATCCCCAACGATCCTCAAACTCCTAATCCCCAGAAGGCCGGTAACGCACTTGTCCCGCCTCTGGTGTTCCAGGTGTCCATGGGCGACGCCGATTGCTTACCATCAGGTGATCCGTCTGCTCGTTTACCGGCTTATGCCATTAAAAAAAAACAAATTATGTCAAAAGTCGATCCTAATCTACTTTAGATCAAATTCGATTATAATAAAACAAGTCATCAATTTCTCAAACAGGTGAATGTGGTCAACTCTTCGACGTCATGGAAAGTGACGTTGTTCCTAGAACACAAGGAGAACCAGGAGGAGATCTTGAAGGGTGGTGACGTGGTAAGACTGTTCCATGCTGAACAGGAGAAGTTCCTCACCATGGATGAGTACCAGAAGCGGCAGCACGTGTTCCTGAGGACCACGGGACGGTCTAGTGCAACAGCTGCGACCAGCAGTAAGGCGTTGTGGGAGATTGAGGTTAGAGATGTTCCCGAAAGTAGTTAACTTGGTAAATAGGGATGATGAGAAAGTATGAAAATTAATATTAATTAATAATATATTTAGTTTGGTAGTTAGGTAATAAAAAATATTAGACACGTATTTTTTTATTTTGTCATATAAGAGAATAAGACTTCGTTAAAACTAATCAAAGTTTAGAAGTGGGAGCTAGCTATTTTTGAATATAAAACGTACACATAAGTGACGTCACACGATATTTGATATCAATATATCGTCGGCATAATTCGTTTCCGTAGGAAAATAAAAAATTCGTGTCTTATGTTTTAAAATAATTTACTAGACGGGCATTAAAATAAAAATTAGTCATCTACCCTATGATCAGACTTAAAAATCGACCTCGAAATCTCTTATTTGGCTTCAAATTAGGTTTGTCTCCATAAAGGACCTCTATAACTTAATAGTAACTCGCACTGAGCACCCTGGAAGTCATTGAAGGAGGTATATGTTGAGCAGTGGACCTCTATGGCTTGTATCATGACGATGATGTATTTTCAAAATGTATTTATTGTATGCTCACGGTATCCACCAGGTGGTACAACATGACCCGTGCCGAGGTGGTGCTGGCCACTGGAACTCAATCTTCAGGTTCAAACACCTCGCCACCGGCCACTATCTGGCTGCTGAAGCCTGTAATAGACCTCCGTAAGTTGTTATTTTAACAGTTAATGGTCTTTTTTGTATGGAATAAGTCTGTATACGAGCAGACTGATCACCTGATGGTAAGGAATCGGCGTCGCCCATGGACACCTGGAACACTAGAGGCGTTACAAGTGCGTTACCGACCTTTTGGGGATTAGGACGATTCTTGGGATTCAAGGATTGGGGAGATTGCAGATTCTTCTAATTTCTAATCATATAAATTGGTAGCCCGCACTGAGCAAGCATGGTGATTAATGCTCAAACCTTCTCTGTGTGAGAAGAAGCCTTTGCGCACTTATAGTTTATTGATAATGATGTTCCTCACACATGTCCCCCATGGGGGTAGGCAGAGGCTCTGGAATGCCAATTGCTACGATTCTTACATACCTCTATCGCTTCATTAACAGTCATCAGTCTTTTTATGCATTCTCGTCGGTAACGGGTACTTTTAATGATGATGATGATCTTGTATACAGTGACGCGCCCGTGGACCCCTGCGAGCCAGCGTACCAGTTGGTCTCTGTCCCGCATTCCTCCGAGATCGCCACGCTATTCGAACTTGACCCCACCACCATGACACATTCCGACGCTCCAGTTCCACAGAGCAGCTATGTCAGGTAATACTTTACTTTAGTTTTGGGTACAGCTAGGAGCAACCTAGCTTCATTGACAGACAGACGGATGGCCCATTCAAATTATTAATTTGATTTTTCAAAGGTGATTAATTAAGGATTAATTTGTATAACTGCTTTGACTTTGTCTTTAGGTAATTTACTCTAGTGTCCTACCGAAACTGGTTTTCTGGCCGAAACCGAAATCGAATGCTCGGTCGTGACTTTCAGTTTCGGCCGAAACCGAAAGTCACGAGGTCAACTATAAAATTTCTGAAAATTCTGAAATTTGCTGCATTTTATCTATTATTTTGCATTAATTAGGGCATGAAATGGAAACACAGTACATTAAGTTTGTTATAATCATTTATTAAATATAATATAAAAAAATATTAATAACATTTTTATTATTTTTTCTTTTTAAAACCCCAGTAATACTTTGCCCGACCCGGGAATCGAACCCGAGACCCGTTGCCCGGCAGTCGCACTAGTGACTACTCGGCCAACGAGGCAGTCTTCTATGTTCTATGTTTTATTCGCGTGTAAACTTGACTGTGCTATATGTAGGATTTGTGTGACGTCATCAATAGCATTTATCGTATCGAAGCGTCTATGCGTGTCGCCACTTCTATGTGTGTTGAACTCACACGGTTCTCACACATAATTCAAATTCAAAATTCAAATTCTTTTGTTGCATATCATGTGTACAATTGGTGTTACATGAAGTACAGTATCAACATGAAACCCGGCTAGGGCACGGCAACATATGGAGCAAAATATAATCTAATTAAACTACTATCAATATTTATTATATTATAACATAAGAAATGTTGTTTTAAACATTAACATATTTTCTTTAATCTTTTATACATATTTGTCTCAACTTAAAAAGAGACGAACCTCTGAATTTGTTTCGGCATTTCTTTTCTTAGAGTAGTCAGAAATGTCGGGCTCATCGTCCGCTTGATAAAATTGACGTGTAAAAGTGCTGCTTTGTAGCCTATTTGCAGAAACAAATTCACTTGTTTCTTTTGTTTCATTTGAATACTTATTAGGTCATATAAATTGGGCTCGCTGCCATTGCAGCGGTAAGTCCCCTCTTTGAGGAGTGGCTTGAGAGACGCTACGGCGTCCTCACCTACCGCCTGACGCAGGTCCTCACCGGACATGGAAGTTTCGGGAGGTACCTGTGTCTGATGGGGCGGGAGGAAACGCCCGGGTGTCATCACTGCGAGGACCGCCCTGAGGACACGGTGGAACACACCGTAGCGGAATGCCCTGCGTGGGCTGAGCACCGCCGTGCCCTCAGGGAAGTGATCGGCGATGGCGACCTCTCGCGTCCGGGCCTAGTGCAGGCCATGATGCGGAGCGAGGGGGACTGGGATGCCGTCTCCTCCTTTTGCGAAGCAGTCATGCTAGCTAAGGAGGAGGCGGGACGCGTGAGGCAGCGAAGCGCTGCCTCCTCGCGACCCAGCCATCGCGAAGGACACACCGGGCGTCGGGGATCGCGGGACGATCTCCGGCCACCGTAAGCGCGGGCCTGCGGACGGCGAGCATGGGTGGCTCCCCGTCCGACCAGAAACAGACCCGAGCGTACGGCGCGTCGCGTTCCGCGCGCGCCTCAAAGAGCCATCAGACCACCACAGATGGGGCCCAATAGGGCCGATGCCGATTCGGAGTCGCGGAGAACCTAACGGGTAACCGGGGCTCCGGCTCGACGTGCAGGAGAAGGAACGGGGTGGTTTTTAGTCAGTAAGAGTCTGACACTCCCTTCCGCCTCACCCAGGCGGGAGCAGTCATTCGATGATTTTCCCCCCTTAAAAAAAAAAAAAAAAAAAAAAAAAAGGTCATATAAATGGTGGTCCTCATGTTTTTTTTTTAAATATTTGATGGGTCGACGTTTGTCCATTATCTCGCCTGGTGGTAAGCGATAGTGCGGCCTACGATGAAGTACGTTTACATTGTTTACATCTGTTGCAGGCTCCAACACCTTTGCACGCACACGTGGGTTCATTCTACGTCTATTCCCATCGACAAGGATGAGGAGAAGCCTGTCATGTCCAAGGTGAGACTAATAATATTATAAATATAAACATTTGTGTGTATGTTTGTTACTCCAAAACATCAAAACAGCTAAAGGCATCGGGATAAAATTTATAACATTAATATTAAGTGTGGGAGAGCCATGCTTCGGCACGAATGGGCCGACTCGACCGGATTGATACCACGTCCTCACAGAAAACCGACGTGAAACAACGCTTGCATTGTGTTTCGTCGTGTGAATGAGGTTACCGGAGGCCCAATTACCCTTCTCTTCCCCAATCTCCCCAATTCCTGAATCCCCAACGATCCTCAAACTAATAATAATTCGTTCCATGTACTTTATTTGGTACATATCCGCGATAAATTTAGTTATACTCACACAACTTATATGAGGGTGGTGAAACAGTTCCTAATTAAAGAGGATGATTTGTATGATACATGCTTTATTGACATTCCAGGTGGGCTGCTCCCTCATTAAAGAAGACAAGGAAGCGTTTGCATTAATATCGGTGTCGCCTAGCGAGGTTCGAGATCTCGATTTCGCTAACGACGCCTGTAAAGTGCTCTCGGCCTTGTCCACCAAACTGCAGCACGGGAATATAGAACATAATGAGAGGAAGTAAGGACGGTTTTACAGTAATTTTATAGTCTGAGAATTACATACATACATACATAACTTCACGCCTGTCTCCCATGGGGGTAGCCAGAGACTAGGAAACACCAATTACTACGATTCCTACATATCTCTTTCGCTTCATCAACAGTCATCAATCTTTTCATGCATGCTCGTCGGTTAAGGGTACTTTTAATTTGGCCCATCTTTAAAATATTGATTGATTTTACGATACGCATTTTTCTAACAAATTTTAAAAACTAAGTATGCTATTTAACGGTAAAGTATGATGACGCCACAAGTCTGTATATTTGAAAAATGTAGTTTTTGATATATATATTTTTTTTATAAAAACGTTCCCCCACACTAGGATTATCTCCTGTGTCATGGGTGCGTTTACAAACATACAAGTTCACATACATATGACACCCAGACCCGGAACAACAATCTGTGGGTCACATAAAGAGTTGTTCCGTGCGGGAATTGAACCCGCGACACCGTGCAGTCATGATATACCGATAACAATTTGGTTACAGAGCTCTGACTTGCTTGTTGCAAGACATAGTGTACTTCATAGCGGGCTTCGAGAACGAGCCCAACAAGTCGGAGGCACTGGAACTTGTGGTAGAGAACCCTAATAGGGACCGACAGAAGCTACTCCGGGAGCAGTACATACTCAGGCAGCTCTTTAAGATATTACAGGTAATTTGATTATAACTATCGTGAGACATACAAAATTGCTAAAAATCACGAGTTACTCACAAGAAAAGTACTACTAGTTTCGAGCCACAGATGCAGCTGTAGCCAAATGCCATTTAGCGCTTGTCTACATGTAGAATAGAAAACCAAATTATATGGAATTGACGTAAATTTTGACACTTGTCAGTGTCATCCCCATACATTTTGATTTCTACTCTCTCTGTAGACAAGCGCTAAAGTGGCGTTTGGCTAAAGGCCATGGACTCTTCTGGCAAATGGCGCGATGGCACCAACGCAAACGCTGGCGCTAGCTAGTAGGCTGCGCGACATCGCCACGACCGCGCCAGTTTTGTGTACCAGCCCCAAATTGAAACCTTGTACTACTCACTAATAAGCATATTGAGTTTGGGCTCATAAGTTAATATATATTCATCTATACATATAATAAAATCGTAGAAAAGTCATTTATAATATATGGCTCATAAGATTATAAATATGGCCATTTTTAATAATAACTATCGTGAGACATATTAAACTAACCAAAAAAATCGCGGGTTTCTCACGTACGTACGTTCTCAAATACTGAGACAAGCTCTACTAGTTTCGAACCATAGAGGGGTTCTTCCTCATGAGCAGCGTGCGCGGTCGCGGCGATGTCTACATGATGGCCAGCGTTGGCGCTCGCATTGGTGTTGCTGCATGCACATCCAGCCCAACGCGCCCCCTGCCGGACACCACGAGCGTTTGCTTCCAACTCCGGCGGGGCGGCGCGTTGGATGATGTTAAAGCACGTGACTTTCTGCCGAACCCGGAATTGAAGCCACTACCCGCGCCGCGGGTGAACGTTTGCCCATTTCTCCTAAAGAATACATATGAACTAAATGCGTGTTTTTAGTTTTTTAAACTATAGAATTATTTTAATTGAGACATTTTGTAAAATTATTTAACTAACTTTACTATGAAATATTATTCCAGGGTCCATTCCAAGAGACGACTGATGGAGAAGCGTTCTTGAAGATCGAGGAGCTGTACGACCCTCGATATGCTGCCTATAAGTACATCTTTCGTCTTTGCTATCGAATTCTAAGACTCAGTCAACAGGACTATAGAAAGAACCAGGTTTGTAATATTATTATTTTTAACCGACTTCAAAAAAGATGGAGGATTTCAGTTTTATCTGTATGTATGTTTGTTTGTGATGATACTGAAGCGGGTTTTAGAAAAGTGTTTATTACACTTGGGAGAAGATTTTAGTAAATAAATTAACCAACTTTAAAAAAGATGGGATTGAAGTTGATTGTTTTTAAGCGTAGTATATAAAATAATTATTATGTACCTTAAAAGTTATGCATTGTTTTGTTCATTCTACACTAGATATTCCACCAAATATTTGGAAACCGCTTGTAGAAACAAAGTCGTAGCTGAAACAAAGTCGAAAGCATTTATTTCACTATATCCTTGGAATTAGGCACTTAGTACTTTTGAATGACAAATTGAATTGCTAGGGAAGCTAGCGTTCCAAAGCGTTTTAAACGGAGAAGAAAGAGCAAGAAATTCCTCCGTTGAAATATTATTATTTTATTCCATAGGGACAAATAACGAGAGCTTAAATCTTTAAAACTGTGCGACGGATTTTGATGTAGTTCTTGAATAGATAGAGATAATCAAAGCGAAACAAGTGTGGGAGAGCCATGCTTCTAATGAGCCGGCTCGACCGGAGTGATACCACGGCCTCACAGAAAACCGACGTGAAGCAACGCGTGCGTTGTGTTTCGTCGTGTGAGTGAGGTTACCGGAGGCCCAATTACCCTCCCCTTCCCCAATATCCCCAATTCCAGAAACCCCAACGATCGTCAAACTCGTAATCCCCTACAAGCCGGTAACGCACTTGTAACGCCTCTGGTGTTCCAGGTGTCCATGGGCGACGCCGATTGCTTACCATCAGGTGATCCGTCTGCTCGTTTACCGGCTTATGCAATAAAAAAATCCCTAATGAACTGGTTTTGTCTGGTTTTCTGTATGTTTTGTCTAACGGTGACATAATTTTTACAGGAATACATAGCAAAGCACTTCGGCTTCATGCAGAAGCAGATCGGTTACGACATATTGGCAGAGGACACTATCACTGCCCTGCTTCACAACAACAGGAAGCTTTTGGAGAAGCACATCACGGCCTCCGAGATAGAGACCTTTGTTGGTCAGTACTATTCTTTTAAAATAATATAACATCACGCCTTTTTATCCCCGGGGGGGGGGGGGGGGGGAGAAGTGTACGTAACGACACTTAATGCCACTGTACAATGTAACACCCACTTTTCACTATTTATGTTATGAGTTTCCCCCACACTAGGATTTTCTCCTGTCGTGGGTGCGTTTACAAACATACAAGTTCACATACACATGCTCTAGAAGATCACTTGATTAATTGTTATTCGTGGAGGACCAAAATCAAATAGCACAACTTTTTCATATTCACATAAATACAAATTTTTTCCTCTCTTCTTTGACAACATGGGATACGCATTTAGACCATTCGGACCATTTTCAACCGACTTCAAAAAAAGGAGGAGGTTCTCAATTCGACCCGTATGTTTTTTTTTTTCTATATTTGTTACGCGATTACTCCGCCAATTATGAACCGATTTGAAAAATTCTTTTTTCGGCGTATAGGTAATACCTCAAGGTTGGTCCCATTTAAATTTACTAATAAAAATAACAACCCCCAAGGGTGGAAAATAGGGGATGAATTTATTTATACGCAATAACTCCGCCGATTTTAAACCAATTTGAACGATTATTTTTTTATTGAATAGGTATTATCAAAAGGGTGGTTTCATGCGAATTTGAAGAAAATATTTCACCCCCAAGGGTGGAAAATTGGGGGATGATTTTTTTATACGCAATATCTCCGCCGATTATGAACCAATTTGAACTATTATTTTTTTGTTGAATAGGTATTATCAAAAGGATGGTTTCATGCGAATTTGAAGAAAATATTTCAACCCCCAAGGGTGGAAAATTGGGGATGAAATTTTTTATACGCAATATCTCCGCCAATTATGAACCAATTTGAACGATTATTTTTTTTAAGATTCTTTCTTACTTTCTTTTAAACGCACTTCCCTTTCTTCTTTTGTTTCCTCCAAACGGCGCTGTCATTAAGGCTGCGCGTTTAGTAGGCCTACCCATATTAAATGCACTAAGGGTATCTACAAAAAAGTAACACTAAAAATTTTAAAATAAAATAATTAACTTTTTAAAAAAAATAAAACCGACTTCAAATGCGAGAACACAAAAAAAATTTTCTAAACTATATCAAAGTAATTAAAGTTAAACCATCTAAATATCTTAAAATAGTTATACTTATATACTACCTATTGTTTTTGGAGTCGGTGCCAGTAATAAATGATATTAAACCTAATGAAATAAGAAAAGTACTCAATGAAACAAAAATATTAAGAAATAAGTTGTATGTAGCCTGGTAAACTAAACCTATACCAACAAAGAATAACAAATACCTACAAATCCTACAATAGAATACAACAAAAAAAAGAAAGCAATAATTTGAAATATTGCGCATCCGAAAATTCAGTATTTTTGACACGAGCGTCAACGTAGTCTGCCCTCAAGCGTCTGCCCGCCTTCGGGTCGCTTACTCGAGCAAGACCGCACGCGCCCGCGTCCCCCGCCGCACCGCGCGGCCCCGCCTCGCGCCATGCGTCCCCCGCCACCGCGTCGCACGTCTCTAGTTCGCGGGTAAACTTTAATACGCTGGCACTGGCACCGACTCCAAAAAACAATAGGTAGGTATATAGTATAACTATTTTAAGATATTTAGATGGTTTAACTTTAATTACTTTGATATAGTTTAGAAAAATTATAGTATTAGGTAATAGGTATTAGGAATTATTTTTTAATTTTTATTTTTTTTTTGTGTTCTCGCATTTGAAGTCGGTTTTATTTTTTTTTAAAAGTTAATTATATAGAGCTACGATTACTAATTATTTTTACATAATTATTCACAATAATTATTTAAATAAAAATCAATAATTTAGTCTTTAATTGGCACACACTGATTGTTTATCGATGTTTGTGTTCATCACTATACTATGATATGTGGTATCATTATTTCACAAAATGACAGTAGCTAATGTCAAATCTGGAATGGAATAAAAATTCTGACTATAGTAGCCAGCTACCACAGGCATTGTTTCAAGAGACTACGTCCGCCCTTATTTCAACGTCATTGGTTTGAGTGATGCATTCCGCATACAAATACGCCTAAAATAATTGTAGGTTGCATGCATTCGTCAAATGATTCGATGTGAATTGAAACCAATCGAGCTTCTCTCTAATAGTTGACACAAGTATACCGTGTATATCAACCAAGTAAGTTTGACTGCACGGCTGATGCGGTGGTTGGGCAACCGGCTGCCGTGCAACGTGTCGCGGGTTCGATACCCGCACGGAACAACACTTCGTGTGATCCACAAATGGTTGTTCCGGGTCTGGGTGTCATGTGTATGTGAACTTGTATGTTTCTAAACGCACCCACGACACAGGAGAAAATCCTAGTGTGGGGTAACTTTTTTTTTAAAGAATGTTGAGCATCTTTTATTTGACTACAAAGTGTACATACAGTTAGGAGAATCCGTCTTCTTCATGAGATATGCAGTGAAAGGAGTTAGGGCAAACATAATGTCACTTAGAAATGATTGTAGCATCAAAATGTTAGTGGTTTATTTATATGTGCGTATGTATTGGGTTACGTATCGATGTGTGTATGTTCTGCGTGTACGTCATTGGTTTGAGTGATGCATTCCGCATACAAATACACGCTTAAAATGATTGTAGGTTGCATGCATTCGTCAAATGTTTCGATGTGAATAGTTCACACAAGTATGCCGTGTATATCAACCCAGTAAAATATGTGTCATGTGCAGGTTTGGTCCGCAAGAACATGAAAACTTGGCAGTCTCGGTTCCTCGACTACCTGAGCGACCTCTGCATTTCCAACAAGAAGGCTATTGCCGTGACGCAGGAACTCATTTGCAAGAGTGTCCTATGTGCCAATAACTCGGATATACTTATCGAGACCAGGTATGTATTGTGAGGTCACTATAAATACAGGGTAAAACGGAACGGTCCCGAAAAACGCCGTCAGGTCAGCACCTATCGGCGCTCACGAAAAACGCTGTCTAAAACCTTAGTACGAGTTTCTTATTCGTTTAAAGTAATCGTAACGAGTACGCGTTCGGCACTCTGATTGGCCGGCGCCAATGAACCAACCAATAAGAACGCCGAACGCCGTTTAAACTCGTAAAACCAACTCGTACTAAGGCCTCTGGTCAGCACACAGTTTTTCGGGAGCGTTTTACCAGCGTAAAAATCAAGATTTATTGTCATAATAGTCATTAAATGTTTTTTTTTATGTAATTTGAGTTGTAATCAACTGAGCGGTTGATGTTGTATTAATAACTAGAAAACAAAAACGTTTAAAAGTACATTTTTATGTTTTCGGCTTACTCACGGAATAATTTGACGAGGAACTCGACTAGTTTCAAGCCATGCTAGAGGCTCATATTCATGAGCTGCATTTCGCGACTTCTCGAGTCTGCGGGCCCAGCGCGCCCTCTGCCGTGATTCACGCGCACTTTCTTCCATCCGTGGTATCGGCGACGGCGGCGCGCGTGGCACTGTTGGCACGCTAGACTCGCCGGTAGCTGCGTTGGTGTTGGGTTCGAAATCGACGCAAAAACAGTGTTACACTAGTTCCTTGTCAAATTATTACGTGAGTAAGCCGAAAACATAATAATTTATTTAGTATGTCTCACGAAAGTTATAATACAAATACGATTAAAATTTTAAAAAAATCTTTTTGTCTGTCTTTTGGGTGCGTTCCGTTTACACCGTGTATATAATCTATACCATATACACCCCGTATATTGTGGGCCAAGCGCAGTGACATACCGCGACCCGGCTTGATGCAGGAGTAGTTTGACTCTCGCCTCCTCTAAGACCGGAGGAGTCACTGGTTGGTTATAACCTCTTCAATATAAAAAGTTATTCGTGCATAATAACCGGTTGCCCAGTCACTGCGCTAACCCTGCTATCAATTTAACTAAAACTCGCGGGTTACTCACGTGAATATACTGAGAACAGCTCTACTAGTTTCGAACCACAGAGGCGCACGCTGCTCATGAGGAAGAAGCTATTCTCGGTATATTCACATGAGTAACCCGCGATTTTTAGTTAATTTAGTATGTCTCACGATAGTTATTATAAAAATTATCAATTTAATCAATTAAATTAACTCTTTGAGTACCGTCATTATAGACACAATTAACCCGTCGAGCGTCCGCGTTCCTTATGATCCAACGGGTGCACACGTGACATTTGGAGAAAGAAAGAAAGAAAATGCATTTATTTGGCCATTGGCACACGAAAATAAGGATCATTACAATAGAAATAAAAACAAAAAATTAAAAATAGATTTTATAAAAGAGAAAGCTGCATGGAGCATTTTTTCTTATTATCCACCGGGTGCTCATAAGGATGCTCGAGGGGTTAAAGAACAATAGGTTGCGGTCACCAGTATCCTCGCGGTGTTTGACAGTTTAATTGATTATTTTATTACATCATCCACAGATTGGTTTCAACAAAATATGAAAAAAGTAATACATTAGATCCGGATGATACCAGGTACACGGTGGAGGAGGAAGTTATGCTATTGTGGAACAATAAAAAGGTAAGATATATGTTACAATATATGTTCGCAATTTACAAAGGCGACGTTTTTTTATGGGATTATCTGGTAAACTATCATACAGATGATGGTAAACAATTGGCGTTGTCCATGGACACCCGGAACATCAGATGCGTTACAAGTGCGTTGCTAGCCTTTTGGGGGGTTACAAATTTGAGGATCGTTGGGTATTCAGGGATTGAGGAGATAGGGAAGGCCCCTCCATTTACTATCACCCCGTTTGGCTAATTGGGCCTCCAGTATCCTCACTCATACGATGAAACACAACGCGGTTGTTTCGCGTCGGTTTTCTGTTCGGCCGTGGTATCACTCCGGTCACTGGATTTATCCGCACACTGAGATCAAAATGTTTCCAGGTGTACCTGTACATAACCAGTATAAACTGACAAATGTTTTAAACATAACTAACCAAATATATTACAAACGGCTGTTAATAAAGTTTATTAAATAACCAAAATTTATCTATCCAAAAACATTTTAAATGAACGAAAATTTTATTTAAAACATTAAATACCTGCGGGTCATCACTGTCGCAACATCATTACAATAGATCCTGCTGCATTGCTTAAAGGCTCTAATAAAATACTAGAAAAGGATCTCAAAACATATTGTTTTACTAGCTACTTGTGCGCGGTTTCATCCGCTCTGCTCGGCTCCTATTGGTCGTAGCGAGGTGTTTTATAGCCTATAGCCTTCTTTGATAAATGGACTATCCAACACAAAAATATTTATTCAAACAAACAAACAAAAGAAAACAAACTCTTCAGCTTTATAATAATTAGTATAGATTTTTTATGAATGTTACATCAGTGAGTTCTTCGCCATCTTAAATTTAACATACTCCATATCATCATCCTACATTCTAGTCTTACAGGACGAACTTTATTCGGAGGGTTCAGTAGCTTTTGGGTATTAAAGCTGTATAATGTTGCAGTGTTCCCGCCTCCTCTCCGAGCTGGCGGCGGAGGCCCGCGCGGAGCCCGGCGGGCAGTCCGCCGCCATCCTGGACTACTACCGCCACCAGCTCGACCTGTTCTCCAACATGTGCCTCAACAGGCAGTACCTCGCACTCAACACTCTGTCTCCACAGCTGCATATACATCTTATACTCAAGTAACTACTGTTCTTTATTGTACCTCCTGGACTATTGAAGTATTGATGTAATTTCTAATTAAGTACGTTTAAAAATCAACCTCAAACAATCTATAATGATGCACAAATTACTCCAAATATTAATGACCATATAGGTACCCACTATGAGGTTCAGCTGCCTGCGTGCCACAGTAAGTTTTGTGTTAAATGGGTCGAATGAAAAATCTTTACAGAGTTTATTGAAATCATTGCTCACTCGCACAATATACGATTAACAAGCATTTTTCTGAAAACCGCAATAAAATTGGTTCGACCAATCGGGAGATAATCTCGGACAAACATACATACATACTTTGTAGTATAAGTCGGTTAAAAAGGTGTTTCATTCACATGCATAAAATGTTATATTTTGTAGATGTATGTCAAACGCGTCCCTGTCGTACGAGGTGCGCGCTTCGTTCTGCCGCCTCATGCTGCACCTGCACTGCGACAGAGACCCCCAGGAGCCAGTCACCCCCGTCAAGTACGCCAGGCTGTGGACCGAGGTCTGCGACAGGATACACATACACGAGTGAGTCACATGTTACATACAGAGACCCGCAGGAGCCAGTCACCCCCGTCAAGTACGCCAGGCTGTGGACCGAGGTCTGCGACAGGATACACATACACGAGTGAGTCACATGTTACATACAGAGACCCGCAGGAGCCAGTCACCCCGTCAAGTACGCCAGGCTGTGGACCGAGGTCTGCGACAGGATACACATACACGAGTGAGCCACATGTTACATACAGAGACCCGCAGGAGCCAGTCACCCCCGTCAAGTACGCCAGGCTGTGGACCGAGGTCTGCGACAGGATACACATACACGAGTGAGTCACATGTTACATACAGAGACCCGCAGGAGCCAGTCACCCCCGTCAAGTACGCCAGGCTGTGGACCGAGGTCTGCGACAGGATACACATACACGAGTGAGTCACATGTTACATACAGAGACCCGCAGGAGCCAGTCACCCCCGTCAAGTACGCCAGGCTGTGGACCGAGGTCTGCGACAGGATACACATACACGAGTGAGCCACATGTTACATACAGAGACCCGCAGGAGCCAGTCACCCCCGTCAAGTACGCCAGGCTGTGGACCGAGGTCTGCGACAGGATACACATACACGAGTGAGTCACATGTTACATACAGAGACCCGCAGGAGCCTGTCACCCCCGTCAAGTACGCCAGGCTGTGGACCGAGGTCTGCGACAGGATACACATACACGAGTGAGTCACATGTTACATACAGAGACCCGCAGGAGCCTGTCACCCCCGTCAAGTACGCCAGGCTGTGGACCGAGGTTTGCGAGATCTTCACTAGAGGACAATCAAATTTAGTAATTGAAATTTTACCCACCTATTGACGATGCATCCATTGATCGTCTCTTACCTATTGATCGTACCATTATGTTCTATATCTTTAGTCTTCCTTTATAAATTGTACTATCCAACATCCTTACTAATATTATAAATAGGCTATAAAAACCACGTTGTGACCAATAGGAGCCAAACAGAGCGGGTAAAACCGTGCGAAAGTAGCTTATTTTTTTTTAAACACATGATAATATTAATTACAAATATCTTTTGCCTTTTAAAACTCGACGCGGAGTCGAACTAGCGTCACGTTCACAGAGTAATTGAGCACCATGTACTTTTCTATAAAACGTGTATTGTTATGTATACGTTTTTAAATTGTTGTTTCAGTTACCAATGTGTTAAAGGCGGTCCCGATGCTAACCGGGAGAAGGTTAAAGAGCAGTTTGCGTCCACCATACGCTTCGTGGAAAACTACCTCTGTAACGTGGTTACCAAGACCTGGTACTTTAGTGATCACGATCAGAATAAGTTGACCTTCGAAGTTGTTAAACTTGCCAGGGAACTCATCTACTTCGGTTTCTATAGGTAAGTCACGTCTTTGTTTATGAAATAAGGCGGTAAACGAGCAGACGGATTACCTGATGGTAAGCAATCGGGGCTACCCATGGACACCCGCAACAGCAGAGGTGTTACAAGTGTGTTAGCTGCCTTTTGGGGATTAGGAATTTGAGGATTTTTTTTTATTAATTTTATATAAAAACACAGGAAAGTATTTTACAATCTAAGCCCCGCAAAACCGTTGGAATGGTTTGACTTGATTGTTGGGGATTCGGGGATTGGGGAGATTCGGGTGGAAGGCCTCTGGTAATCTCACTCATACGACGAAACACAACGCAAGTGTTATTTCACGTCAGTTTTCTGCTCAGCCGTGGTATCACTCCGGTCAAGCCTGTCTATTCGTACCGAAGTATGGCTCTCCCATACTTTATAAGGCCACTTGGCCATTGAGGCAATAGTCAGCCTCTGGATTCGCAGACAACTTAACGGGTTGCCGAAGTTTCCGTAGAAGGATAAGTAGGAATGGGGTGATTTTTAGTCAGTAAGAGTCTGATACTGCCTCTCGCCTCACCCGGGGTGGAAGGAAGAAGGTGCTTTGTAACTCACCAATTCGATATCGAAGCTCGCATAAACGAAAGAGCTCATTTTGAAAGTAAACATTTGAATAAGCTTCCGTGTTCTGTAAACAATAAGTATGTATCGAGTATTGAAGCAAAGTGAAATTCGAAAAACTAGAATCGAATTGATGTTACCGAATCGCATGGCTAATTAGAGTTGAACAGCATTGTATAAAAAAATCAATAACATGACGCCCGAAGGGTTAGCAGAGGTACACATTACAGCACTTGCCATTGTATAATGTAAAACCCACTTTTAACTATTTATGTTATCAGTCCCATGTAATAGGGGGTGAGCCTATTGCTGTACACAGTTCAGCACACTGAGAATTTATTGAAAAAATCCAGTAATACTTTGCCCGACCCGGGAATCGAACCCAAGACCCCTTGCCCAAGTCGCACTTGCGACCACTCGGCCAACGAGACTTTATACATACCGGGTGTTAATTTTTTTAATTTGAACTAGTCTTAAATAGTATCTATAATTTTCAGTTTCAGTGACCTTCTGCGGTTAACAAAGACATTACTAAGTATTTTGGACTGCGTCACAGCTATGGACCTACTTAACGAGACAAACGCCCTCTCTGGAGAAGTGGAATGTAAGTACAACAGGAAATTTCCAGTCGTATTACTTGATGGTAAGCTATCAACGCCGCTCACGTACACTTAGAACACCAGCTTTAGCATTGACCGGGGGGGGGAATTATGTCTCCGATGTCATCACCTATGTGAGATGTTGATGATATTTTATCATTAAATATTTCATAACACAAGTTTACAAATTCGATTAAAAAAACCGATTTTAAACAGTCAAACACCAAGCGGTCACCGGTGACCGCAACCTATTGTTCTTTAATTGTGTCTATAATGATGGTACTCAACGAGTTATGAATATTATTTCGTTTTTTATAATAACTATCGTGAGACATACTAAATTATCTAAAAACCGCGGTATACTCAAGTGAATATACTGAGAAAAGCTCTACTAGTTTCGGGGCACGAAAGGGTTCTTCCTCATGAGCAGCGTCAGTACTACACGTAATATTAATTCCGGTTGATTTGAAGCTACGGTTACCAACCTATAGATTTGAAATTGTAATGGCACCCTTTTAGAATGTTATTCTCTGGAATAAGTCGTCATTAAATGCATTTCTATAATATAAAGATTAAATTGATGACTTATCTTATATATAATATTCTTTATGAAAGTATGAGTAACGAAGTAATGAATTATTATTATGATTTTTGTCTTTTTTTTTCATTTTTGACGTGGACGTTTCAGGATGTTCATAACAAGTTGCTGTTTGACGTCTTATATTGTGTCGGCTGTATTATTAAAGCATGTTTTTCAAGTTGATATTAAAAGTTTCGTGACATAGGTACTAAATTAATTATTATATTTTCGTCTTAATCACGAAAGTGTTTGAAGAGGAACTCGACTAGGTTCAAGCTATGCTATAGGTTCTTATTCATGAGCAGCATTCGGCGACCCGCGACGCGGCTACTGTCCCGCTCCTACGTTTTTTAACTTAAATTGTTACTCAGCACGTCTGATGCTATAAACATATTTTTAACTCGTCGAGTACCGGTTTTATAGACACAATTAAAGAACAATAGGTCGCGGTCACCGGTGACCGCTTGGTGCTTGACAGTTTAAAACGTAATTTCTACTGTTGCACGCAGCTCAGGAAAAGGAGATAAAAAAACGTAAGTTAAAACTAACAGAGCGCTGAAATTTTACTGCACATCTTATCCTATTCTACTAATAGACCAGTAAGAGTCTGACACTCCCTTCCGCTTCAAACAGGCGGGAAAAGTCATTCGATGATTTCCCCCTTTAAAAAACCCATTAATATTGAATTTAATCCTTTTTTCGAACTGTCAAAAACGACAGTTTCCTATGAATTTTGTACGAGATTGTGTATTGCGACGTCACGTTTTTTTAGCGCAAAACAGCATACTTATTTCTTAAAAATTTGCTGGAAAAATACTCAAGTTAAGTTGGTCATAAAATCAATTAATGGAAGTGTGATTTTTTTTTCATTGTATTGAACTGTCGCAATCATTTATTTTTTATTAAGGAAAGTACCCAATAGTGAGGAAGTATGTTTGTTACTCTCTCACAAATAAACTATTGAATGGTTTGGATAAGGATTAAAAGCAAGATTGCTTTTAATCCAAGATAAGTAGGTACTTTTAAACTTTAGACTACTTTTCATTCGGAAAGGTCTCGCGCTTATTTATTTATTTATTCGTAGGAGTCACATCACAAACATATAACATTTAAAATACATAAAAATAACGAAATAATGGTCCGATGCCTGTGACAATAATGGCGTACATAGCATTGGCGATTCATTGGCATAATAAAAAAAAGAAAATGGAAACAAAAATCAATACAATACATAATACCTTAAAATGAGAATTTAACTATATAGTTTAATTTTCAATATAATTATAATATATACAATTTAAATATATAAAAATGAAACCCGTTTCCCATTGTCTCGCCATAACTTGAGAATGGTTGGACCGATTTGCCTGATCTTTTTTTGTTGTGTTTGTTATTGTCAGGAGAAGATTCTTAAGAAATCTTCAAAAAATCCCACGGGAACGGGAGAAAACGGGATGTCGCGTACGAAGTCGCGGGCAGAAGCTAGATTTCAATAAATATCATATGTTATTAAAAAAAAATACAAAAATTTTAATTTTCTTAAAAGTGTTTTTCCTATAATCCCCGCGCTTGGCAGGAGGATCACCGAATGTTTTGAGGATCCTGTCGGTATTTAATGCCGTGTATTGATTCCAGCTGAAGGCGGTGTATTGCGCAGTATTGGTGACATGGGCGCTGTAATGACATCCATCACACTTGGATCTGTCGCTAGAAATGTAAGTTGCATGATAACAACAAGTTTTTGTAATTTCGTGGTGGCCCGGAGGTTTAAGGCGCCCGCTTCTCATGCATCTAGGCAAGTACCAATAGTAGAAAATAAGACTTCTAAGACTATTTAGACACCACTGGCAAACGGTGAATGAAAACATCGTGAGGAAACCTGGCCTTATAATTTCTAATTATAAGTTTGAAATTGCCAACCCGCATTGAGCAAGCGTGGTGATTAATGCTCGAACCTTCTCCGTGTGAGAAGAGGCTTTGCTCAGCAGTGGGCATTTATAGGCTGTTGGTAATGATGATGATGATGAAGAAGTATTTTTTTTAATTTTGTCAAAATGTCACTTTATTTAATGTTTTTCAGTTTCGTAATCTTGCGCCTTATTTACGGAAACAAGAGAGTTAAATAAAACATTTTACATAACATAACATTACGCCTTTTTATCCCCGAAGGGGTAGGCAGAGGTGCACATTTCGGCACTGTACAATGTAACACCCACTTTTCACTATTTATGTTATGAGTCCCATGTAATAGGGGGTGAGCCTATTGCCATATACCGGGCACATTTCCGGACTCCGTGCTACTACTAAGATTTAAAAAAAATCAGTAATACTTTGCCCGACCAGAATCGAACCCGAGACCCCTTGCCGGCAGTCGCACTTGCGACCACTCGGCCAACAAGGCAGTAAAACATTTTAATTAATATTTAATAATTTAACTCAGTTAGATTTTTTGTCATTTAACCACGTCAGCTTTATGATATTATAGATAAAGTATTATAAAATTGAAAAAAAAATGTGTTTGTTTAAACGTACATATTTCCGGAACTATTAGTTCTAATTAAATTGATTGTATTGGATAGTCCCTTTATCGAAACCACTATGCGTAGGCTATAAAGCGATCAACAGGATCCGAACAACGGGTCAAATAGTACCTGAACAGCTATAGTTATATATATTTTGACCGGTTTATTAATAACTGGATTGATTTCCTAGGCAAGTGGCAACACGTCTAACGCAGGCCCAAGCAGCAGTGGAGGAGGTCTACAGCGCACTGCGTCCGCGCTGCTACTGGCCCGGGAGCATCCCCTCGTCATGGACACCAAGCTCAAGATCATCGAAATACTACAGGTAGAACTACTTTGGATTTTATATTCGACCGGTGTTTGGCTGTTATCTCGTCCACCCATATTCACTCGGGCCTTGAAGACACTCTGTTGATGAGGTTTATTATTATTATTATTTTTTTCTTCTTTGGCAATCGAGTCTCCAAAACGGTGCTGTCGGCTGTACTGCCAGTGTCGAGTGGTGACGGCAAAATTAATGAACCGTCAAACTTAACTTTGCGGTAGTTTAGAGGTTTGTTGATAATGATGACACGTTGTATGGAGAGATAAATGACTTTAATTACATAACATAACATAACATCACGCCTTTTTATCCTCGAAGGGGTAGGCAGAGGTGCACATTACGGCACTTAATGCCACTGTACAATGTAACACCCACTTTTCACTATTTATGTTATGAGTCCCATGTAATAGGAGGTGAGCCTATTGCCATATACCGGGCACAATTCCAGACTCCGTGCTACTACTGAGATTTTTAAAAACCCAGTAATACTTTGCCCGACCCGGGAATCGAACCCGAGACCCCTTGCCCGGCAGTCGCACTTGCGACCACTCGGCCAACGAGGCGTGACTTTAATTAAGCAAGCTAAATCTATGATACACCATACACGTGTAAACTATTGATGCAAGCGCGCTGCGCGAGTGCGTGTGCCCGCTGGGTCGGCCAGTGGCGGACTGGCGGAGCGCAGGGGCGCCGGCTTGCCCCGCCCGGCGATGCGCGGGCGCGCGGTTCGGCGTTAACACACTCAGGTTTTTAGGTTACTGACAGTAGTTGCCGCAGCGACGGGATATTAGAAGACATACGGCCTCAATCTCAGTTACATAAGGAGAAGGACAAGAAGATAAAGAAGATGATGATCGATCTGTCATTATATCTAAATTATCATTCTTTGTCTCCAGTTCATCCTAGACGTAAGATTGGACTATCGCATCAGTTGTCTCCTGTCTATATTCAAGAAGGAGTTCGAGCAGGCCGGGGAGAGGTCTGCTGACACTATTGGCAGAGCTGATGTGGAAGCTATTGGCCTTCAAGCTGAAGGCATTTTTAGCTGTCGGTAAGTAACAGAAGTGTACAACGGGAGTAACGGAGGTTTTTATCAAACAAGATTATTTGGTTTGACTTTACAGTAGAAAGTAATTAAGTTATTAAACAAAATAAGTTTTTTATATCTTGGGTATTTATTTTATTCATTTATTTCAATTACATAGTATAACATTACAGTTATAAAACCAAGGCGTTATACATTTCAATTAACTATAAAAGAAAAAAAACCAAAACAATAAAGTCCTTAAATGACAAATTGCAAACTTGGTAGAAAAATATAAAACAAACAATAAGAATAAGAAAACCTTACAAACTATGACAGGTTTTAATACCAATGAACAAAATATACAATCTTACTAATATTATAAATCGGAAAGTGAGTTGTTTGTTTGTTTGTTCCGACTTCACACCGTAACTACTAAACCGATTGCATTGAATTTTTGCAGACGTAAAGTTAGTTGTCTAGATTAAATAATACGGTACTTTTTATCCCGAAAAAAATTGATATTCCCGAGGGAAAACAAAAGTATGTAAATAGATGGCGCTGTATGTATTGGTATATGTCACATAGGCTACTTTTTATCCTTTTGTGACGCGAGCAAAGCCGCGGGTAAAAGCTAGTATAAAATAAATAAGACATTTACATAGAACATAAAATAAAATACAGTTATGCATTCATACACTCGCACAACTTCATGCATTCTTTGCACACAGTCTTCCAGCTTGACGCAAGTATGTCACTCTCTGGTGATGACGTCAGAAGATCATTTATTAGTGTGAGGGCACGAACAAGTGGCGAATGAGCGCGTGACATAGTGCAGGTGCTAGGCACGGCCAGTAAGCAGTTATCCTTAATTTCATACTATAGTCCCAGGCACCACAGATGCGGCCTAACAGGGCTGATGCCGATTCGGAATCGCGGAGAACGTAACGGGTTCCCGGGGCTCCGGCTCGAAGTACAGGAGTAGGAACGGGGTGATTTTAGTCAGTAAGAGTCTGACACTCCCTCCCTCCTCACCCGGGCGGGAGAAGTCATTGGATGATTTTCTTTTGTTGTGTTGGTGATAATTGTGAATAAAAATATTTCATGGTATCAAAAAGTTGAAACAATTTATTTTTTAAGTACCCAATTGTAAAAAAAATACGAATAATCTTGTTTGATTCCCAGGGCTATAAGAAGTGGCATTCATTTATTTCTAAATACAATTCTTTTTTATGGTACATTTAACTGTTGATTAATATTCTTCTACATAGCTTTATTTTTACATGTGGTAAAATTTTTTTTCTTCTGTACATCTTTTTAATAAACAATATTAGTTACTCTTCAGACTATGTAATTTCATGTCGAGTTATGTGAAACAAATCTACTTGGTATAAAGTAATTAATGTAATGTTGATCTTTTCTGTATCTTTAAATTTCTTTTTGGTTGAGTTTAAATTAATTTTAACTGTTATTTTTTTCTAAGTACTTATTGAAGCTATTATTCCGCCTACCCTTTCGGGGCCTAATGTTACCGGTCTTCAATCGCCTTGAGAAATAAAACTAAACTGACTTCAGAAACCTTGAACAAAAAATAACTATTAAGTATTAATTGTACTGCCTAAGTCCCTACCCACTGATAGTTTAAAAGTCGGTTCCCTGAGTCCAAAACAACTCTCGATTTGCCTGGGATCTTAACATCAGATGCTAACCAGATGACAACAATACCAACTTGAAAGAATTACCTACCAAACAAATAAATAATCACGATTCTACGAGACAGTCGAATGAGACTTGTTTAACTCGAGCGTCCTTATGAGCACCCGGTGGATCATAAGAAAAAATGCTCCAAATGTCACGTGTGCACCCGTTGGATGATAAGGAACGCCGACGCTCGACGGGTTAAGTAATCGTTGTTGTACAAATACACAAAGAGCCATCAGACCACCACGGATGGGGCCCAATAGGGTTGATGCCGATACGGTGCCCCGGAGAACGTAAAGGTTACCGGGGATCCGGCTCGAAATGCAGGAGTAGAAACGGAGTGGTTTTTAGTAAGAGTCTGACACTCCCTCCCGCCTTACCCAAGCGCAAGCCAATCGATGATTTTCTCCTCTTAAAAAAAGTAACAAACACTACTGGAAACCGCATCAAAATCGGTTCAGCCTCACGAGATAATGGCGCACAAAAAATCTGAGAATCTCCATTTTTGAAGTCGGTTTTAAAGTTGATTTATTTTAATATGGCCCTGAATTAAATAAATTATTTCAAACTCAACTAAAACAGTACATGAAACACTTATACTTCAAAAGTAGTTTTATCTTTGTTATCTATAATTGGTATCACTATTAATTAGTGACTAACGCATGCTAACTGGTGGTGGGTCGATTACATTGATGGTCTTTGCATATAGACAGTACAAAACACACACATGTGACACCTCTGATGTTGCGACGGAAATGTTGTTGTAGGTTTTCTGTTAGTATTTTCATAAAGTCAAAGTCAAAATCATTTATTTCAATTAGACCAGGATGGCACTTTTGAACGTCAAACAACAAAAATTTATAAGTGAAGCTAGTTGCTCATTCCAAGGCGTAGATTCCTATGGAGAAGAACGAGCAAGAAACATCTTCAAGCGTTTTTGTTATTTTCGTCTTGTATTGGTGTTCAATTAGCGAAATGAAAATATGTACTAGGGCAAATGTTATTGTGTTGTGTAATTGACGTAATATTACGCTTTTTGTTTTTCAATGGGACGGCCAAAATTTGTTGTGTCTTAGGGTGTTTGGGTGTTTTTTAGGTGGCGCTGATAGCTTACCGTCAGGTGATCCGTCTGCTCGTTTGCCTCCTATTCTATTTCACCATCTTCATAATATAAATATACACATTGCAGTCTATATCATTTTAATCCCACAGCAAAACAACTTGTCATAAGTAGTACTATTACCGAATAACCCAACTAGTTTTAAGTTACTGGGACTCAAATTCTTGAGCAGCGTGGTATATTTTGTTTTATGTTTAAAGTAATCGAAACCGCGATTGGCACTGTGATTGGTTGGTTTATTGGAGCCGGCCAATCAGAACGCCGAACGCGGTCTCATTTCGACTACTAATGTCTTGTTCGCACTATGATGGTATTTTAGTCGAGCAGCGAGTGCTCAGTATAATTATTCCTATAATAATAAAAAAATTGACTGCGTCATTGGCCGAGCGGTTGCAAATGCCACTGCCGGACAAGGGATCTCGGGTTCTATTCCCGGGTCTGGCAAAGTACAACTGGGTTTTTTTTTTATTACAGTGGTAGCACGGAGTCTGGAATTGTGCCCGGTATATTATGGCAATAGGCTCACTCCATATTACATGGGACTCATAACATAAATAGTAAAAAGTGGGTGTTACATTGTACAGTGGCATTAAGTGCCGTAATGTGCCTACCACTGTGAGGATAAAAAGGCGTGATGTTATGAAGTCTGTCAGTCTGTCCGTTAGTGAAGCTAAGTGCTCATTCCAAAATGTAGATTCGAATGGAGAAGAACGAGCAAGAAACTCTATTCGTTACTCTTTTAAAAATAAAAGCTTTTAAAAGTTTGGCGCAGTGGCTGGGCATCCGACTGCTGTCCAACGCTTTAAACGAGCTGTTAGACATGGTTTTAAGTTTGTTAGGAAACCCTCTGCAAGCAAGTGAGGCCTTAGTTCGAGTTTGTTTTGCGTTCTCGTCCACGTTCGGCATTCTGATTGGCCGGCTCCAATGAATCAACCAATCACAGTGCCAATCGCAGTCTCGTTTCGATTACTTTAAACATAAAATAAACTCTTAATAAGGCCTCTGATAGTCGCCACGCTGCTTAAGAACCCAGTAACCTAAAATAACCCAGTAACCTAATAGTTCACGTACCTAATAGTTTATAAAACCAACCTTTAACATTTCTAATTCCCTACATAAAAATGTAATCAGAAATCCTAAAATTCTTGCTGTAAATAAAATATTACACTGTTTTCTTGAATCTATTCCTCGTTATAAACTATCTGTGTACTATCAAAGTTACAACTCGATATTCAAGGTGTAGTTTTGAAACCGTGTCATTTCTCAGGGGCATGTCACAGAAGTCATAAAGGTTCAATGTAAGAGAAAATTTCGGGCCAATAGTTAATAAAACAGCTATAATAAATCGTTTAAAGTTCGACAGTATTTCAGAATAAGCGATAGCAATGTTGCTTATTGGAATTAGGAATAATATCAATTACGTGTTTGAGTTTGTGTGTGTTAAGCCGCGTTATAAAGCTAGTTACAAGACGGCGGCGTGTACTTCGCACTTACGGATTTCAGTAATTTCAGAACAATTAAAAATATTTACCTACAATTTTTTATTGATTCGGACTCAGAATCGATAGCCAAATTACCTCCTAGAAAATGACGCGGCTTTAAAACAACACCTTGTATAACATGAATCAAAGTTAACTAAAAAACACGAGTTACTCACGTAAATATATTGAGAATAGCTCTAAAAACTAGGCTGCGCGACATCACCGCGACTGCGCTGCTCATGAAGAACTCAGTATATCTCACCATAGTTATTATAAAAACATGTTTCAATATGTTACTTGAACACACCATTCTACACACACACACGCACGCGCACAGATCACAGACTCACAGATCTATATGTAAAGACCATAATTATAAACAAAACTTCTAATTAAAAAGTCGATCTTTAACATTACTTGACGTAATATTTTGTCATATGACCTTCTTAATAAGTATATCAACAATTCTGTCTAAGTTTGGGAAATCCTAGGTTTCGGAATAGTAAAACTGGTACTAATTTCATATGTTTTTCAGAGCGATACAAACTGTGCCTGACAGCTGTCTGCCCAAAAATGTAGATTTGTTAGTAAGATGAAAGTATTTGCATGAAATGATTCGCATGTGGTTGGTTGATTAATCGGCTTAAGTCCAAATACTGAAAGGCAACTCAATTTTCAAATTGCGATGATGACAGGGTATCAAAATAAAAATCTGATTAGTCTGTAAGTTAGGTAATGAAAAAATATTAGACACGTATTTTTTATTTTGTCGTATAATAAAACAATACTTAGATAAAACGAATCAAAGTTTAGGAGTGGGGGTTAAAACGTCATTTCTACGTATAAAATGTACATAGAAGTGACGTCACGCGGCATTTCGAATCAATATGTCGTCGAAAGTATTCGTTTCTGTAAGAAAATAAAAAATACGTGTCTAATAATTTAAAATAATCTACCAAACGGACAAAAATAAAAATTAGGTATCTACCCTATTTTACTTAAATATCGTGCCATCTCTGTCATTTTACAAAGGATTTGTAGCGACAGAATTATACTTAAGCGCGTCTAAAAATTGGGTGACGTTTGAGTATTTGGACATTTGCTCATCAATTTGGTCTTTTGCTCCTTAATTGCCGAAGAGTAAAATTTCTTATTACGTCTGTTCTTCACTCTGGTGGTAAGCATACTAAGGGAGTACACACTTGACTGAGACTACCAGAAGCATTGATCATCCTGATCCTTCATCCATTTAGTTAGTGAGCCATGCTTCGGCACGAATGAATCGGCTCGATCGGAGTGATACCACGGCTGAGCAGAAAAACGATGTGTAAAACACTTACGTTGTATTTCGTCGTGTGAGTGAGGTGACCGGAGGACTAATTACCCAATTTTCCTAATCCCTGAATCTACAACAATCCTCAAATTCCTAATCCCCATAAGGCCGGTAACGCACTTGGAACGCCTCTGGTATTTCGGGTGTTCATGACCGGCGCCTAGTGCTTACCATCAGGTGATCCGTTTACCGGCTAATCCCATTAAAAAACTTCGTATATGTCAACGTATCAAGGGCTGATGACGACAATGATGAGATGGTAACTTAATGTAGCAAAAAAAAATATTTTTGGTTACTTCATGTACATGTGCTACTACTACTGCGCAAGGCTTTAATTTCCGAGATGGACAGTGTTTTCAAAATTTGTCAGTAATAGCACAGATTCTATAATTGTGCCTATTTACTCACCCCCTATTTTGTCGTATTCATAATTTTTTAATTAAAATTACATTGGTGACAACTGGTTGTTACATTCTAGTTAAATGTATAAAGGGTTTACAAGGATGAGTAGAGGTGTTCTGCTCACCATTTCGAGGATTTTAACCATCAACCATCGTCAACAGCCTGTAGGTGGCCACTGCTGACAAAAAGCTTCTTGTCGCACGAAGAAGGTTTGAGCATTAATTATCACGCTTGCTCAATGCGGGTTGGCAATTTTAAACGTATGAAATTAAAAGCCCAGGTTTCCTTATGATGTTTTCCTTTACCGTTTGTCAGTAGTGTCTAAATAAGATTAGAAAGTACATACTCGGAAAAAGTCACACTGATACTTGCCGTTGGTAGATTTCGGACACATGAATGAGAAGCGGGCGTCTTAAACCTCTGGGCCACCACGACCACAAGGATTTTAACATACCACTGTGTTTATGTTTAAAGGAGAAAAAGATCAAATTAGGAGCTCTTGAAATAACCCTGCATGTCAAGCTGTGCTTGTACTAACGGATTGATAAACATTAACAGTGACTAAATCCTTAAACCTTTTTGTCTTAGCGTATACCTAAAGACGGAAACATACTTACGTGTCATGACGCGCTGATAGCATGTCGGTTTCATACATGTACTATGGTTAGAGATTAGAGACACATTTGTGTGTCGTGTTGTGTCTCGTGCTGTCAAATATATGTATGAGACAACAAGTATGTTTCCGCCTTTAAACCTTAAGAGTTTCCCGAGTAGTATTTTATATACTATATATAGCAATATACAGAGCCGTATTATCCCTAAGGTAAGCTAGGGAAATGCCTAGGGCGTCAGGTTACAGAGGGATGCCACAAGAAGCTCGTGCCCATAGAGAGGCAGCGGTGAAAGAAGAAATTAGGGGCACCTTTGGCATGCTTATGGCACCGTTATATTATCATACAGTATTGTACCTCGGGCGCATGACAGAGTTAAATACCTACAGCTTCGCGGTACGTAAACGTGTTAGGGCTGCCCCTCTCCAGTATTTTAGTTAAATTTGCCTACTTTGTTTTTCTATTTAGTTTTGTCCTTCTTTACATAAACAAATAAAATACTTCGTATATGGAATAGGAAGTGTTCAATAAAAATGCGTGTTGCTTTTTGATTGGTAGACTTAATTTTAAAAAACATGTTATTGTTTGATAATCAAATGGAGCTTATAAATTTGCGACCGAAAATATTTGCTAAAAATACAACCAAAAACAGCACAATATATCCTACTGGCCATCCTTACTTCTTTATCTTTATCTTTACTTATATTATAAATCGGAAAGTGAGTTTGTTTGTTTGTTCCGCTTTCACGACGTAACTACTGAACCGATTGCTTTGAAATTTTGCATAGGTAAAGTTAGAAGTCTGGATTCTGGATTAAATAATAGGGTTCTTTTTATCCCGGAAAAATTGATATTCCCGAGGGAAACAAAAGTATTGGTATAGATGGCGCTGTGTGTATTGGTATATGTCACATGGGTTACTTTTTATCCTTTTGTGCCGCGAGCTAAGCCGCGGGTAAAAGCTAGTATTAAATATGTACTTGAATGTTAAAAAAACGACACAGCCCGTTCGTCATTGCGGCACAGTCGCGACTGTTATCATGCCGAATGCATCGATCGAGCCGCGTAGGCATAGCTTGCGTTTCTACCTTTGTATGAAGTTAGAATACTGTATGATAATATTACCGTGCTTATGGTGTTGTCTAGGTTCAATCGGCCCCTGGCAATATATGCATATTCCTTGCGCAGTTGCCTGCTGCTTGGCTGCGTTCGTGAAGCTAAAAAGTATATGCAAGAGTTGATCCCAAATGAATTTTGCATTTATTTGTTATGTTTGACAATGAAAATTTTCACTAACCATTTATTTTCAAACCTGTGATACTTTTTATAATGTTTTGTTACTAAAATGTATTTCTGTTTATTTATTATTATTTTATTATGCGAAGATTTTATTTTTACTTTGTGATTTTATTGTCTTGCTTTATTTTTATTTTATTTTCTTTTTCCTTTACTTGCGGAATATGCGGAATGAGACTCTATAGAAAGCTTTTAAAAATAGTGTATAATATTGTAAAAAAATGTTATTTCAAATTGTTACTGATCAATGTAACTTCGTGTATGTAAAAAATCGATTGCTTGTAATCTTTTGTTTCGTTTAGGCCCGTTTTTACCATTAACCACTATAAGGCCATTTTTGCCAACCACTTCTAAACTAACTAAGCGTCACTTCGCGTGATTGGCCGCTTAATATGACCCCTTACTTTGAGCAGTTCTTATCGGTTGATGATAACTAAAATGTCGTGTATGTAAACTTGTATGTCTATAAATGCACCCACGACACAGGAGAAAATCCTAGTGTAGGGCAACATTTAAAAAAAAGTGAATGAAAGTCTTTACTAAACCTTTAAGAAAACAGACTTCAACCTCATCTTTTTCTGAAGTCTTAATTAATATACTAAAACCTTCTCCTAAGTGTAACAAATATTTGTCGCGGAGAACCTAACGGGTTACCGGGGCTCCGGCTCGACGTGCAGGAGAAGGAACGGGGTGGTTTTTAGTCAGTAAGAGTCTGACACTCCCTTCCGCCTCACCCAGGCGGGAGCAGACACTCGATGATTTTCCCCCTTAAAAAAATAAAAAAAAAGTGTAACAGATAGTTTTCTGAAAACCGAATCGAATTCGGTTAAGCCTATCGCGAGATAATCGCACAAACATACATACAAGGCAAACTGACCTTTTTTAAAGTCGGTTAAATAAAATCTCCAGTTAAGCTTAGGGGTTTCTTAAAATTTAAGAGATATTGGTAAAAACGGGCACAAAAATAATACAGGAATTGCAATCTATAGCCTAATATTATACACTAACTTATTCACAAGAACTTGGTGTAAAGAACCAGAATTCCATTTGAGCCATTGTATTCCACGTCCAGGGATGGTCTTGATCTCGATGAATGCGGCGGTCGAATGGTCCTCCGAGTGCTGCTGCAGCTGTGTTCGCAGGGTGCGTCTGCGGCCCTCGTGTCCGGGGCCCTGGCACTCCTGTTCCGGCACTTCAGTCAGAGGCAGGAAGTACTCGCTGCGTTTAAGCAGGTAAACATTTCATAATTTTTATTTATTTATTTACAACTTTTCACACACATACGCGCACACACACACACACACACACACATTTTCTGCAGAATTTATTTTATCTATATAATTTCATATTTAAATTTATTTTCATTTCCTTTTTGAGGGGCGGTACCGCCGTCCGTGAGTCACTGCAGGGTGCCACCTGAAAATCAGCGTTGGGCAGGAATGCCCAACTATATGCTGAGGTGGAGGCCCTTTTGGCATGTGCACACACACAAACATATTGCTACCTATGTATTATATTATTTATGTTTAGTTCTTTTTTGTATATTTAATTTTTTTATATCAAAAACCCATTAATACTTTGCCTCCACCGGGAATCGAACCCGAGACACCTTGCCTAACATTCGCACTTGTGACCATTCGGCCAACGAGGCTGCACTATATTATTCAGTATGTATAATGATAGCTGCTGACTCTGTACTGTGTAGTTAATCTTTATTTCCTTTCATAAGTAAATATTTCGAAAAAACCTTTGTACTTTTTGTTTTAGGTCCAACTTCTTGTGTCTGATGCGGACGTGGAGTCCTATAAGCAGATAAAAGCGGACCTGGACCTTCTCAGACAGAGTGTGGAAAAATCAGAACTGTGGGTGTTCAATAAGGGACGTGCGGTCCTTATTGATGAACATATTAGTAAGTAGCAACATTTACTTCGCGTTCAATCCTTACTCTAGGCTTTTGGAGATTATCTCGTTTTCCGACATAACTGTCGGTACAAAGATAGCTGAGTCCACATTCCATATACACTATTTAAAACAAAATAAGCGCCACCCGGTTTTTAGGCTTTTATCAAAAAGTATTAATGTCTGTTATTTAAAAACCAGTTTCTAGTTTTTATATAACAGACGTGTTTTGCCACGGTAATTAAGTACAACTTAAAATTGAGTAGGCTTTCAATATTCGGGCGTAAGGCCCTTTGATTTGCTAATGTCGGAATACTGAAGCTCTACTCAATTTTAAGTCGTGCTTAAGTATAGTTCTATCTCTACAATTTTTTTGTAAAATGACAGAGATGGCACGATATTTGAGCACGAATTAAAATTGAGTAACGTTTCAGTATTCCGGCATAAGGTCTTCAATTCTACAAGAGTGGGGAGGGGAGTCCATACATTTTATAGCATTATTCTTTCTTTATTAGAATGTATGGTTTCGATTTAAATTCGAAAATAGAATTTAAGTTACTAGCTTTTACCCGCGGCTTCGCTCGCGTCACAAAAGGATAAAAAGTAGCCTATGTGACATACCAATACACACAACGCCATCTATACCAATAATTTCGTTTCCGAGAATATCAAATTTTTCCGGGATAAAAAGTACCCTATTATTTAATCCAGACTTCTAACTTCACGTCTGCAAAAATTCAAAGCAATCGGTTTAGTAGTTTAGGCGTGAAAGTGGAACAAACAAACAAATTCACTTTCCGATTTATAATATTAGTAAGGATTTATTATTTATTTGTTCATCAGGTGTAACAGGCACGGTCGTAGGCCCGGGCGGCGCTGTGCTGGAACGTAACACGTCGCTCGAAAATGTTCTAGACACATCTAGAACGGCCAAACACGACCACAATGAATATAAGAAAGTTAAAGAGGTAAGATGTCATTTACTTATGTTTGTGCTTCGTCGTGTGAGTGAAGCTACCGGAGACCCAATTTCTACTTCTTTTCTCCTTCTTCCGTACTCAAATTCCCAATCCCTAAAAGGCCGGCAATACATCGTTTTTTTATTAATTAACCGGATGGCCCAAACGTAGCAAGAAGTTTTTTGTCCAACGGTGTGACTATACTAACTCCCTATTGGATAAAGAACGAGAAGTTCACTAGCGTCAATTCGTGAAAATACCTCCATTTTAACTCTAGTAATCGGCGTCACCCATAGACAGTTGGAATAGCTGAGGTTACAAGTGCGTTACCGGCCTTTTGAGGGATTAGGAATTTGAGGATTTCTGGGGATTTGGGGATTGGGGAGATTGGGGAAGGGTGTAATTGGGCTTCTGGTAACCTCACTCACACAACGAAGGTGTTGTTTCACGTCGGTTTTCTGTTCGACTGTATCATTCCGGTCGAGCTGGCGAGCATGGCTCTCCCACACTTTAACTTCACTTCACTTGTACGTCCGACCGGTGTGTTTGCGCAGATCCTCCAGCGCATGATACGATACTGTACGCACGGAAACAGCGGCGGCAACAGTGGCGGCGACAGCGGCCACAGCGGCCGGCCGCGCCGCCACGAGCAGAGACTACTGAGGAACATCGCCGTGCACAACATCGTGCTCGACCTGCTGCAGGTCCGACACTCACTATTTTTTTTTTTAAACGTTGCCCCACATTAGGATTTTTTCCTGTATCGTGGGTGCGTTTACAAACATACAAGTTCACATACACAATGACATCCAGACCCGAAACAACAATTTGTGGATCACACAAAGTGTTGTTCCGTGCGGGATTCGAAACCGCGATGCGTTGCAGGGCAGCCCTGGTTGCCAGCCACCTCGCCAACCGTGCAGTCATATGTACTATATATACACTATACTCCACTTGTGCTTGTACGTGTATAAAAGTACATCTATACAGATAAATGTGAAAATGACTTGGGTGTCTTCAAGTCCCGAGTGAACAGGTTGATTATAGGTAGGCGTGCTCCATCGTCGGCTACATCATCGCTTACCATCAGGCGAGATGGTGGTCAAACATCGACCTATAAAGTATAAAAAAAATTATACCTTATGAATTTGTGTGTTTGTAAACGCACCCACGACATAGGAGACAATACTAATGTGGGTCAAGTTTGTAATATTGAAATATATCGCTTTTTACTACATGCGTATCAATATACACATGATACGTATACCAAAATAACATTTTTACATTTTTTTTCTGTCTGTCTGTCTATTTGTACTCGATGATGTCTGAAATGGCTGGACCGATTACGACGGGATTTTATTAGATATTGATGCTGATGGTAGCTGATGTGCTAAAGAATAACATAGACTTCTTTTATTTTAGAAAAACGCAGACCAAGTTGCGTGGTTAGCTAGTTCTAGAAATTATAAATATTCTATATACGTTTGGTTTGTAAAATCATAAATACTAAACTGTTAAATTTCTTGTGTTTTAAAAAGGTTTTAAATGAAATTTATTTTCTACCTTGTGTCTCGCAGGTGCCTCATGACGAAGACGACATGGCGATGGATGAACTCCTGGCATTAGCTCACGAGTTCCTCCAACACTTCTGTCACGGCAACCAGCAGAACCAGGCGATACTACACAAGCACCTGGACCTGTTCCTTAATGCTGGGGTTAGTATGTTGTATTTAGAATTTGACAGGTTTCCTTAGAGAAAAATTAATTAATTCTAATTGAAATTTTATTTACTTTAAGTTAAGAAAGATTGCCTCGTTGGCCGCGTGGTCGCAAGTGCGTCTGCCGGGCAAAGGGTCTTGGGTTCGATTCCCGGGTCGGGCAAAGTATTATTAGGTTTTTTTTATTCTCAGTAGTAGCACGGAGTCTGGAATTGTGCTCGGTATATGGCAATAGGCTCACCCCCTATTACATGGGACTCATACCATAAATAGTGAAAAGTGGGTGTTACATTATACAGTGGTATAATGTGCACTTTGCCTACCCCTTCAGGGATAAAAGGCGTGATCTACTGTGTTAACTTATGACGTCATCATATTTTCGAGTCAAATACATGTATCACATTTATTTCTGAAAATATTTTTAGAATAAATCGAAAACTATGTCGTCAAATATATGTATGAAATTGTAATTAATTATTTTTAAATATCAAAATGGATTGTAAAATCAAAATAATTTATTTTGGACCCAAGAAAATACCCAATTGTATGTTTGTAAACGAAAGAAAGAAGGAAAGAAGAAAGAAAGAAAGAAAAACTTTATTTCACACGCTAAAACAGGTGACACGTACAGATTTTACACTAAAGTTTATATACATCTACTAATGTCGCAAGTCTGCGGTGAAATGGGACCAACAGATAATCTCAGCGTGGGGTAACATTGTTTTAAAAACATTCCATTTGTCGCCAGATCCGCGAGGCGCAGACCGTGTGTTCGATATTCAAAGACAACGCGGCGCTGTGCGCGCACGAGGGCAACGAGAAGGTGGTGGCGCACTTCGTGCACTGCATCGAGGCCCGCGGCCGCCGCCCCGCATACCTGCACTTCCTGCAGACCATCGTGCACGCCGACACGCACTACATACGGAGGAGCCAGGATCTGGTTATGCAGGAGGTCGGCCACCGTACACTTCCTACTTCTATTATACTTTCCGACTTTGAGTGTGTTACGTGACCATGTCATAACGACTGAAGGATTCGATCAAATTTGGAACACTGGTTTAACTGCACGGTTGGTGCGGTGGTTGGGCAACCGGCTGCCATGCAACGTGTCGCGTATTCGATTCCCGCACGGAACAGCACTTTGTGTGATCCACAAATTGTTGTTTCGGGTCTGGGTATTATTGTGTATGTGAACTTGTATGTTTGTCAACGCACCCACGACACAGGAGAAAATCCTAGTGTGGGGCAACGTTTTTAAATAATAAATCTAAAATAATTTCTCACCAATTTTCATCCAAATCGATTTAGCCGTTCGTGAGTTATAAATAGTGTAACTAACACGACTTTATTTTATATATATACAAGGTGTTGTTTTAAAGCCGCGTCATTTTCTAGGAGGTAACTCGGCTATCGATTCTGAGTCCGAATAAATAAAAAATATTGTAGGTAAATATTTTTCATTTTTCTGTAATTTACGGAAATCCGTAAGTGCAAACTATACGCCACCGTCTTGTAACTAGCTTTATAACGCGGCTTAACACAAACACATGATTGATATTATCCCTAATTCCATAAAACTCCAATAAGAATCATTGCTGTCGCTTATTCTGAAATACTGTCGAACTTAAACGATTATAGCCGTATTTTTAACTATTGGTCCGAAACTTTCTCTTACATTGAACCTTTATGACTTCTGTGACATGCCCCCGAGAAATGTCATGGTTTCAAAACCACACCTCGTATATAGAATTTTAGTATATAATATATTTATTATAATTAAAACAGATAAAGAAATAATTCCATTATGAATGTACATTATACATGGATATTAATTTGTTGTAGATGGTAAATGCCGGCGAAGACGTGTTAGTGTTTTACAATGACAAGGTATCGTTCAACAACTTCATACAGATGATGCGACAATACCGGAAAACTAACGAAATGCCGGAAGCGCTCAGGTAACACCCAATATACTTACTTGATAAAATTATGATCTAAAACAAGAATTTCTTTAAGCTAAAAATTAGGAGTAACTCACGTAAAAGCTCTAATAGTTCCCGAGTCACAGTTAAAATAAAAAAATAAAAAAATATTCATAATAACACTGGTCAACATAGGTATAAAAATATATCTTAATTAAGCGACAAGATCTTAAAAATATTATGCCTATACTAGGAATATTCCTGTGTCACAGGCGATAGTAGCTCTAAGTTGCCCGAATACTGAAACGCTACTCAATTTTAAGTCGCGCTTAAGTATAGTTCTGTCTCTGCAAATTCTTAGTAAAATGACAGAGATGGCACGATATTTGGCACGACTTAAAATTGAGTAACGTTTCAGTATTCCGGCCAGTAACTCGTAATTTTTAGTTCATTTAGCATATCTTACGATATTTATTATTAGAACAGGATTTCTTTTGTTTATGGGATAGTGCGGTAAACTTTTGATGGTAAGCAATGATAGAGGATTGTATTTTTGCTCAGCAGAGCGCGCTAGTGTATGTCTCTGGTTTTTCGTCCAATAGAAAGAAAGAAAGAAAAACCATTTACTTTGCTACGACACACAACACGAATTTAGGTACACACAAAAAAGCCCATGGTGCGTCGCAGCGCTAAAGGCTGGAGCTCAGCTTAATGCCGTGGACCGGGCACAGAGGCTCGAACCCACGGCGCTGATTGATTAATAGGGAATTGGCTAGCATCACACCATTGGCCATTCACTATTTGACCGCTTCTGTCATTGGACAAGACAACCTCATTCCGCATTTGCGTTATCTAGTTAGCAAAAAGTTGGTAGCATCCATTGGCGCCACCGCTATTAGTATTTCCATCACTTGAAGAATTACAAGTGCGTTCTGACCGTTTGTGGGTTAGGAATTTGAGGAATTTCGGGGATTCAGAAATTGAGGAGATTGGGAGGGGGGGGGATTCACATACGCCGAAACACAACGCAAACGTTGTTTCCCGTCGGTTTTCTGTCACTCCGGTCGAGCCGGCCCATTCGTGCCGAAGCATGGCTCTCTTTCGTTTAATTAAGGTTGCCAAGATCCGAGTTAGATTCTTTTGGTTTACAATATCTTTATTTCTCATAAAGAATCACATACTTAATTCACTTACTGAGAAACAATATTTCATACAGATTCTTGGTTGAATCTTATAATTTTATATAAAAAAAAGTAACATAAGTTACTCTTACGACCTTTAAAGGTACGAAATGTAGTTTAACCTATTTTTTTATTATTTTGAATTAATACTATTGTAGTTTTTATTAATATTTTCTTAGTTACACACATTAATTTAATTTTTTCATATGTTTTTAGGTATCATATACAATTAGTAAAATTACTGACATGCTGCACGATGGGCAAAAATGTATATACAGAGATAAAATGTCACTCTCTCCTGCCACTGGACGATATAGTATCCATGATCACGCATCCTGACTGTATACCCGAGGTAAGCTGTAGCTATAGTCGCGGAGAACCTAACGGGTTACCGGGGCTCCGGGTCGACGTGCAGGAGAAGGAACGGGGTGGTTTTTAGTCAGTAAGAGTGTGACACTCCCTTCCGCCTCACCCAGGCCGGAGCAGTCATTGGATGATTTTCCCCCCTTAAAAAAAAGCTGTAGCTATAACTCTTCCATCCTGATGAGGATGTTATTGTTATTCATGATAAAACCCTTGCGACTGCCTCGTTAGTCGAGTGGTCGCAAGTGTGACTGCCGGGCAAGGGGTCTCGGGTTCGATTTCCGGGTCGGGAAAAGTATTACTGGGTTTTTCACAAACATCTCAGTAGTAGCACGGAGTCTGGAATTTTCCACCCACCTTTCACCACCACCACCACCCACTTTTCACTATTTATGTTATGAGTCCGATGTAATAGGGGGTGAGCCTATTGCCATATACCGGGCACAATTTCAGACTCCGTGCTACCACCGAGAATTTTTTTTTTAAAAACCCACTCATACTTTGCCCGGACCCGAGACCCCTTGCCCGGCAGTCGCATTTGCGACCACACGGCCAACGAGGCAGTCATAAAAAGAAGAGTACCTACAATACGATCTACTATAAAATATTACACTTGCAATCCTTACTAATATTATAAATTGGAAAGTCAGTTTGTTTGTTTGTTCCGCTTTCACGCCGTAACTACTAGAGCGATTGTTTTGAATTTTTGCAGGCGTAAAGTTAGAAGTCTGGATTAAATAATAAGGTACTTTTTATCCCGGAAACATTTGATATTCCCGAGGGAAAACAAAAGTATTGGTATAGATGGCGCTGTGTGTATTGGTATATGTCACATAGGTTACTTTTTATCGTTTTGTGACGCGAGCGGAGCCGCGGGTAAAAGCTAGTATAATATAAAAACCTAAAAAATAAATTCGATTACAGGTAAAAGAAGCATACGTAGGGTTCCTGAACCATTGCTACATAGACACAGAGGTCGAGATGAAAGAGATCTACTCCAGCAACTACATGTGGGACCTCTTCGAGCGATCCTTTCTACACGACATGCAGGCCATCCTGCAGGCCGACACTACTCATCCGACCACGCGTACGTACCATGTCAACTTGAGGGACCTCTAGTAAGATACAGAATATTTTTGTTTGTGGAATAGGCGGATTAGCCTGGATCAGTCTAATCTAAGAGCTAAGTCTACAAAATCAGTCAGTCAAGTCAGTCTGGGTGTCGTGTGTATATGAAATTGTATGTTTGTAAACGCACCCACGACACAGGAATTCTATAATGAGGCAACGTTCTTCTTTAAAAACATTTAAAATAAAAATGGATCATTCCAGTAGCAGGTCCGTCGTCCGAGGCCCCGAGTACGTCCCGGCGGCCGCCTCAGGTGGGCAGCCAGAAGGCCTGGGTCAATTACGTCACCGATGTGCTCATGCACACTATATGCACCTTCTTCAATTCTCCCTTTAGTGACCAAAGCACTACAGTGCAGGTGAGGCTTACAATATATTTTGGACTATTAAAATTTGACGTGACTGTTCGATTCTGGCGTGGAAAAATCTGTGTATGATCTATAAATAATAGTTAAGGTTAAATTATTTGCATGTTTTTAAACCCACGACACAGAAGTACTGCTTGGTATAGCGGCAACAGACCGGGTATCACGGGTCATGAAATACAGCGTAATAGGGTTTCTGTTCCCTAAAAATGGGCGCGTCCAATGTTTGTAATTAAACTACTAAGTGGTTTTTTTATTATGGGATAAGTGAACGAGCAGACGGATCACCTGATGGTAAGCAATCGGCGCCGGCTATGGACACCTTGAACACCAAAATGTGACGGTACAACCAACTCACAGTGTTGCCAGAGTAAAAACATAAGCGTTGTTTCACGTCGGTTTTCTGCTCGGTCGTGGTATCACTCCGGTCGATCCGGTCCACCGTGTCGAAGCATGTATCTCCCACACTTAAAAAAGCTTATCCGCCATATATGATTTACGAGAATAAGTCGTTCGTAATTTATAAATGTGTTCGTGAAACTAATCCATTAAAAACTAACCACGGGTCTGTTGTTTCGCTGCTTGGAACAATTACAAACTTCGAGTAAGTATCTTTTTTTCATGGCATAAGCCGGTAAACGAGCCGACGGACCACCTGATGGTAAGCAATCATCAGGTGATCCGTCGCCCATGGACAGCTGGCGTTACAAGTGCGTTACCGGCCTTTTGGGGATTAAGAGTTTGAGGATCGTCGGGGATTCAGGAATTAGGGAGATTGGGAAAGGGGGCCAATTGGGCCTCCGGTAACCTCACTCACACGACGAAACACAACGCAAGCGTTGCTTCACGTCGGTTTTCTGTGAGTGCGTGGTATCAGTCCGGTCGAGCCGGCCCATTCGTGCCGAAGCATGGCTCTCCCACACTTACTTATTGATGTTATAAATGGGAAAGTGTGTGTATGTATGTTTGTGTTGTTACTCAATCGCGTCAAGACGTCTGAAAGGATTATGATGAAATTTGTAACAGGGGTAGATGTTGGTTTGGATTATCACTACTTACTTAGCCTACTTTTTATCTTACGGGAACGCGGGTCTAAGGGAATGGCATTTTTTGTATGAGACAAGTCGGTATACGAGCAGACGGATCACCTGATGGTAAGCAATCTGCGTGACCTGAACTGGAACACCAGAGGCGTTACAAGTGCATTACCGGCCTTTGAAGATTGTTGGGAATGTAAGGATTGGGTAGATTGGGGGGTAATGGCATAAGCTATTATATATGAAAGTATTACTGGGTTTTAAAAAAATTAACAGTAGTAGCACGGAGTCTGGAATTGTGCAGTGTGTGTTCCGCATATGGCAATAGGCTCACCCCCTATTACATAGGACTTATGACATAAATAGTAAAATGTGCTTGTTACATTGTACAGTGGCATAATGTGCACCTCTGCCTACCCCTTCGGGGATAAAAGGCGTGATGTTATGATGATGATGGCATAAGCTCTTTTTCTCTCTCGTAGACTCGACAGTCGATCTTCGTGAAGCTGCTGCAGACCACGTTCAGTATATATCAGTGTCCCTGGCTGACTCCGCCACAGAAGCTCAACGTCGAGAAATGTATACGCACACTCAGCGAAGTTGGTCAGTATAATATTCTATCGACCGAATACTGAAAGCCCACTCAATTTTAAATTATTCTTAACCACTCGAGCGTCCTTATGAGCACCCGGTGGATCATAAGAAAAAATGCTCCATGTTGCTTTCTCTTTTATAAAATCTATTATTAATGTTTTGTTTTTATTTTGACTGTATTTTCTATTGTAATGATCCTTGTTTTCGTGTGCCAATGGCCAAATAAATGCATTTTCTTTCTCCAAATGTCACGTGTGCACCCGTTGGATCATAAGGAACGCGGACGCTCGACAGGTTAAATATCGTGCCATCTCTGTCATTTTACAATGAATTTGGAGCGACAGAACTATACTAAAGCGCAACTTAAAATTGAGTAACGTTTGAGTATATCGACATAAGAAACAAGTAATGCATTTTTTTATGTTAAACGGATATAATGAGTTTTATTTTACCAATAGTACAGGTTGGCGTGGTAACTAGGCAACTGGCTGCCGCGCAATGTACACCACCTTTTTTTAGAAGTCGGTTAAAAAGAATTTAAATGTTTTATGTTTCGTTTGATGTGTGAGACTGTTTTTATGAGTAAACGAGCAGTCGGATCGCCTGATGGTAAGCAATCGGCGTCGCCCGTTTACACTTGAAACGCCAGTGGTGTTACAAATGCGTTATCGGCCATTTGAGAATTTGAGCATTGTTGAGGATTCAGGGATTGGGGTAGAGAGAACTTGGGCCTCCGGTAAGCTTTTCTATAAGCGTATTAACAATGAAATAGGACTGGTATTATGCCATGTTTGTTACACGTTTTACGTATTTTGGCGGGTTCACGCATTTGATCTATTTAATAATCAGACAGACTGCCCGACCACAACCGGACCCGAGCGTACGGCTCAAAGAGCCAACAAACCACCACGAATGGGGCCCAATAGGGCTGAATACGGAGCCGCGGAGGACTTAACGGGTTGCCGGGGCTCCGGCTCCGGCAGGAGTAGAAACGGGGTGATTTTTAGTTAGTAAGAGTCTGACACTCCCTCCCGCCTCACCCAGGCGGGAGAAGTCGTTCGTTGATTTTCCCCCCTTAAAAAAAATGCCGGAGGCTCATATTCATGAGCAGCATTCTGCGAGTAAGCCGGAAACATAATAATTAATTTAGTATGTCTCACGAAATTTTTAACATAACTATGATCTTACAGCAAAATCTCGAAGCATAGCCATCCCCTTGGAGCTAGAAGCTAAAATCCAGACGGTGTTTGAGAAGGCGGCCGCCCTTTCGCGCCAGACCAGCAAGTGGCTCTTGGCCTCAAAGACATCGAAGCTTGAGAAGATGGCATCGCAAGTACGTGTTTATCCATTTTCCAGTACTTTTTTTATGGAATAGGAGGCAAACAAGCAGATGGTTCACCTGATGGTAAGCGATCAGCGCCGCCCATGGACACCCGCAACACCAGAGGAGTCACAGGTGCGTAGTACTGAGTGCCAAGCACGAATAACTAGCGCATTCGCAATGTGATAGTATCGAGACACGTTCGCTGCTCTGATTGGCTGGCTCCAGTGAATCAATCAGAGCGCCGCGCCGTACGCGCGTTGGCTCAAGACAGATCGGCGATATAATTATAAATCTAAGTCTACATTTACTCACTATGTTTTCTGTTATTCCACCGTATGTCAGTGGCGTTTAAATAATATTAGAATGTCCATATAACTCTAAAAGAGTTTCATGCTGGCTAGGTTTCGGACCTACGTGACCTGCATGAGAAGAATGCACTTTAACCTCTGGTCTAGCCCGACGCTTGTTATTTGTTTGTTTGTCGTGCTCCAGGCGAACCTCCAGAACGACCGGTCGGTGATGGAGGGGCTGCAGGAGATAGTGGCGCTGCTGGAGGAACAGCTGCGGCCGCTGCTGCAGGCGGAGCAGTCGCTGCTGGTGGACATCCTCTACAAGCCTCACCTGCTGTTCACCGGCCACGGGGAGGCCGCCCACGCAGACACTAGCGGGATCTTCATCTCTAGGTCATTAATAAAACGTTTCACAGTTACTTTACTGCTTACAACACGGTCTTAGCTAGTTTATGGCTTGTTTCTGGACAATCAGACGACATGATGTTTAAACTTTTATATATAATCTCTACCTTATTTTTTATATGTTAATGACTGCCTCGTTGGCCGAGTGGTCGCAAGTGCGACTGGCCGGGCAACGGGTCTCGGGTTCGATTCCCGGGTCGGGCAAAGTACTACTGGGTTTTAAAAACCTCAGTAGTAGCACGGAGTGGACATGTGTCCGGTATATGTCAATAGGTTAACCCCCTATTACATGGGACTCATAACATAAATAGTAAAAAGTGGGTGTTACATTGTATAGTGGCATTAAGTGCCGTAATGTGCACCTCTGCCTACCCCTTCGGGGATAAAAAGGCGTTGTGTTATGTTATGTTGTATAATCTATGACCAGCTTTCATTTTATTTGCGGTTTATTTCACTACGTATATGTTAATTTGTATTAGGGCTTGTGCCTAATCACACTAATATTATAAATATGAAAGATTCTTTACTTGGATGTTTGTCCGTCAATCACGCTAAAACTACTGAACGGATTTTGTTAAAGTTTGGTATACAGGCAGGGTATGGGCTGATTTAGGTGATAGGACTTTCTATCCCGATTTAATGCTCCCAAGGGATAAAACAGGAATCATATTCTACGCGGACGAATTCACGAGCAAACACCTTATCTTGAATCATTGTAATTATTGACAGTTTACAGAAAGAACTTGCACGGTTCTCACACATTGTCTTATACACATTTGTCTGGACTTTAAAAGAGACAGATCTCTGAGTTTGTTTCGGCATTTCTTCTCAGAGTAGTCAGTTAGGAAATGTCGACCTCATCGTTCGCTTGTAAAAGTGCTGCCTTGTAACCTATTTGCGGAAATAAGTTCACTTGTTATTGAAAAACCGTAAGTAATATACTTGTTTGTAAAATTGTGCTCAGATTAATCCGGCACACGGAGAAACTTCTAGAAGAAAAGGAAGAGAAGTTATGTGTCAAGGTGCTGCGTACTTTACGAGAGATGATGGCTGTCGATCCCGAGTACGGAGAGAAGGTAAACATTATAATTAATTTAGTACGTCTCACGAAAATTTTCATATAAACAGCAGCTGCTACATGTAGAATAGAAAACCAAATTATATGAGAATGACGTAAATTTTGACACTTGTGAGTGTCATCCCCATACATTTAGTTTTCTACTCTCTCTGTACACAAGCGCTAAAGTGGCGTTTGGCTAAAGGCACTGAATTTGGAACTATATAACTTATTAAATATATTTAAATAAAATATTATTATAATAATACAATATTAAGTGATATTATGTCATCAAGATTAAGAGTGTAGAACAAAAATCAGATCGATCTGGACTTCTGTAGTCGTAGTTTTTTTTTATGGCATAAGCCGGTAAACGAGCAGACGGATAACCTGATGGTAAGCAATCGGCGTCGCCCATGGACACCTGGAACACCAGAGGCGTTACAAATGCGTTATCGGCCTTTTGGGGATTAGGAGTTTGAGAAATTGGGGAGATTGGGGAAGGGGAGGGTAATTGGGCCTCCGGTAACCTCACTCACAAGACGAAACACAACGCAAGCGTTGCTTCACGTCAGTTTTCTGTGAGGCCGTGGTATCACTCTGGTCGAGCCGGCCCATTTGTGCTGAAGCATGGCTCTCCCACACTTAAATTTCAACAAACAGACTAAATAAAAACATTTAATAAGAATGAGTGCTAACCTAAGACGCGTATTTCCGTTCCCCAGGGCAACCAGCTCCGCTCGAAGCTGCTGTCCCAGTACTTCGTGAATCGTAAATCTGAACCCAAGATCATGCCCCCTCCGAGTTCTGTAACCGTCACCCACGGACCAGGTGGTAAGTCACATGTTAACCTTAGGGCCTAGTACGAGTTTGTATTACCTTTGACAAGATCGAAACGATACTGCGTTCAGCCCTGTGATTGGCTGATTCATTCGAGCAGGCCAATCAAAGCGCTGAACGCGTCTTGATCTCGTTAAACGTAAAAGAAACTCGTATTAGGCTCTGTTAGTCGTGCTGGACTTATATTAGAAGCTTTAGTAAGTTAGGGATTTGATTCATAGACCTAATTGAGATCGTATAATTTGAGTATTCAACAATATACTCAATCTTTTGGTCCCTTTGCGCAAATGACAGAATTAGTTGCGCTATCGTTGCGCAAATCAGATATTTATAATAGCATATAAAATATTATTTATTTACTAATTTTTAATACATGGTTATAGTTACAGCAGCAGATCATTTAGAACTTCGATTTTTTTATATTAAATACATAATCTTAACCATTACGCAAAGAAGGTACATACTAATGTAAAATTGAATTACACAAATAGTGATAACAAATAAAAAACTAATGAATAAGTTAACCTTCTTAAGTTATAGATAATTAACAATAAATAACACTTCAAGGCCCGAGTGAATAGGTAGCTTATGGGCAAACGTGCTCTATCGTAGGCCGCATCATCGCGTAACATCAGGCGAGATAGTGGCCAAACGTGGACTCATAAAAATATTAAAGAAAAATACCAAACGAAATCGATTATTTTAACAAGGATAGTCAAACTAGCTTGCACAGTTAGTATTAGTTGATAGCACTGTTAATTACTAACTAGTTCAATATGAAATTTGTAAACTGTTTTTTTTTTTCAAAGGGAAAGGCTTGGTGTAAAGCTCTTGTACTAGCGGTTGACCGCCTTTTTTTTTAAGGGGGGAAAATTATCGAATGACTGCTCCCGCCTGGGTGAGGCGGAAGGGAGTGTCAGACTCTTACTGACTAAAAACCACCCCGTTCCTTCTCCTGCACGTCGAGCCGGAGCCCCGGTTACCCGTTAGGTTCTCCGCGACTCCGAATCGGCATCGGCCCTATTGGGCCCCATCTGTGGTGGTCTGATGGCTCTTTGAAGCGCGCGCGGAACGCGACGCGCCGTACGCTCGGGTAGCGGTTGACCGCCTAGGCGCTTCGTATCGACAACCGCGGTTGCCATAGCGGTTGCATATTAAATTGGACAAGCGGTCAACCGCAGGGTGCGGCTAACTGCGCGGTTGGCCGCTAGTGCGGAAGGGAGCTATTATAATAGGCTAGTTTCCCACTGCTCAAATTCAATATTTTTATCGAAATGTCATATTTTCTATGAATTTTGTAAGAGATGGCAAATTAACGACGTCATACAATTTTCGCGTCAATTAGCAGACTACTTACAGAACAAATGCAAAATTATGCAAGTAAACAGTCGAACTAATTGATTAAAGTGTAAATTTTATTGTATTGCACTGTCGAAATGATTTATTTTTGATTGAGCAAACTATCCAATAATAATTATTATTATTTCGGCATGATTACAAATTATATTTCACATTTTGATCTCTCCGGAGATTGAAAGTCCGTCCAATACCGTCAAGTGATCTCATAAAATATTCAAGAAAAAATAAAAACTATAGTCTGACATTCGCAGCTACAACTCGACACCAACAATGAAGATATGCCATCGTCAATTAATAGTTAACACATTGTCTGCAATCTAAAATTAATATTTTTTTAAATATTTAAAGTCCCGGCACATCAGGGGGCTTTGTACGATACATTTGACGACATAGAAACGTTTAACATATTCGGCACTGATTGGCCGGCTCCTATGAACCAACCAATCAGGGGCTAAGCACAGTAAGGCCCTCTGTACCTCTTTTCTACGAGTTTGCAACCACTTTCCCTTTGAAAAAATTGAAACTTTCTCATATTAAAACACTAAACTTATTCACTGTATTGGTGATAGGATTTAGTTCATACGGATAGCAGCATATCAATTGTATTAACGGCTTTATTACATTTGTAATAAGGTTGCTACTGCAATGTTAATAATACTGTGATTGATGCTCTGCTAACCGAAATTTTAGTTATATGAACAGATGCCTTTGCTATCGAAGTGGGTATTTAAGTGTAAATGACTATTAACAAAATTGATAATATAAACCTGCTCCTAAGTGTAAGTAACCCTTTTGTAAAAACTGCATTGAAATGGGTTCAGCTAATCGCTAGATAATCGCAGACATACATTCGAATTCTGAAGACTAGATAAATTTATTAAAAATAGCGTTTTCAGTCTACAATTCTGATTTGAGATTGGTCTTTAATTTTATTGATAACTAGTTACAAACGCGAGGTTCTTGGGGTTCTTCAAGAGGGGAGTGAATAGGTTTCTTAAGGGTCGGCAAGACGCATGTAATGCCCCAAGTGTTGCAGGCGTACATAGGCAACGGTAACCGCTTACCATCAGGTGAGCCGTGTGCTTTTTGCCACTGTCGTAGTATAAAAAAGGCGGTATCACCCGCTGTTCAACTCCTGTTTTGGAGTAAAAGTTTTGTATTCAAAACTGAAGGTTGTATGTTCAGTTGAACGCCTTAGTCTCCGTAACAACCGGTTCGAATTGTATATATATTTCTTAGGTTACACATTTTGACATGCCAGAACGTACTTTATTTATATTAAAATGTCAAACACCAAGCGGTCACCGATGACCGCAACCTATTGTTCTTTAATTGTGTCTATAAATACGGTACTCGACGAGTTAATATAAGAAACTATTTACAACTTAAAATATACAAAAATGTAATAAATGAAAACGAAAAATAACTATTTACACAGATCATCAAAAATTAGTAACTAAACTAAACTAGGTAACTAGTTATCAAAGGTATCTTTCTTTTGTGATAAAATTATTGCTGCCGTTGAATTTTGAGAAAGGAAAATAATAATTTGAAAAATTTGTCGAACCTTCATAACAAAGGCATCTTAATACCGTAACATGTGATAGATTTAGATGTAGCAATCTGTATTGTTTATTTCTCACCGCATGCCACGCAGAAAGTCATCCGCTGAAGATGAAGACAGGTGGGTTTTGCCACTTGGCGGTACTTTTGGTACCATTTTATACACCGTTGTTATGTGTGCACACTGCACAGCGTCTCGCATACATTGCTTGGCATATTTGACTCGATTAAAATATTTTTTTAATCCTCTTATTTCGAAATACTCAAACGTTACTCAATTTTAAGTTACGCTTTAGTATAGTTCTGTCGCTCCAAATTCATTGTAAAATGACAGAGATGGCACGATATTTAAGTACAGTTTAAAATTGAGTAGCCTTTCTACCTTACGACCACTAGTTTCGGCAGTGCGTTGTCTGTTATAGCCAGTCAGTCACTCAGTATCGGAAGCGTTTTATATATATTGGCTATGTGCGCGACGGTGGCGACGCGTACCGTTTACAACATTTGCGGAAGCTGTCAAATAATAACAATGTAAACATTGTAATTTTCTTTGCAAATATAAATAAAACCAAAGATTAAAATAGAGGTAGTATTGTTGACATTATTTAAGTGCAATTTATTCAATAGTTTTACTTTAAAATGAATATAATAATGAAAACCGGGTTTGAAACTATTACACATAATATTAGTTTCCAACCACAAACTGAGACAAAAGGCAATAAATTAGTATTAACTGAGCATGTAAGAAATGTGGAACAACTTCGACATAACGGCCAGAGCTACTTAATACGAGCCCACGTAATTCATCCCATTTCTTTGCTTTGATTTTGTACTGCAATCAACACATTTGACAGCTGATCATCCGCATTTGTTTCCAATTTCTGCCGTGTTGTGCGCTGCGGTCGTTATCTGTCCGCCACTACTCGTTTTGCACATAGCCAATAGGTCGTGACACACTGTCCAGCGCGACTACGGCACACGGACCGCGCACTAACAAACCCGCCCCTTAGAATTTTTAAATTGACGTTATTAAACTTATATACAATATAATTATAATGTTTAATGTATATTAATGATAAATATGCCAAGCAATACTTGATATAAATATCTATGTACAACTGCTGGACGTATAATACACGTATGTGTAAGCTTTAGTATTGAAATTGAATAATTTAAGTAGAATTATATTAAATTATTCGAATTCGTATAACTATTGTGAATACTTATAATGTTGTATACAAGATGATGTTTTACAAAACGATATTTACGTATTTTTAGTGTTGAATACAACTATTTTTATTTCTTAAATATTTGTGTGTAAAAACATCATTCGGTGTACTTTAAGCTGATCACCCCTTGCGCACGTCCACCTAATTAGTTGCTTGTATACTATACCTATATTTTTAATTCTGAATAAGTACATATTTAGCAAATTAGCACTTATTTTGACGAACATTCTTCAGTTCTCCAGAAAAACTTCATTTATGACTTAAACTAGCCAATACTTAATTTTGTCCAAAAGTTAGTCCTAAGTTTTATCCATAACTCAAGTTTTGGCTAATCTCTTAAGATCTGAGGACTGAGTAGTCAAATTTGGGAGCTCCAGCAGCTTTAAGAATATATGTATATCTTTTTATACCTCCGCTGTATCACATATGAATGTCGATTTTATCATATCTTTATTACGACATATAAAATCAACTCACTAGGATTTTCCTCATAACGTGTGTTACCTAGTTGAGTTTTTATCCAATGACAAAAGCATAATTTTAATTATTAAATAAATATATGCGTCCCTGGTACGAAATATGGCCAGATTTTTGTATAAATTTGACCATGATCCGTGCTGGGTATAGATTTTAATTATTTATGCCCCTATTCCCTGGATGTATCCGCCTTTAAATTGTGTCTGTATATTAATTTCGTATACCCAAGCTTTTTTAACGCTAGCAAATCTTTTCTAAAATGTAATTCCGTACGATTCATTTAATTTTAAACTTGTTACTGGATTTTCAATTCCAACTTATGTGAAACCAAAAGGCTTGGTGCGAGTTTTTTTACGTTTAAAGTATGACTGCACGGTTGGTGCGGTGGCTGGGCAACCGGCTGCCGTGCAACGTGTCGCGGGTTCGATCCCCGCACGGAACAACACTTTGTGTGATCCATAAATTGTTGTTTCGGGTCTGGGTGTGGTGTATGTGAAATTGTATGTTTGTAAACGCACCCACGACACAGGAGAAAATCCTAGTGTCGGGAAATGTAAAAAAAACCTGAGACGAGACCGCATAAGGCGCTCTCATTGATTGGTTCATTGTAACCGGCCAATCAGGGCGCCGTTATATCAAACTCGTACTAAAGCCTCGGGCATATTCTCCAATGACGGGTTGGTAAAAATGTATTTAAATTATCGGTACACTCTTCTTGCTAAATAAATAATTTAAGGTAATCCAAAACGAGCCCCAACGCCCACAAACTACATTATTGCATGTACCGAAAACTTTAGAATTCCAAATATTTTTGTTTACCATAATCTCCACAATTAACATACGAGTTGGAGAAAACAAGTTTAAAAAAAATCAGACAGTGCTATTGTCCAGTCTCTGCCAATTACCTCTTAATCAGCTCCTAAGAAGAGTGGGGGCGATGATAAAATATCTACTGACCCGTCACCCAAACGACCAATTGTTAAAAAAACGATTTCAGTACAAGTTTCAAACCAATTAATCGTATGGGACGCTTGGCATCCAGCTATGTTACTCACCTGCTTACGCTTATACAGCGAAAGTGCTACTGAGGACTGGGCAGACCCTGGCCCAAGTACAGGCACACCTGGACAAGGAAGGAGCATCCGATCTCGTGGTAGACCTGGTCATCAAGAGTACCAATCGACAAGCTATCTTCCTAGAGGCTATACAACTTGGTAAGTATTCATTTTTATTTTATTTTAAAAAGGCTTTATGCTTAGTTTAATGTACAAGATGGACCATTGTGTGGTGCAAAGACAAAAACAATGGTCGATGCAAGAAGCAAGCGTATCCAACATCTATGATCAAGAGAAATACATAAAAAACGAATAGTATGGATTTACATAAATAAATCTTATCTCATAATTCTCATACTATTATATAAAGAGGAAGAGTTTGTTTTTTTTGCCGGGCAAGGGGTCTCGGGTTCGATTCCCGGGTCGGGAAAGTATTATTGGGTTTTTAAAAAATTCTCAGTAGTAGCACGGAGTCTCGAATTGTGTCCGATATATGGCAATAGGCTAATACCCCCTATTACATAGGACTCGTAACATAAATAGTGAAAAGTGGGTATTAAATTGTACAGTGGCATAATGTGCACCTCTGTCTACCCCTTTCGGGGATAAAAGGCGTGATGCGTGTTATGACTAAATAAAAGTACTTCTTGCGACCAATGGACTGGTGGGATGCGTCTTAAATCCTATATACTATTATATAAAGCCGAAGAGTCTGTTTGAACACGTTAACCTCAGAAAGTACTGGTCCAATTTAAAAAAATATTTTTGTATTGGATAGTCCATTTATCGAGGAAGGCTATAGGCTATTAAAGATCATGCTACAATCAATAGAAGCTGGAAAGAGCGGGTGAAACCGCGGAAGTAGCTAGTGACTGAATAAAATCCTTACTAATATTATAAATCGGAATGTGAGTTTGTTTGTTTGTTTGTTTGTTCCGCTTTCCCGCCGTAACTACTAAACCGATTGCTTTGGAATTTTGCAGACGTAAAGTTAGAAGTCTGAATTAAATAATAGGGTACTTTTTATCCCGGAAAATTTTGATATTTCCGAGGGAAAACAAAAGTATTAGTATAGATGGCGCTGTGTGTATTGGTATATGTTAAAGGCTACTTTTTATCTTTTGTGACGCGAGCGAAGCCGTGGGTAAAAGCTAGTGACTTAATAAAGTTCTTGTGACCAATGAACCGGTGGTAGGCGTCCAAAATATAGCATAAAGTGGCGTTCGTCATAGTAAATAATATTAAATCAACTTTATTGAAGAACAAATCTCATGATCGAGGCCTTGTGAGTAAGATCAAAGTAATAACTGTATTTTCGTACACAGGCATCGCGCTCCTAGAGGGTGGCAACCCTATAATTCAACACAGCATATTCACCAAGCTGCAAAATGGAGAAATTTCGCAAGCATTCCTAAAGGTAAACCCTTGACGCCCTTGTACCACTTTTTAAGGGGGGGATATTATCGAATGACTTCTCCCGCTCGGGTGACGTGAGAGGTGAGTGTCAGACTCTTACTGTCTGAACACCACCCTGTTCCTGCTGCTGCACTTCGAGCCGAAGCCCCGGGAACCTTTTACGTTTTCCGCGGCACTCTTGTACCATTATTGACATTGACTGATGTCCCCCCCCCCCCTCCCCTGAAACAAACAAAGTGCAGCCAAATAAAAACTTTTTGGGAATACCATGAAGCAGCGGTCTCTTAAGAAAAATTTATCATACGACGTTATATCAAATGATATCACTATTCTTCCTCAATATTATTGTATCAGGTATTCTACGATAAGATGCGTGAAGCCCAGCAAGAGATCAGGTCTCTGGCTGCAAACAGTACGTCTGCAGCCAGCTCTGAGAAGCAGCGCTCCAGCTACTCAGAAATCAAGAAGCCTATCACTGGCGACGGTACGCCCTTGTCTGCTCTATTATTTAATAAATAAAGTTTTTTTTCAAACAGTTGAATGTTCCAAACTGTATTTAGGTTATTTTCTTTATTCTATCTTTTTGACTGAGTATTGGTGTTACAATTTACTTACATAATTGAACCATAGAAACTATGGAAGTAAAGACTGTATTGTGATTGAAAAAGAACCTATGCTTCTTGCTCGTTTTTCTAGGAATTTTAAACTATGTACTGACCGACAGACTGATATCTTACTTCTTACTAATATTATAAATGTAAATATTTGTGTATGTTTGTTACTTACTCAATTAAGTCAAAGCGTCAAAATTTGTAACAGGGATAGATTATAGTCTCAAATGACACACGGGGAAACGCGGGCAAACCCGCGGGCAGACGCTAGATTTTAAACTGTCAAACACCGCGAGGACACCGGTGAACGCAACCTATTGTTTTATAATTGTGTCTATAATGACGGTACTCAAATGGTTTAATATTATATTTGACGTTCAAAAATGATTTTGACTTCGACTTTGTTTTGATTTTATCAAACTTGTTTTTATTGTGAAGATGTCGCTACATTTGCTACGCCAGGTACCAAGTCTCCAATGGTGCTGGTGGTGGGCGAGGAGATGGATGACGAGGTCAGCAGCGCATGCGGCTCCGCTGTCCACGCATACTCGGATATACACACTATGTCTCATGGTTAATATATCTTTTGTATTCGCACAACATGTAGCAAAGCTTGCTAATTGGTGATGCCGATAATGATGCACGTTATTTAATAAATGTAGATAAAAAAAGTAAAATATTCGTTACCACATGATTTCTAACAGGTACAACGGCTTTAGAAGAAATTATGGCGGAAAAGAAGGAGGCTGGCAACTCAGACGTTCTGCCTCCCAAGGTGGCCATCATGAAACCTATACTACGATTCTTGCAGTTACTCTGTGAAAACCATAACCCGGACTTACAGGTATTTATAACGCAATTTTATGGTATAATTATGTCGTTCGATGTTTTAAGCATGAGAGAATGGTTTGCTTGGTAGAATGTAGGCCACCGGCTGAAATATAGAAGCAAATACCAGTGTGGGGCAAGCAACGTTTTAAAAAAATTCGTTTGAGCGCGAACAAAGAATACGGTAGTAGACAACTAGTCAAATAAATACTTATCGAAATGTCAAAAACGATACTTTCCTTTGAATTTTGCATGAAATAACAATTTATGACGTCATCATATTAGCTTATTATCATCATTGCTTCAAATAGCACACTTATTTCTCAAAAAATAGCTCGAAAAATTCAAAAATAAATATGTAGCGACCTGAGGCTGGTTCTCTGATCGCTTCTTGTAAATTACCACTTCCGGAAATCGTTTATTCACTAGTGCTTTCTGTATATGCAAATTAAAGCGAAAGGCAAAAAAGCAAATTCTTTATTCCTCCGCTATAATATTTCCTTAACGACTATTTATTAACAACTTATTCAATAATAAAACAACTAACAATAATACTGAACGTGAAGCGTGCACAAGCTGAAGCGAAAGCGAATAAGCGAAGTGTGTCAAAACCACGTCATCGACTACCATTTAATACTAGAAGTAGCCATGTTAGAAGGATTCATCGACCACCTTGAAAATAGGCGGGGCGCGCATCATACGACGCCGTCTGACGTCACGCCACGTGTGACGTAGTAAGGCGTGATTTTTCGAGGTGCCACTGCTCATAAGCGGCACCGCTTTAAGTAGCGGATATGGTCGCTACAAATGTATTGTAAAATAATTAGTGAACGTAGGTTTATTTTTGAATATTGTATTGAATTGAAAGAACATAAGCGTGCAATTTAAAGCAATTTATTTTATGAGTCCCATAGGGGGTGAGCCCCTATTACATGGGCTCATAAAATAAATTGTTAAAGTCGGTGTTACATTGTACAGTGGCATTTAAGTGCCGTAATGTGCACCTCTGCCTACCCTTCCGAGGATAAAAGACGTGATGTTATGTTGTGTTGTAGGGTCAAATTAATTTATTTTGTAACTAATGGTTTGAACAGAAAATGTCTATCTGTGGAAATTTCTTTCTGTTCATGTATCGAAGTAGGCAAAGCTATGAAACATATGTAACGATCAACAGACCAGACAGAGCCAGTATTAAAAATTAATTATGCATATCTGTCTGAGTACGTAAGTAAAGTTATAGTGAACTCATCTAATTCTGTGACTCGTCTAATAATTCGGTTTAGTAAATTTGGTAGAACTCTTAGGTTTCTAGAAAAAAATCTGATTATTTGTGCTAATATTCCTCATAAAAGACTGATTAAAACTCATGCGGAGACTGAATTAAATTAATTAATAATTTATTGGTATTTTATTACTCAAATGCCTTTGTCACGAAGTTAGATGAGTTCACCCTACTTATTTCTCTCAAATATTTTCAGAACTTACTACGGAATCAAAACAATAAATCAAACTACAATCTCGTGTCGGAGACGCTAATGTTCCTGGACTGTATCTGTGGATCCACCACTGGAGGCCTAGGGCTGCTGGGTCTGTACATCAACGAGGGTAACGTGGCACTCATCAACCAGACCTTAGAGACACTCACTGAATACTGCCAAGGTAAGCAATTTTTAGTATTTTATTTTTTTATTTATATTTTTTTAAACGAGCAGACTAATCACCTGATGGTAAGCAATCGGCGTCGCCCATGGACACCTGGAACACCAGAGGTGTTACAAGTGCGTTACCGGCCTTTTGGGGATTAGGAGTTTGAGGATCGTTGGGGATTCAGGAATTGGGGAGATTGGGGAAGGGGAGGGTAATTGGGCCTCCGGTAACCTCAGTCATACGACGAAACACAACGCAAGCGTTGCTTCACGTCGGTTTTCTGTGAGGATGTGGTATCACTCCGGTCGAGATGACTCATTCGTGCCGAAGCATGGTTCTCCCACACTTTATTAGCAATTTTGTTCTCTTTTCACTATTGTTTGTTTTGTTTACATTTAATTTTTAATATTTGTATTCAGTTATAAATAAACTGTGTTTTTATATGTCGTGACAATACGGTAGTAGACAGGTAGTAAAATTCAATACTTTTATTGAAATGTCTAAAACGATACTTTTCTATGAATTTTGTATTGTATCGCAACTTATGACGTCATCATATTTCTGCGTCAAATACCATACATACTTATTTCCTTAAAATTAGCGAGAAAATATCCAAAATAAATTATTTCGACTGTTCAATACAATTAAATATTACAAAATAATCACACTAATTAATTGATTTTATGACCAACTTAATTTTAGTATTTTTCCAGCATTTTTAAAAAAAATAAGTATGCTGTTTAACGTTAAAAAACGTGACGTCACAATACACAATCTCGTACAAAATTCATAGAAAACTATCGTTTTTGACAGTTCGAAAAAAGTATTGAATTTGACTAGTTGGCAAATACCCAATTATGCTGACACCAAATAAATGTATTTTCTTTCCTTCTTTCTTTCAATTTAGGTTTCTATAAATTGAAAACTATTTCGAGTCAATAAATGAGGAAATAGCGGAAATCATTCATTCGGCCAGCACGATGCACCAAACCGGGAGTACCCAGTACAAACTTAAATATTTATGTACGGTGCGTACACTTGCAGCGTTGTTGTTGAGGTCGGAGCGCGAAGAGAAAAGATTCACTTAGTTAGATTTAGAACGTTAAATTGTGTTCACAATAAAACTGTTTACGATTCTTTTCTCTAATGTTGGTTACCGCGTTGCAGTAATTGCACTCACTCATTTATTATGTTGTATCGGTATTTATAGAAACAAAATATGTACGTCAGTCATTTTAGTCATTATTTTAACTGTTCCAGGTCCATGCCACGAAAACCAGAACTGTATAGCGACGCACGAGAGTAACGGACTAGACATAATAACTGCATTAATTCTGAATGATATCAACCCGCTCGGCAAGACACGTATGGATCTAGTCTTAGAGCTGAAGAACAACGCCTCTAAGCTGCTCCTGGCCATTATGGAGTCGCGAAACGATTCAGAGAATAATGCTGAACGTATACTCTATAATATGAACCCCAAGCAATTGGTGAGTACACCAAGTAACTGAGGGCTTAGTAAGTTTGTTTTATGTTAAAAGTAATCGTAACGAGTACGCGTTCGGCGCTGTGATTGGTTGCTTCATTGGCGCCGGCCAATCAGAGTGCCGAACGCGAACTCGTTTCGAATACTTTTAACGTAAATCGAACTCGTACTAAGGCCTCTGGGTACTTACTTTTGAAACCAATCTCAATGTCAATGCAACTTCAAACCAATAAAATTTCAATGATTATTCAATGTTAACACTATACGACCTCTATCGTAGCTGTTAAAATAACATTCAGAGTACGGAATATAGAGGCAAATCAATAACATTTAGTTCATTCAATATCCACGCAATACGGATGCAATGGGCGCTAGTATTGAAACACAAGAGTGTGAAATTTCACAATACCAATGTCGATCGATCGGAATTGGATTCAAGAGTAAGTCCCCTGTTCGTTACAGAGTGCCAAGCACGAATAACTATCGCATTCGTAACGTAATAGTATCGAGCGCGTTCGGCGCTCTGATTGGCCGGCTCAAGTGAACCAACCAATCAGAACGCTTAACTCGCTCGATACTGTTACGATACAAATGCAATAGTTATTCGTGCTTGGCCCTAAGGTCGTCCCATTGTAAGCGTATTAAGCTTAATAGCCAAGGCGCATTTTTTTCACCCTTAAACCCTCCCTGGACTTCCAGAAACATTTCAAGTCCAAAATTAGCCAAATTGGTTCAGCCGTTCTCAAGCTCAAACGCACAAAAATTCAGTTATATTTATATAGATAAACCCGTCTTACAAACAAACTTCACCTTTATATAATTGTATAACTTATAGAAAGCTAAAGAGTATGTTTGTTTGTTTGTTCGAACGCGCTAATCTCAGGAACTCTCCGAAAGGAGCATTACATGATTTTACCCCATCAATAAATGTAAATTTATTTGAAATTATTAAATTAATTTACTAAAACCTTCTCCTAAGTGTAACAAACACTTTTGAAAACCACATCAAAATCGGTTCAGCCAATCGCGAGATAATTCCGCACATACATACAGGTCAAACTGTGAACCTCTCGTTCTTTTTGAAGTCGGTTAAAAATATACTATAATTATGTGTAGTTAATCTATTAATTTGTGTCACAGGTGGATGTTGCTTGCTCCGCATTTCATCAGGAGCACGCAATGGACGCTGACTCGGATTCTGAAGACGATGCCATCGTTCAAGGAGTATCTCCTAAAGAAGTACGTAATTTTATATTTATTTAACTCAATGAACCTCTTGTATGTATTTAGGTATTAAGGGCTCGTACACAAAACTACGATGCGAAGTCGCAACGCAAAAATGTGCAAGCTCCTTCTACGCATCGCAAGAACTTGCTAATTGATTCGCAGAATCAGAATCAGAATATTTTTATTTGTAAACATAGGTATGTGAGGTGTTACAGGTAGGCAGATTCTCCATGTTTTGCCCAGAGGCGTACAAATATTATATATAATTAAAATATTTAACATTGTCATCATTCAAAAATTTATTGACACTTGTAATTGTAAATTAAATTGAAACCGATTAAGTAACATGTCATACAATACTAATGCCAAATAAAATTAGGATCATCAAATAAGTCATAAGTAATGTCAATATTAACAAGATTTAACAATTTGTCTAGAGAGATTAATTTTCGTGTCATATTATTTAGCGTTAAATATAACATTAACAGATATTAATACGCATATACATATCATTACAAATAAAATAGAATTAATTCAATAAAATGTCAAAAACGATTAAAGTTACATGTCATATAGGCCAATGTCAAACAAAATTCAAAACATCAAAACAAATGGGGTTGTGCGCTATTGTCTGAGGCAGTAATTATAGAATTGTCGTCCAAATAGGCCTTTACTGAGTAATAGCACTTATTTATCAAAATTTTCAATAGTTCTTTATAGCATCGCGCATAAAATCTTATCTTCCCTTCTCTTTTTTGTTTCTTTTTCCTGTATCTCCTAAGCTACAACAGAAGTGCATACTTCTTTTTACATGTCACAACCTAGGTTTCAATTTCAAATACGTTTAGTACAGTTGACTGTCTGTCATAGATAGAATAAAAATGACTGATTATAAGGTAATATTGATAATATTGTGCGTTTATTCTTTAAAATGGTAATAAAGTTAACTTAATTGTAACTAAAAAGTTTATTCTTTAAAGTAAAAGAAATAAATTAAATTAAAAGTAATCTAATTAACACAGTATGCATAATTATGTGACCACCATGTTGGACTTCAAGGTTTTTTTTTTAAATTTTAGTAAGTTATTAGTATAATGCGTCAAGCATGTCTTTGCATTGTTCTCACATATGCGTACAGCATTGAAATATGTATCAGAGACATTGTAGAACATACTTTTTTTTAAAAAGAGTAACGAATGGAGTTTCTTGCTCGTTCTTCTCCATTCGAATCTACTTTTTGGAATGAGCACCTAGCTTCACCTAGTTTCACTGACGGACTGACTGACAGACTATTATTTATTTTGTATTTGTTGACGTTTCAAAAGTACCAAACTATGGTTTAATTGAAATAAATGCTTTGACTTTGAACAACTATAACAGTCGAGACCATACGAAATGAGAATATTTTAGTCAAATACAATAATGGGTCCCGGCTGTTAACGCTATTTAGTAAAATTACTTTTATTTATATGTTAATCTACTTAACTTCGTAAATTTGGCAAGTAAAACACATTTGGATGCAGTTTTGTGTTATCACTTATCAGGGGCACCATTATTTACTGCATTTTTCGGCTAAACCCGTTAAAATTCATCCTCTAAATTTGTTCATACAAAAGTAGTCTCTAAACATTAGAAATAAGGTCTATAATGTAGTTAGTGGAGAATGGTCACCGGTGACCGCTTGGGGATGTATGGGTTAAGGTAAAGGCTTCCACTTCATACCTGTTTGACCACGAACTCGACTAGTTTCGAGCCATTATCGTTCACTTGGGAATAAAAGTCTCTACACGACGTGGCTACTGTAGTGTTAACCTACTAGCTACTCGAGTTCACACGGTCAGAGGGCCAAGCACGAATAACTAACGCATTCGTAACGTAATAGTATCGAGCGCGTACGGCGCTCTGATTGGCCGGCTCAAGTGAACCAACCAATCAGAACGCTCCCTGAACTCTGAACCCTCTGCCCGATCTCACGTGCACTTTCTTTTATCTGCGGTGACGGCGTAGCGTTGGACTCGTTCACCAGGTCCTCGTCATACAGTTACCTGAGGTCTTAGTACGAGTTTCTTTTTCGTTTAAAGTAATTGACTGCACGGTTGGTGCGGTGGCTGGGCAACCGGCTGCCGTGCAACGTGTCGCGGGTTCGATTCCCGCACGGAACAGCACTTTGTGTGATCCACAAATTGTTGTTTCGGGTCTGGGTGTCATTGTGTATGTGAACTTGTATGTTTGTAAACGCACCCACGACACAGGAGAAAATCCTAGTGTGGGGCAACGTAAAAAAAAAAAAAAAAAAAAAAAAAAACGAGACGGCGTTCTGTGCTCTGATTGGTTGGTTCATTGGCGCCGGCCAATCAGATTGCCAAACGCGTACTCGTTTCGAATACTTTAAACGTAAACCAAACTCGTACTAAGGAGTAAGCCGAAATACATACAAACACTAAAGAAATGTTGTACGGTTTAAGTGGTACCTATATCTGGGAATGTTGTGTAGGTGGGGCACAACATCTACATCCTGTGCCACCAGCTCGCGGCGCACAACAAGGAGCTGGCGGCGCTTGTGCGCGCGTCCCCGCACGGCACCAACGCGGACGCGCTGCGCTACTACAGGACACACACCGCGCAGATTGAAGTAAGTCGCCGCCACCGGGGCACAGAACATAATGCCTACTATATCTTATATCTTACTAGCTTTTACCGGCGGCTTCGCTCGCGTCACAAATGGATAATAGTACCGTATGTGACATATACCAATACACACAGCGCCATCTATACCAATACTTTTGTTTTCCCTCGAGAATATCACACTTTTCCGGCATAAAAAGTACCCTATTATTTAATCCGGACTTTTAACTTTACATTTGTAAAATTTTAAAGCAATCGGTTTAGTAGTTACGGCGTGAAAGCGGAATAAACAAACAAACAAACTCACTTTCCGATTTATAATATTAGTAAGGATACATAAAGCGGAAGAGTTTGTTTTTTGCTTGTTTGTTTGAACGCGCTAATCTCCGTAACTACAAGTCTGATTTGAATAATTCTTTTTGTGTTGGATAGTGCATTTATCGAGGATAGCTATAGGCTATAAAACATCACGCTACAACCAACAGGAGCTGAGCAGGGCGTGTGAAACCGCGCGGAAGTAGCGAAACCTCGTCCGGCGCTCTGATTGGTTGGTTCATTGAAGCCGGCCAATCAGAGCGCCGGACGAGGTTTCGTTTTCGTACTAAGGCCTCAGCAGTAGGCACTTCAAGGCTGATGATGTGTGATGTGATGTCATTCATTAATTAGTTTTCCATTCAACAGATAGTCCGTACGGATCGAAGTATGGAACAGATAGTATTTCCCATCCCGGAAATATGTGAGTATCTACCGGCGGATAGTAAGCATCGCGTCTTGCAGAGTGCTGAGCGGGATGACCAGGGTAGCAAGGTCGCTGACTTCTTCTCAAGGCTTGATAACCTATTCCACGAGATGAAATGGCAGAAGAAACTTAGAGGTAAGTGTAAAGTATAGTATGTATTGGCGAACCTTCTCATGTAGAGAAGACACATACTGCAGCAGTGGACTGTCACGATATTCTATTTGAGAATACAATTCTCATACTGATAGATTTTTCGTTTCATGTTTAATACTTTCAGTAATAGCACAGTGTTTAGAATAGAGTTTTTTCTGTCAAAGAGAGTTTTTTCTCCTTGCGCAAAGCAGTCATGTTAGTAAATGAGGAGTCGGGGGGAACGAACCTCACGCCCCACCCGTCGTAGGAGACACTCCGGGCGTCGGGGATTGCGAGACGATCTCCGGTAATCGTAAGCCCGGGCCTTCGGACGTCGAGCATGGGTAGCTCGCCGCCAAACTAGACGCGAGCGTTCGGCGCGTCGTGTCCGTGTACAGATGCCCGACGTTGTCACGGAGAACCTTTCATGCTACCGGGGCTGAAACTTGAAGCAGGAGTGGGAACGGGGTAGTTTTAAGTCAGCCCAAAGCGTGAGGAGTCATTTTATTATTTCCCCTCATCAAAAAAGGCCTCTAGGCGCCTGTACTTTGATAAATACGCTAATGTATAATATCATGTGTTGTTTTATTTACAGGGCAGAGATTCCTTTTCTGGGTTTCATCCTACATGTCTCTGTGGAGCAACATACTGTTTAACTTCGCGGTTCTGATCAACGTCATTGTCGCTTTTTTCTATCCGTTTCAAGAAGATACACCTAGTAAGTTTTCTCATATATTAATTACTTTTATTTGTTGTCGTGGTCGCCCGGAGGATGGGGGCCTGCTTCTCACACATGAGGGCGTGGTTTTGAAATATATTTTGATTTGTTATGCAATAATACCTGGTTGAAAAATAACTTTAATTAGATATCAGAATGTGTTTAAAACTGGGTTGATGATGCGAAAGAGGAATGTAAGAATCGTAGCAATTTGCAATTCATAGTCTGCCTATCCCCATGGAAGACAGGCGTGACGTTATGTACGTTAAACGTTTGTTTTTATTTTTAATAACAGTAATCGTCAATCATGTTTAACGGCTTCGTCACTTAACCGTTTGACGGGCAACCACATTTATTGGTTTTGGCATAAAAGTTAGTGAATGACCGAGACCCCCCCCCCCAGAGCTGGGCCAGCACCTGTCGCTGGTGGTGTGGGTGGTGTCGGGCGTGGCGGGCGCGCTAGTGACGTGGCTGCCGCGCGGCGGCGGGGCGCGCGCCCTCATCGCCAGCGCCGCCGTGCGCTTCATGTACTCGGCGGGTCCGGAGCCCACGCTCTGGATGCTCGCTATGCTCACTGTAACTATACCTCTCCATGATAAACTAAATAATACACTCTTTTATTCGTCTTACAAACGTAGTCCAGTACATATACAGTTTAAACGGAATGCTCTCGAAACGCTGACAAAAAGAAGTTATTTTTACAATTTTAATAGTTTTTTTTCATGTTATTCATGTAACGCCAGCCTTGTGCAGTTGATTAAAAGTGTTATTACATAAAGAAAACATTTATTTCTTAACTTTTAAGACAATAAAACTTATATTTTAGTATCACATGTCGGTGGTTTTCGGGATTGTTCTGTTAACACCCTTTATTTCATAGAGAAAAAAACTATTTCACACACTGAAGATATTTGACACGTACGGTCAAAGGTCAAAAGTCCACTGCCGCCGTAAGACTACTATCGGTTGCACACATGCACATGCATATTTTTGTCTGTGTGCGTACGCACGCGTTTTTATGCACTTAATATGAAATTACTTACGCATTGCCGAGTGAACATCACTCACGGTGGCAGTGAACTTTTGACTTTTGACTGTACATGTTTATATAGTGTAAGTTTATCCATATTTTTTATTTTCTTACCGAGACAAATACTTTCGACGATATCTTGATTTGAAATATCGCGTGACGTCACTTCTAGGGACGTCTTATACGTAGAAATGACGTTTTAGCTCCCATTCCTAAACTTTGTTTCGTTTTATCTAAGTATTGTAACATTAAACAACAAAATTAAAAAAAGTGTAATATTTTTTTCGTTACCTAACTGATGGACTAATTACATTTTTAATTTTCATACTCTGTCATCTTATATTATCTTATACTATTATATAAAGCCGAAGAGTTTGTTTTTTTTGTTTGTTTATTTGAACGCGCTAATCTCCGTAACTACTAGTCTGATTTGAATAATTATTTTTGTGTTGGATAGTGCATTTATCGAGGATGGCTATAGGCTATAAAACATCACGCTACGACCAATAGGAGCTGAGCAGAGCGTATAAAACCGCGCGGAAGTAGCTAGTCATCCATATTTTTGGTGTATTTTCGTTTTTTTTTAAGTTTTGCGTGGGTTTGGGACGTCTTTAGTGTTTTTATCCTTTTTTAATGGATTTTCAGATAGTGGTGAAAGGTATCCACTTGGTGAGTATTATGGGCAACCAGGGTACACTATCTAAATCACCAGGGAAGGTGCTAACAGACCCTGAACTGCTGTACCACAGCGTATACCTTGTCTTCTGCTTCTTCGGAATTTGTTGGCACCCATTCTTCTTTTCTGTTCTGGTGAGTTCATAGAAAATTAAACATGTTTTTTTGGTATTGTTACTTTCGTGAGACATACTAAATAAATAATCATGTTTTCGGCTTACTTACGTAGTAATTTGACGAGGAACTCGACCAGTTTCAACCCATGCTAGAGGCTCGTAGCAGCGCGACAGTTGGCGCGTCGCGGGTCGCGAAATGCTACTCATGAATATGAGCCTCTAGCATGGCTTGAAACTGGTCGAGTTTCAATACTTTTTTCAAACTGTCAAAAACTACAGATTATTATGAATTTTGTACAAGATTGTGCATTGTGACGTCACGTTTTTTAGCGTCAAACAGCATACTTATTTCTTAAATAAATGCTGGAAAAATACTAAAATCAAGTTGGTCATAAAATTAATTAATTAAATTATGATTTTTTTTACATTTTATTGTATTGAACAGTCGAAATAATTTATTTTTGATTAAGGACTATACCCAAGTGGAGTACACTACGAATACTTATCTAGTTATGCTTTGTCCGCAGCTGCTGGACATAGTTTACCGCGAAGAGACTCTCCTCAACGTGATGCGATCTGTGACTCGCAACGGCCGGTCCATCTTACTGACGGCCGTGCTGGCGCTTGTCCTTGTCTATATGTTCTCCATCGTAGGCTACATGTTCTTCAGAGACCATTTCCTTGTCGCTGTCGACAGGCTGGACGGTAAGCGATTTTCAGTCTTAATGTGTTAACAAAAAAAATGTTTTTACTCTATGCTGTAGCGACACTTGGGTTACCAAGACGTATCTATCGATATAGATGGCTGCTATGATGATGATGATCTAACGATATATCATATTTAGTTTAGAAGAAATGAGCTTATAAAAAATTAAATTCTCAAATACATACAAGATACAAAAAACAATACCTTCGTAGGAAATACTCGATAAACAAGCCTTCGACTTTTTTTCGTGTGGTTCTTCGGTCTCAGAGTAGATCGATAGACAGTCGGTGGGCTACTCACAGAAATGAATGTATGACCGATCGACGAATGACGTGGCACAGACGATGACGACCCCCGCTTCGAGCCGGACGGCTGCGAGGGCGGCGCGGGCGGCGCGCGCTACGCGGCGGGCGAGCAGTGGCGCGCGGCGCGGCTAGTGTCGGTGGGCGGCGAGCTGCGTGAGCGGAGCTGTGACTCGCTCATCATGTGCATCGTCACCACGCTCAACCAGGGGCTGCGCAACGGCGGCGGCATCGGAGACATCTTGCGCGCGCCCGCTAGCTTCGTTAGTAACCAACTTTTCTTCTTCCATCTCTGCTCTCGAATATCTCTTCTTCTGTTCCCTTTTCTTCTCTTTTGATCAGCCGTTACGATCACATCCACGGCCTATAGTATATAGTGCCCACTGCTGAGTCATAACTTTTTCAAAAATCGCAGAAACGTTCAAAAATCGAACGCCTTTCATTGAGTAACATTCCGACACACATGATACAAAGTGACAAGTGCTCAATCGAAGCATGATTTCGTGGTTGAAATAAGATGTGTAACAATACCTTTATTTCCCCATGTACTGTACAGGAGCCACTGTTCGTAGCGCGTGTGGTCTACGACCTGCTATTCTTCTTTGTGGTCATCATCATCGTCCTGAACCTCATCTTCGGTGTCATCATTGACACCTTCGCAGACCTCAGGAGTGAGAAGCAACAGAAGGAACTTTGTTTGAAAAACACCTGTTTTATTTGTGGTTAGTTGTTTTTTTATTATATGAACCGGTAAACGAGCAGACATATAACCTAATGGCAAGCAACCGGCACATTTAATGTATTATCTATACATACAGATAAATAAAATTGGGGTGTCTGTTTATGATATTGAACTCACTGCTTTTTACTACATGTACAAGGATACTGTTTGTACTGGCTAATCTCTGAAATGGCTGGACCGATTTTGACCGCACTTTATTGGCAGGTAACTAATGTACTAAGGAGCAACATATTCTACTCTATGCTTTATTTTAGGAAAGCTCAGACGATGTTGCGGGTTCAGCTAGTTCCATAATATGATTGTAATATTAAAATAGTAATCTGCAGTTCAGTTGCAGACTGCCTCATTGGCCGAGTGGTCACAAGTGCGACTGCCGGGCAAGGGGTCTCGGGTTCGATTCCCGGGTCGGGCAAAGTATTACTGGGTTTTTAAAAATCTCAGTAGTAGCACGGAGTCTGGAAAAATGTGCCCGGTATATGGCAATAGGCTCACCCCCTATTACATGGGACTCATAACATAAATAGTGAAAAGTGGGTGTTACATTGTACAGTGGCATTAAGTGCCGAAATGTGCACCTCTGCCTACCCCTTCGGGGATAAAAAGGCGTGATGTTATGCTAATCTGCAGTTGTCGACTTAGCGACCGGTTGCTGCAGAAAGTATCGTGGTTTCGACTCCCGCCCGGAATAACTATGTAGTCTAAAAATTGTTGTTTCGAATTTTGATATGTGAATTAGTATGTAACTGTTTATTAAGTTATAATTAGTCAATGTAAGTGAACCCTATTGTTTATGAGTGTACAAATAATCATTAAACTAAACGACCCGAAAACGGAAGATTCTGGCCTAATTGAAATAAATGATTTTGACTTTGACTTTGAAGAAAACATTGAGTCAACGTGTTTTGATAAAAAAAAAACAATTTTAACAGGTTTGAACAGGTCAGCCTTTGACAACAAGACAGTCTCATTCGAGGAGCACATAAAGAGCGAACACAATATGTGGCACTACCTCTACTTCATGGTGCTGGTCCGGGTCAAAGACCCTACGGAATTCACCGGCCCCGAGAGTTACGTGCATTCTATGATAAAGGTAACATACATGTATTTACATTATACAACTAGGGTTGCCACCCGTACTTTATAATAAAGTATTGTACATTATTTAAGGTAATTGTACTCTATACTTCATAAGAGTTGTCGCGGAGAACCTAACGGGTAACCGGGGCTCCGGCTCGACGTGCAGGAGAAGGAACGGGGTGGTTTTTAGTCAGTAAGAGTGACACTCCCTTCCGCCTTCGATGTCATTCGATGATTTTCCCCCTTAAAAAAAATACTTCATAAGAATAATAAAGTACACGAAAATACTTTATTTTTGCAAACTTCATTTCTATTAAAGTCGTAAGTATTTTTCGGTAAACTTATCTATTCGATATCGATATTTATCGATTTATGTTGAATCGATAACTCGCCAGCGCCACTTAGACAATTTCTAGTAAAGATGCAATTGTTTAGTATTTTAATGCAATTGTTCAGTAAAGATACTAATTTAATACAAACTGCAAAAACCAATAAAAAAATACATTTTTAAATATAATACTAAATAAGAATAAATTGTACTTTATTTTTGTACTGTGCACTTTTTTTTCTTACCTATAATCGTCAATGTACTTTAAATACCAAAGAAAAAGGTGGCAACCCTATATACAACCCCATTTTATTCATCGTCATTAACCTGCAAAATAATAATTATTATATAAACTACGTTTAAAAAAACCCACCACAACCCCTCTTTTTTCTGAAGTCGGTTAAGCAGTCATGCTTGAGAAGCGGGCGTCTTAACCTTCAGGCCACCACGACACTTATTCATAGACATGATTCTGCCAAATGTAGATGATAAAATCATGAAACATTCAATGCTTTGGTCAATTCATTAACTATTAGAGCGCATTTCATAAAGTGAGCAAATCCTTTACAATGTGGTTACGACAAACATAATAGACTATGCATACTTATAACAATACTTGTGTCGGATCTCGAATCATGGCTGTTATTTTGTATTTCTTCTAAATAAAATTGACTTTGTCCGCAGACAAGTAATTTAGACTGGTTTCCACGACTCCGCGCTCTGTCACTGATGGGGGGTGGCGAGGGGGAGGGAGGCGAGCTGGAACTGCGCGCGCTGCAAGCACAGCTCGACCGCGCGCAGCAAGCTGTACATACTCTCACCGACCTACTCACCGACCTACGGGACCAGGTACTCGCACTATACACACACCCCCATACACTCACCGACCTACGGGACCAGGTACTCGCACTATACACACACCCCCATACACTCACCGACCTACGGGACCAGGTACTCGCACTATACACACCCCTACACTCACCGACCTACGGGACCAGGTACTCGCACTATACACACACCCCCACACACTCACCGACCTACGGGACCAGGTACTCGCACTATACACACACCCCCACACTCACCGACCTACGGGACCAGTACTCGCACTATACACACCATACACTCACCGACCTACGGGACCAGGTACTCGCACTATACCACACCCCATACACTCACCGACCTACGGGACCAGGTACTCGCACTATACACACACCCCCACACTCACCGACCTACGGACCAGGTACTCGCACTATACACACACCCCCCACACACTCACCGACCTACGGGACCAGGTACTCGCACTATACACACACCCCCACACTCACCGACCTACGGGACCAGGTACTCGCACTATACACACACCCCCATACACTCACCGACCTACGGACCAGGTACTCGCACTATACACACACCCCACTACACTCACCGTCCTACGGGACCAGGTACTGCACTATACCCACCCCACACACTCACCGACCTACGGACCAGGTACTCGCACTATACCCACACCCCCATACACTCACCGACCTACGGGACCAGGTACTCGCACTATACACACACCTCCATACACTCACCGACCTACGGGACCAGGTACTCGCACTATACACACACCTCCATACACTCACCGACCTACGGGACCAGGTACTCGCACTATACACACACCCCCATACACTCACCGACCTACGGGACCAGGTACTCGCACTATACCCACACCCCCATACACTCACCGACCTACGGGACCAGGTACTCGCACTATACACACACCCCCATACACTCACCGACCTACGGGACCAGGTACTCGCACTATACACACACCCCCATACACTCACCGACCTACGGGACCAAGTACTCGCACTATACACACACCCCCATACACTCACCGACCTACGGGACCAAGTACTCGCACTATACACACTCCTCCATTCTCCTATGTTGCAGCTATAAAGTTCTTTTTTCTCTTCTTTGGCAACCGAGTCTCCAAGCTATAAAGTTATTTTAGGATTAATTATACCAAAAATTATATTAAATAGTGACACTTATGTACACATAGACTTGTAATAGGGTAGATGACATTTTTTTATTATAATGGCAGATTATTTTAAAACATTAGACACGTATTTTTTCATTACCAAACTGACGGACTAATAACATTTTTAATTTCTATACCCTGTCATCATTCCTTGTCTCTCATCTTCAAAACGGTGTAATTTTTCTATGCCATTTCAGTGTTGCAATATCAGCAGTTTGGAGTTTTGTAGTGTGAAGTTAGTTGGCTTATGTCGAAATACTCAAACGCCGCCCAATTTGAAAACGTGCTTAACCCGTTGAGTACTGTCATTATAGACACAATTAAAGAACAATAAGTTGTGGTCACCGGTGTCCTCGCGGTGTTTGACAGTTTAAGTATAGTTCTGTCAATATGTACAAATTCTTTGTAAAATGACAGAGATGGCACGATATTTAAGTACAACATAGAATTAGGATGATGACGGGGTATTAAAATTAAAAATTTAATTAGTCCGTTAGTTAGGTAATGAAAAAATATTATACACGTATTTATTTTATTTTGTCGTATAATAAAACAAATCAGAGTTTAGGAGTGGGGGCTAAAACGTCATTTCTACGTATAAAATGTACATAGAAGTGACGTCACGCGACATTTCAAATCAATATATCGTCGAAAGTATTCGTTTTTGTAAGAAAATAAAAATTAGGCATCTACCCTATTGAGTAGCCTTTTAGTATTAGCGCTTAAGGCCCTTTGGGTCCCAAAGGTCTTAGATTCTACAAGAGAGGGGAGGGGAGTCTATACATTTTTTAGCATTACTCTTTCTATACTATAATGTATGGATTTCGATTTAAATTCTAAAATGGACTCAGATGCCTACGAGTATGTTTTACGTCTAAGTCAAAGTCAATAGTCAAAATAATTTATTTTAATTAGACCAGGAAGTCACTTTGAACGTCAACAAAAAAAAACCGAAACTATATACTCATTCCAAGGTGTAGATTCCTATGGAGAAGAACGAGCAAGAACCTCCATAGATTACTCTTTTCCAATCAGGTTCACAATACAATTCTCTAGTTACATATTTTTATTGGTACGTTTAAAGTAATCGATACGAGACTGCGTTCTGATTGGTAAATTTATTGAAGCCGGTCAATCAGAGCGCCGAACGCATACTCGATTCAATGACTTTAAACATAAAAAAACTCGAAGTAAGGCGTCACAATATTACAAATTACTCGTTACTCATTTCGGTCATAATAACATGTTTATTAATATTAATTATTATTGAATTTTGTCTACAGATGACAGAGCAACGCAAGCAGAAGCAACGTATAGGCTTACTAAACTCAACCTCGGCGTATTTACAGAATTTGCAGATGAACTTACCACCGTAAACAGCACGCCAATACTTACCCGTGCCAATACCCACGTATTATACATGTATGACAATTTAAGACTCAAGTCATTTGTTATAATGTTTGAATTACAGTACACATATACATTCGTAAACACATATATTTATTGTCCATAGAAATATGTTCAAAATTCGCTCCCGGGTGACCGTATTTTTGCTGTTATATATATATATATAAACGTACTAAACCATTAACGTTATACATAAATACGTGTAGTTATATAATTATATATTAATTACGACCCAACACGGGTGTCAAACCTAAAACATGCACCTCCAAGAAACTTGACGCTACACAATCATTAAGGAATGATAATAATAATAATGTATGTTTTACATACATAGAAACATAGAACAAATTTTAAAATTAATGTCAAAGTTGTGTAATTAGTAATACTTTGATGGCTTTAGATTTCTTCTGACAGACTTATGTCGATACAAAGGAGATATAAAATAATAATAATATACAGGGCATAAGGTACACTATAATAGGATGACCTGTACGCGAATGAATTTCAGAAACGTTATAAATGTTGAGAAAACTTGAGTTGTTTTTGTACCTTACATAAAGAGTGTCTTTAACACGGCGAAACGTACGCAACAGACGCATTGGCGACGGCAGCGAGACGTTTACGACATTTGTACATGCTTCGGCAGTACATATAATTTAGAAATTATGCGCGGTCATTCCAGTATTTCAATACCTATTTAAATTACATAAATATAAAAATAAAAAAATCACTTTACATGAATTCTGATTAACTGAAAATGATCGAAAATAACAAGTTGACATTATGTACTGTTTAAATGTATCCTTTACACACATTTTACTATACGTATAACAAATAAATGTGCAATTACTGTTCGGCTCTACCGTGATAATATGAATATAAGTAAATTAAAATAACTAAATATTTTTCATCATGTGACCTATTAAAGGTTTTTATAATTACTTGAGACACTAAAGAAAAACCGTTAATAAGTATCTTACTAAGAAATAACAAATGATCTATTCAAAATTTTGCTCTAAAATGGTCATTTGTGACACACGTAAAAATGTACACCTAACCAACACCACGTCATTATATAAAACAATTATTATATTCCGTTTGTGAGACACACTAAATCAATTATTATGTTTTCGACTTACTCGCGTAACTATTTGACGAGGAACTCGACCAGTTTCAAGCCATGCTAAAGGCTCATTCATCATAAATACGTGGCGACTGTCGCGCTGGCAACAGCAGGCTCTGAGCTCATGAGCCTCTAGCACGGCTTGAAACTAGTCGAGTTCCTCGTCAAAAAGCTATGTAAGTAAGCCGATAACATAATAATTATATTCCTACATATTTGAAAGAGGAAAATTATCCAATAGCCTCCGCTATGTGGTAAGAGGGATTGCCAGACTTACTGACTAAGCAACTCCGTTCCTGCCCTGGGCTGTGTGTGCGCTCACATTATAAGTCGAATCGGGTAACCTGGTAACCTGTGCCTTTAGCCAAACGCCACTTTAGCGCTTGTCTACAGATAGAGTAGAAAACTAAATGTATGAGGATGACACTGACAAGTATCAAAATTTACGTCAATCCTATATAATTTAGTTTTCTATTCTACATGTAGACAAGTGCTAAGTGGCATTTGGTTACAGCTGCTGATAGGTCATCTGAAATGCCGATCTACGCGAGACACAAAATATTTCCTATTGTCTTATCGGTGCATTCAAGCAGTTAAGTTAATACGTAAATTATTTTGACGACCCTTAAGTAGTTTATAAATTTATCAAACATATCTTGTTATGATATTCGAATAGCTAATGTAGGTAGGATCGTATATTACTGCCGTACTGTATGAGAAAATTCCACTGTGAGGTGGGCTCGATGTTAAGAAAAAGTTATTAAATTCATATTAATCTAATTGTAGCTGTTAAATTGTTAAATAAATATAAACTTGCGAAATTAAATTTTATATCTATTGTGCGATTTTGTACAATCATTGTCTTGTGTCTTTACATTAGGTACCTTGGTTTTGTACATTAAAAAAAATACGTAATTCTGTTTGCGTATCAGTGTAATCTGAGGTGATATTAAAACTGTTTTTTCTAGATAAATTAATGTTAAACGTTTTATTTAAAAAATGTTTTCATAGCTAAAGGTACTGTAACACATGCTTTACGATAGTATGCTAAAATTCTATTGAGCATGTTGAAAAATAGAACGCCTATCGATTCGCAACCATGCCTAAAATGAGCATGCTAATATTGAGCAACATTCCGACATTATGCTACAAGTGACAAGTGCTCAATTGAAGCATGATTTCGTGGTTGAAATTAGCGTGTGCAACAATACCTTAAAGAAAGAGAAAGAAGTTTTGTTTATAGTGCAATCACAACTAAACACTCTATTTAAAATAAATGGGGGGAGGAATAAAATAAATGGATTTTGTATGTTGTCTCTTTCTGGCTTTCATAATAATGATTGATTCTACAAGTTCATTTGCTGTATATGTTTTTTTCTTTCACTCTTTTATACCCTTCATTTTTTTAGAAATTATATACGAGTTTAGTCTTCCTTTCGAATTCATTTCTCCAATTATATTTCTCTCTTATTTAGATTAATTTTTGCCTTGGGATAATACATAGATATTTTGCGGTCTCAGTTAAAAAATTTAAACTTGCAAAACAGTTGAATCAAGTTACCTATGAAATAGTTCTATTTTTTATTTTTAAATCAAGTTAATATAGGTATGAACTGGCTTTAGTGACGTTTTGATAGCTTGTGTTTCAAATTTATTCGCATTTTAATGATAACGTACAGCGATCTTCCAATTCTATATGAGAAGAATTTGCGTATTATTTAAAAATCAATTCTCGGATGTACAGACTTGAGTTTCAAATACTTACTAATATGAATATACAAAAGTAACCGATTTAGTTGAACGAATATAAAATAGTTATAAATATATTTTCTTTACTTGATGATGGCTCCAAAACATCAATATAAAAGAATAATCTTTATGGAGACCTGAATTATTTATCCGTCTGGTCGATAATGTAAGCTGAAGTGATAGTTGTTTGTTATATTTATATTATTACTTAACTTTAAGTTTTCAAAAGTGTAAAAGTCAGTTTTTGTACTGATTTTTTTATTATTCTCGTCAATAAACTGCAATTTGCGCTAAAATTTGCGCAATGGTGTTTAGTTTGCGCAAAAGTATTGAATACTGACTTTTTAACAACTTTGAGTAAGTGTTAAATTAACAGGCATAAAGGGAGGGACAGAAATGCATTACAAGCTCAATAAATATGCCAAAATGTTATATTTAATCTCTATGGATATCGAAATACAAAAATTGACATAAAATCCGAGTGTGATTGTAAAACTGACCCGGAAATCGGATGATACATAAAAAGCAAGCAATATTTTTCTATTGCAGAAAAATGTTCTTCACTGTGTACGCTATTTTAATCTCAATTATTTAATAGGAATAGTGACTATTATTCTCTGAAGCGGAATTTGAAGTATGTTTCCTAAATTCTGCTGTGAATAAAACCATTTTGGAATATTATATTTAAGTATGTGAATTGATAGTTTGAAGAATAATTATGTTAAACTATTGTAAAGTTTAAATGTTTCTCGAAAAATGTTATTATATTATAATTATATTACTTTATTTTTACAAAGGTTTGATTTTATCAATTATGTAGTTCTTTATCTTTTTCACTCAGCTGTTTTATAGATCTGTAAACGAAGATGGAATCAACTTTTTATCAGAACTTAGTTTTCTTTGTATTTGTATTTTTTTTGTAGAACTTGTTAACATTTTAAGTATTTTGATATGTTACGTATGTTTAATTGTACAACGCGCTGTGCCATAAAATCATAAAATCTGTAGTGAGATAGCGTGAAGGAATGGTCGAGAATTTTGTATTTGGCTGAAGCTTTCAAAATCTTTTAGAACGTCCAATATGTTGTTATTTCAAAATTTTGCAAAATAATCTTCATTTAACATAAAGTTCACATAGATAACGTTTCGTTGGTGTTTTCTTTAACGCTGTACTTATATTTTTTTTCTCAATCAACTTATATTTTACTTTTACATTCGGTTTAACTGATATGCCTTGATCTGTCAATTTGCTTTAATTTTCTCTTTGAGCTAAAAGTATGATTATATATATTATAAATAATATTTAATAAGCATTTCCGTAGAGAATTACAGTTTAAATTGCCTGAAATGTTGACATTTATTATTCTAAAAAACTAAAATGAAACGACTTAGGAATCAGATAGAAATAAATCTTGTCCATTTAATATATAGAGTACTTGTTTAATACTTATTAAAAATATAAATAAATATTATTAATAAGCTCTTCGTAGATTTTTCTAATTTTCTTTTTATTTTACAGTAGAATTTAAAGCGAAACTTTTGACCAAATCTCACGTAATTAGTTAGTCCGAATATCTAAAGATGTATATTTTTAAATGATCTATTAACATTTTTATATTGAATTTATTACACGAATACATTCCTAATGTATTTTTATATAATTTATTACGTACTGCACTACATGTATTCTAATGTAGTGATCTGTATTTTTTTGAATCTTGACACTGCAAGCGGATGACAGAAGGCAAACTTTATTTAACAATAAATCAATACTTTCTTTGCTTCCCTGAAACAGAATATTAACGTTATAAGTAGGGTTAGTTTTCTGAAGTTTGCATTGTTATATTTTTTCATTTCCAGACTATATGGTGTAGATAATTGTAAGTTCGTATTTGTAAACATATACAAACTAGGAATTATATAAGAATTAGAGATTGACTCGATTCATTGTGATGCCTGCAACCTGCAATAACGTGTTTTTGTTTTGTATTTTAAATAAAGTTACGGCACAAAGTTTCAGTTTTGTTTTATTTGTTTTAATCGACTTCTTTACTTGCTTATGGGACGACGTGCTTCATCGTAGTAAAATAGGGAAAA